ATCTATTGAGTAAACCCCAAAAATATTGTGTCTTTCTACCCACTCCTTCTTTCCAAAAAAATTAATCCTTGGTCAAGTGTAGTAACTTAAAAATTATATTGCAATTTAAAAATTCAAAACATATTTAGTTCCCAAAATATTAACACACACGACCACTGTAAATAAGAGCTTTTCAGGTAGTTAAAATGAACCAAAGATGACTAAAGCTTTTAGTTCTGTTAAAATCAACAGCGGAGTACACACAAGAATGTTATAAGAATGTAAAATGCATGCACCTCTTTACCAGTCAATTCATTTTAGAACATTAATTGACAAACAGAAAATAAATGTTACTCATTCCAAACATTCCATATATACACAAACAAGTTCTTGAAAAGCATTAACAATTTATTGGAGCAAGCCAATTATTAGAAGTCCCCAATTCGATTAGAAGCACCCACATTTGAAATAAACATTAATGACTTTATTTAACATGATTTGGTGTGTAGTTTATTCATCATTTAAATGTTCTATAATTTATACACATACATGAACTATTTAGTTTCATTAAATACATATTATTTCAACATTTATTGTTTCGGCTTGTGTTCATGATTACAAAGTTGTCGTTGCTGAAATGATTGGGCCGTATCATAGAACATTTCCCCATTCACTCTTGTGACCAGAGACAACAAACAAATATCTATTAATTTATGCAACTTTATGTAATATTCATTAATTTAGAGACAAATAAACAAACAGTATTTCATAGATCTTTATACTTTTTGTAGATTTCCACATTAAAACATTTTTTGCATTAAAGCATTGTTTTTGCACTTAATATTCCATTGTTTAGTTGAGTTGCTGTACAAATTGTTCACAAGGTTTCGGTGCAGGGACGGGGGGCGGTACGGAAAATAGGGGGCGGGAGTGTTTAATACTTGTGCGAACTTGGGTGAAACGTCTAACGTAAGAACGAAAAATAGAACGGGGAGCAAACGAGGGAAACACAAAGAGGCAATTGTTAATTTTTGTTGGAATGCTACGATTCTTTATGCGAAAATGATTAGACAAATTATAAACAATTCAAAGAGCACACACTTAAAACCTAACAAAAATAGTAAACTTTAACAAATGAAAATACAGAGCAGTGTGTTGGCGGGAGTAACGACAATCATTAAGCAATTCAATTTATGTACATTGCAAGACGGGACTTCAATACTAAAACACACTTTAGAGTAGGTTTGCTCGCTTGGACGATAATATTTAACTAGTTATTGTTTTGGCTACGCTGGACCGCGCCGACATACACAAGTCCCGGCTCTCAACGTAGGTAAGATATTTTGTGGTTGTATTGTGTTTTTATGTATATATAGACGCATACACAGCGGGATATTGCAGGAGGTGGAGACGCGCCGCACGATGCGCCGCCGCCAGCTTAAATTATGAATGAAACAAAATTTTGGACAAAAATCAAAAACAAAACAATAAACAGGATCTAATGGCGCGAGTCCCTAGGATAGAATTCGGCCAGGATGGAGGCCGGGATACGCTTGAGCATCTCCTTGGGGAAGATACGCAGCAGCTGCCAGCCGATGTCCAGGGATTCGAAGACAGTGCGGTTCTCGTAGTTGCCCTGTAATGAGATACAAAGATTTATAACCAGTCAACTGATATCCACTTTCTTTAACTCACCTGCGAGATGAAGTTCTTCTCGAACTTGGTCAAGAACTCCAGATACAGCAGATCGTCGGGCGTCAGAGCCTCCTCACCCACCACAGCCTTCATGGCCTGCACGTCCTTGCCGATGGCGTAGCAAGCGTACAGCTGGTTAGACACATCAGAGTGATCCTTGCGGGTCATGCCCTCGCCGATGGCGGACTTCATCAGACGCGACAGCGATGGCAGCACGTTGACTGGTGGGTAGATCTGTCTGTTGTGCAGCTGACGGTCGACGTAGATCTGGCCCTCGGTAATGTAACCGGTCAAATCGGGAATGGGATGGGTAATATCGTCGTTGGGCATAGTCAGAATGGGGATCTGGGTGATGGAGCCGTTGCGACCCTCCACACGTCCGGCACGCTCGTAAATGGTGGCCAAATCGGTGTACATGTAACCGGGGAAACCACGTCGGCCGGGCACCTCCTCACGGGCGGCGGACACCTCACGCAGAGCTTCGGCGTACGAGGACATGTCGGTCAGGATGACCAGCACGTGCTTCTCGCACTGGTAGGCCAAGAATTCGGCGGCGGTCAGAGCCAGGCGGGGAGTGATGATACGCTCGATGGTCGGATCGTTGGCCAAGTTCAAGAACAGGCACACGTTCTCCATGGAACCGTTCTCCTCGAAGTCCTGCTTGAAGAAACGAGCCGTCTCCATGTTGACACCCATGGCGGCGAACACGATGGCGAAGTTGTCGGTGTGGTCATCCAGCACGGACTTGCCCGGCAGCTTGACGAGACCGGCCTGACGACAGATCTGGGCGGCGATTTCGTTGTGGGGCAGACCGGCGGCGGAGAAGATGGGGATCTTCTGGCCACGGGCAATCGAGTTCATCACATCGATGGCGGAGATACCGGTCTGGATCATCTCCTCGGGGTAGATACGCGACCAGGGGTTGATGGGCTGGCCCTGGATGTCGAGGAAGTCCTCGGCCAGGATTGGGGGTCCCTTGTCAATGGGCTTTCCGGATCCGTTGAACACACGGCCCAACATATCCTCGGACACGGGCGTGCGCAGGATATCGCCGGTGAACTCGCAGAGCGTGTTCTTGGCATCGATTCCCGAGGTTCCCTCGAACACCTGGACGACGGCCTTGGAGCCGCTCACCTCGAGCACCTGGCCGGAGCGCACGGTGCCGTCGGCAAGACGCAGCTGCACAATCTCGGCGAACTTGGGGAACTTGACCTCATCGAGGATGACCAGGGGACCGTTCACACCGGACACCGTCTTGTAGGCTGTGACAAAAAAAGAAGGTTGAAACGATTAGCACTTAAGAATTCTGTTTTTAAAGATAGTTACTAAAATTTGTAAACCCCCACTAACTTTAAGTTCCAAATTGAAAGATTACCCTAATCACTCATTTTTTATGTTTTTAAGTTTCGAATTGTAATGTGCTGATATCTGGTTCTTACTGGAAGTCAAGTGGCCAACTTAAAAGTTTCATTATTTAACAGGAATAATAATAAAAAAAAAAAAAATTTTATTTAATTTAAAGACAATCCTAAAACATCTTGTTTTTTGTTTTTGTTAAACAACTGACATGGTCATAAACTAATCCACGAAAATATCCAATAAAATTGAGTTACTTCGCCATAAAAGTCACATGCTAAATTATATATAGGAGCTACGATAAAGTAGTGTAGTTTTTAAGTAAAAAACCAACGACTTTACTTTTTATAAAATTTAAAAGTTTAATCAATTCAACAACTTGTAGCACATTTCTTTTTTTAATTCCAAAAAGATTCCATTACAACAAAAACACAAGTCTCGCAATGCTCACATGAAAGTAGGAATCTGATAAGAAAGCAAACGTCAAAAGACGAGTAAATGTGCGAGGGGGCGTTGCGGGGAATGGTAAATTATGTCAGCTGACTGACCAACTGGTTTTCAGCCCTTGCCACGAGCTGCAGTTGGAATCTTATAAGAATTAGATAGCACAAGAGGAATGCGAAATGCAGGGCATGATGGAGTGGCGAAAAAACAAGCAAAAGGAAATGAAGATCACGTAAGATGTTTTTAACAGCCTTTTTATGCGATATTTTTGTAAAAAATATTACAAATAGTTGTAATTACTAATCTGTTTGTGGTTCTGCAATAACAATAAACTTACAAAATTAGGGTTTTTAAAAAATGAACAAACCAAAAAGTAATAAAATTGACACCCCTGATAAAAAGTAGTTAAAATGCGGTGAATTGACGACCGACCTATCGCCCGATCCGCCACCCACCCGATTCGCAGTCAGGTGCCATTGAGTGTGTGCGCTCTGAATGGCAAAAGCAAACAGCTGAGCTGCGAACGGTCATGTGACGGCGAAAATTTTCAATAAGAGTTAACCCTGATTATGGGGGTGCTCCACGGGGCTGTCTGGCTAGCTAGATATCTATTCAGCAGCATATAATACGTTATTCTATCAAGTTATTATGTTGTACTACAAATTCTCAATGTTTTCAGTGGGTGTTGCAAGAACTTATTGATTTTTTCTCTACTCCGCCTCACACCAAATTCGTGCAAACTGTCATGGCGGACTTTTGGCTTTTTCCTCGTCGTTTTATCTGGCACTTAATTACGCTTCAAATGCAGTTCTTAGGTTTTCACTTTTCAACCGATTTCGAAAATACTCACTCAAGCGGGGCTGGGAGATAAAGTCCCGAGAGACGGCGAGGACATGTTCCCGCTGGGCTTGTTGGGCGTTCATCTTGGATAGACTTTTCTGTGCCTCTACCTTGAAAATGCACTGCAAATTTCGAGCTGTAAATAGTAGTAGTTATAACTTTTAGCACTAGAGCGTCTCATTAACTTTATGGCACGTACAATTTTTCAGCTACGAAACAGTACTGAGCGACACACACGCAAAATTTTGGCCTGCGAAGTCGTTGCGAGTACGAGGAAAAATTGCCCTGGAACTGAAAGTATTGCTGAATCTGAATCTGCTGTGACGTCACGTGCCGTCACATGACCCTTGAGGCGCTAGGGATTCTGCTCTGCTCATTTACCAACACTTTAGGTATGGTCATACTTTAGCGGAGTAACAATCCAACTGTGTTGCCTTAAAATATCGATGTTGTCTCACCCCTACATGATTAGTAGGTGAAATATATATATATATTGTTTTAAGCCGTTGCTTCCCAACGTACTAAAGGATTGACAGCTAATTGTAGGCAATGTGGGAACTGTTGAATAATGTTTAACTTGGTTTGAAAAATAAACATTACGCATCGACTAACATCGATATGAACGTAAGCATCCAAAAACATCGCCAAAAAATGCATCGATGTTTTGTTACAACACTATCGAATTTTTTTCACCTCTATATGTTAAGCAACAGTGCTCTGTTAATTATTGGAAAGTTTTTTAATGGAACAATTTTAATTAAATTACAATAGTTGTTTACACCCTGAGGTTGTTGGACCCCCCAAAAACTCTTGTAATACGTGGGGATACCAGGAAACGAGCTCCACAACGCGAATATTGAAAGTAAAGGCTCTGACAAAGAACACAAAGGCCAGCGAGTGCAAAAACCCGTTTTTGTGCATCCGATAAAAGGGGCGTCTATATCTCTGCTGATCCGGAGCCCCTGGCATTGCCACTATGATGGTTGAGTCCGACGGAACCGCCGACGCCACCCGCCGCTTGAACGTTAAGAAGCAAACCCTGGACGATGCGTACGCGGTGCCCGCCAACTTCCTGGAGATCGACGTGGTCAATCCGCTGACTACCATGGCGGCGGGCAAGAAGCGCTACACGGACTACGAGGTCCGCATGCGGGTGAGTGATCTTCGTTCTGGAGGAGTACCTTCCAAACTGTACCGAAAATTCATTGATAATTGCCAGAATTCATGCCCTCACACATACGTGTTACTTTGTCTTGCTTGGTGTTTGTGTGTGTGTGCGGGTGATACGCCTATAAAGCGAACCGGCGATAAACATTAGTCACAAGTGCAGAGCACTGATTCGAGGCTTGAGTCACGGAAACCCGGCATGCGGGATCCCTACTCTAAATTGTTTCCTAACTCTTACCCCTACCTTTTGTTGTGTTCCCATTAAGTTTAACAAGCATTATTGCATTCCAGACCAATCTGCCCGTCTTCAAGGTGAAGGAATCCAGCGTGAGACGGCGCTACAGCGACTTTGAATGGCTGCGGAACGAACTGGAACGGGATAGCAAGGTACGATAACCAGAAGAACTTCCGTTTTCACTTTTACTGGGCTAAAAATGGTTTCCACCTAGGTTTGCTGCTATTTTTTGCACCAGCGAGTGCACATATCTCTAGATTGCAAGATATCGGTCAAAGTCACAAGGTTTTAAGATATCATATTAATCAGAAAGTCGATTTCTTTATTTACTTGGTATACAAAGGGATATTATTCAAGTTCAGGGCTTTGTACTCCACTTATCAGTGTCTAAAAATCTCTCGAGAGTTGTAAGAAAATGCTTTGCGGCTTTCAAAGTTCTGCAGGGATTTCGCTATGCCGTCGCCTTTGAAAGTCTAATTTCTCACAGTACTTAAAGTCATTCAGAAGATTTCCATATTGGCTAAAGCAATTCGTAGCTTTTGCTTAACAAACATATATCAATTATAAACTTAAATAAATTATGACTTGATTAAATGTCTGCCTATTATTATAAGTATAGAACGATTATTACATATTATGGTGCAATAATAGTTTAATATCTATAAATAGTGACCTAAATAGTCACAATTGCCAAGAGCGAATTAAGCACCAGCTGAGCTTGTGAAGACTGAAGATTAATTTACGCATAAACAAAGTTTAATCAAATATTTGTCCCCGCAGATTGTGGTGCCGCCACTTCCGGGGAAAGCCTGGAAGCGCCAAATGCCCTTCCGCGGCGACGAGGGCATCTTTGACGAGAGCTTCATTGAGGAGCGACGCAAGGGATTGGAGGCCTTTATCAACAAGATAGCTGGACATCCACTGGCGCAGAACGAGCGCTGCCTGCACATGTTCCTGCAGGAGAACATCATCGACAAGAACTACGTGCCCGGCAAGATTCGCAACACATAAACAGCAGAGCCCGAAGCCATCGAAACCCCTAAATACATAGCAATGCAATGAAGCAAAAACTCGAACGAACAAACCCGCTACGAAAACTTTAGGGTAGCCGTGTGAATGTGTGTGCTTGGAAAGATCGAAAAGGGAAGAGCAGTGGAGCCAAGGAGCGATAGTGGAGTAGAAGGGATCTGTTTATTATGCGATGCGATATGAGACGGAAGTGCTGCTGCTCAGTTAATGTTGAGCCCCTCTCACCCCACGGGGGACTAGTTAAAACCAGCATTGGGAATTTTTAATGCTAAATTCAAGTTTATATGGTATACATAACAATATACATACATATATATTATATACAATACAGATATTTACGAATAGTGTACATAAGAAATGCCTACCAAGCCCCTCGCTAAATGAGTCTCGAAAGTAGGAGCTGTTCCTCCCTCAGTTTCCTTTCCCAATTCTCAGTTTCTTCGTTTTGACCCATTGCAGCGGTAATAAAGCAGCAAATGAAATAAGGGAGCTATCCTAACCCCGGAATCCGATCCCTTGTATGTGTATGCAAATTATTGAATATTTTGAAAAAGTTTAGTGAATAATATTGTACTTCGAATCAAATTAAAATAATTCAAAAATAAGCGGCTGGAATATTTTACTTCGTTATACCTTAAACATGGATTTTCACAATTCAGTTTTAGGATTTTTTAAGATAAACTGCTTTTAAATAATGTCTACGAAGCTAAGTTTATTTGTAGATGTTTTAGATGCGTTCCTTATGATTTCGAGAAAAGGTATTTTTGTAAAAATTTCTCCAAGCAACTTTATAATAATCCATTCTAAAAGCAAAGCGAGAGATGCTTATATATATTTTAGAAGGCTTTCAAACTTTTTTTTGTGCCTTTCAGCGTTCAGCGCAGAAGACGGAGCGGCTATAATATATATAGTCTTAATATAATTTATTTGAACAAAACTTTAACGTTATATTCGTTATATTTCTATTCAAATTAAAAAAAAACCGCCAACTCTTCTTCCTTACCCGCGATTTCGAAGTGTTCCACAAGACTGGCGTTTATCAGCACTGACTCCCCCTTTCCGCGGGCGTTGTCCAACACCGGCGAAGTGTCAGCGATTTTTTATCGGAGTTGGTTTTTTTGTTTTTATTTATTTTTGGCATGGACTCGGCGGAATCTCCCACCAAAACGCAGGCCGGCGAGGATGAGAACTACAGTCTTCTGTGCCAGGCGCACGAGGAGTTCAACAAGTGAGTGGGAACCTCGTATAAGCCCCTGGGGGATTGCACGCGTAACCGCTTTTCCTGCTCCTCCTCCGGCTTTTAGCTCGGAGTTCGACCGCTGCCTGGAGCTGCTGCAAGAGCTGGAGACGCGCGGCGAGAGCAGTGGTCCCATCCTGCGGCACAACCGGGCGGTGGTTAGCTACCACAAGACCGGTTGCACCCAGCACTCCGTCCTACTAAAGGAACTGGAGGCCCTTACCGTCGATGCGGATGCTCCGGGAGAGGCGTCCGGCGGACTGAGCCTCAAGCAGGGAGCCGCTGCTGCAACGGTCGCCCGCTATAACCGGGCGGTCATCTATTACCACCGTCACATGTTCGGCACGGCACTAGAAAAGCTGGCGCCTCTTGTGGCCCGCCTAGAGGCACTGGAGAAGTCCATGGCGGCGCTGGTGGCTGCGTTGCAACTCCAACTACTTTTGGCCACCAACCAGCTCAACCGTGCCGAGGCCTTTCTGGATTATTTGCAGTACAAACTCAATTTGGTGGCCACTGCGCCCAGCAGCAATCCCAACGAGGATCCAGCTGCTGCGGCCACAGCTTCTCCGCCGACTCCAACGTCCAATTTGGTGGTGACCTCGCCTGGCGGAGCAACTGTAGAGGGAACGGTGTCCGGGCTGGGCGGAAGTCTTCAGCTTTTGCAGCTAATTACACTCGTTCTTAATCGAAAGCCGGTGGTCATCCAAGAAGATGGAACGCCAGAGTATGCTGCGCTTAAGGCGCAGCAGTACTACATTATGAAGGACTTCCAGATGGCCGCCAAGCAGCTGATGCGCATCAACAACGAGTGCACCAATGCTGGGTATGTTCTTTATTTTTGATAAATATTTATAAATCGAGCTAATTTTGTTACGTAACTGTGCAGCACTGTGACTCCCCAGCTGAGCACTTGCATCGCCAACAACATGGGCGTGATCCACTTAAGAGTGCGCCACTATGCCATCGCTGCCCAGTTCTTCCAGAACGCGCTCAACTTTGACCAGCAGCTGGCACGGAATCTGCGCCAGAGCTCTCTGCAAACTATGAGTTCTGCACACTCCTGCGAGATTCTCTACAACCTGGGCGTGGCCATGCTGCATCTGCGCCGTCCCAAGGAGGCCTTTCAGTGCTTTCTGGTACCCGTCAAACAGTTCCACAGCAATCCGCGTCTCTGGCTACGAATGTCCGAGGCCTGCATTATGGAACATGAGGCGGTAAGTAAATATATGCTAAAAAAGATAAAAAAGTATTCCCTTTAAAACAAAAATGTATATTAATACCACCAAATCCATAACCTTACGGTCTTATCTAAATTTACTTTTTACAGAAACTGGTGGAAGAGGAACGTCAATCGAAGTCGGAAACTGGCACCAGTTCCTCATCAAAGCCATATGCGTGAGTATTTGTTGATTTAAACAAATATCTTTCATTAAATATCTGAAAATTTTAGTCCCCAGTCCGCTGGAGTGCCAGAACCCACACTGGAGTTTGCCGCCCTATGCCTACGCAGTGCTTTGACCCTCACACAGCACTACAAGACCAGGTTTCACATGGTGGCGGTCTCTTCAGAAGATGTGGAGGCACCCGAACCAAAGGATCCAACTCAGGAGTCTTGGCGACATCCGCAAGACAATAACTTTTGCAATCCCTCCAAGCCAGTCAGTCTGGAGTCGTTGGAGAACATGCAGGCCTCTATTTATGCGGCGCACAGCTTCGTCTCACTGCGACTGGGCGACCACGTGACCGCTCTGGAAATGGCGGAGCAGCTGTTGGCCTGCGAACGTCTCTCCGATGCACACAAGTATTATAATTATCCTGTTAATGTCGGTGAAGTTTGCTTATCAAATTGTAATCCTACAGATTGCTGGGTCACATGTACGCTGGCGAAGCGCTGATGCTGATGGACAAGGCAGCCGAAGCACGCGATCATTTAGATCCTACTTCTGTGGGCACACTAAACGCATTCGATTTTGAGACGCGTGATTGGCAACTGAAGTCGGTTGACGCGGCCCAGAACGTGGTGCGTTACAATCTGGCCGTGGCCATGGTCCTCCAAAATGACCTGACACAAGCAAAGTCACTTCTGGCCAACTTAAACCACTCGCTGGTCAGCGGCAAGGCGAAGGCTTTGCGGCGCTTCATAGACCTTAAGATCAGCCCCGTTCCTGGCGGGACGCCCAGTTAGATAACAAATTTTGTAAATAATTAGACGGAATGGAAATACGAGAATAAAAAAAAGCGAAGTGTAAATACAGACAAGTCCTTGATCGACGTAGAAGCCGAGCAAGAGTTATGGTTTTTTTTTTTCAAAAGGACTAGTTAAGAGCACAACCCCCAAAAAATTTTAATTCTTTTATCGATTTATTTAAACAGAGATGGATATTTTTTCAAATCACATGGATTTTCAGCATGGTATAATCATCAAACCGTTTATCCAAATTTGTATACAGCTTGCACATATTAACTGAAATTGAATTGAAAATTGTTTTATAACTGTTAAGAAATAATTATTGTATCTAGATGTTTTTTTTGCAGTTCCTTTTAATTCAGATATGTAAATTATTTTCCCTTTAATATCATTTCTAGCGTTCTTTTCTGTAGTTATCCTATACACTTCCGTTTAATCCTCTTACGAAAAAAGAAACCATAATCTTATATGTGTTCGACGCTGCATGGTAAAACAGTTTTTCACTTAATTTCTCTTTAAAATATTACTCAGCCGATTTTCCCCTGTATACTCATTTTTAACGTCATGTTAAGGTCAAATTTTGGAATTTTGTTTTGGATCTTTATTGCGTCGTTTTTGCTAGACTATAGCTTTTTCTTAATCTGAAATTAATTTTGGGTTTTCAAACTTTACGGGGAATTCAGATGATTATCGCTTCAAAACGAGGACGTGTTGAAGGGCTACAAGCGATCCACCCGACTATCCGTAAAATAAAGTTCGTCCGATGTCAACCATCACATATTTTATGGGTGGGAACACATTAACTTGCTTTCATTTCGATAACTAAGAGAACACAAACTTAATTTGTATGGTAATAGAAATTTTTCGGATTAGTTGTGCCATTTCTTCAATGGGGCCATGACTGAAAAAGTTATTTTTCATCGAGATGCTGCGGACACTGTTTCTTATCCATTTCTTCTGGTTAATCATCTGCATCGTTTTACCAAAGGTAAGAAGGCTGTACAAAAAAAGTCGAACTTATTTTAATTAAGATTAAAGGCACTTGCTGACTTTCAAAACTTCCCGGAGAAACCACCAGATCCCGTTGTGCAGTCAAATTATATGGTAAGTTGATAAAAGTTTTTTAAATGAGCTTATTTCAAATGCGGCTTTGTAAAGGATGAATCCGTAGTTCCACCCGAGTTTCGGACTGGGGTCATGGCCTGGGCGAGTTCGTGAAAGCTAAATAAAGGAATATTCTATACATTACGACAAGATGAACAATGTGGTTCTAGACTACCATAAATACAATGATTGGATAACTAATAAAAAAAAAGTTATCAATGATTTCGAAAGCGCAAACAACTGACTAATGGGCAGTTTTTATAACGTTAGGCATAACGTTAACATTTATTAGAATTTTAAAGGGATGTAGAAGTTGATTATCCACTCCATAATGTGCATCCGTTAACGCCTGACATGTTTTCTAGAGGACTTGTCCGCCAGTAATAAGGATATCTAGAAATGTGCAATGTTTGTGTACATCTTAATTATTTTAAAGAAATAGGTTTTTTATCTAATTGTTTTTTGCAGTTGTACATATTATATATAACTCAGATAAGTGAATTCATTTTCCTTAACAACATAACTACCGTTCTTTTCTGTTATTTCCTTTTCTCCGTTAAATCCTCTTATGGAAAAAAAACCGTTATCTTGTATGTACGTTGTAAGGGAAAACTATTTTTTTTGTATAATAATGTTCAGGGCTAACAGAGTTATGTTCTTAAAAACGTAAAAATATGTATGGATTTATGGACGAAAAAATAGAGAAATATGGACGAAATATGGACGAAAAAGTTAACAAATATGGAAAAAAGTGGATAAATATCGACGAAAAAAGGGATAAATATAGGTATAAAAATGGATAAACGTAGACGATTATATCGATCATATTAACTTTTTATGACAATGAACAATTAGAAATCGCTACAAACAAAAGTGCGCCGTTTGTCTCAAAGATCATTGCAGAACAATATGACATGTTGTGTCAGATTAGTAAAAACAAAACTACGGCGTTTGTCACTCAATATGTGTTTATAATATAAATTTATAATATAAGCATATTATGATGAAAATGAACGCTCAATTGTTACATTCGATGATACATATTTTGATTGATTAACGACGCAACGATGTTTTGTTTTTTTTGTTTAAGGCAAACGACAGAAATTTCATAATATTTGAGCCAAACATATCTTTCTATAGGTTTTCAGACACTTAAATGCTCAAAATATGGATTTATTCAAGTGATTGTGTAAAATATGGATTTATAAGAAAAAAGGCGAAAATATGGAAATAAATATTTTTTTATTTAAAAACATAACTCTGTTAGCCCTGATAATGTTACTCATCTGATTTCCCTCGGAATATTCTCATTCTCAACGTCATATAAAGTAAGTACAAATATTCGGAATTTCTTCTGCTTCTTGCATCTATCCGTAACATTGCAAATAAATACGTCACCAGACGATGCTCTTGTTTTTGTAGTTAAAAATCATTATCGATTTAAAATAAGGACGTGTCGAAGGGCTACATACATACGAGTTAGTTAGTCGGATGTCGCCAATACAAATATTTTATAGTTATGGGAACGAGTTAAATGGTTTTTATTTCAATAGCTAAGAGAACTCAATTTTAATATGCATGGCAATGATAATTTTTCGCATTAGTTGTACCCTTGCTTCAATGGTGCCATGACTAAAAAAGTTATTTCTCATCGAGATGCTGCGGACACTGTTTCTTATCCATTTCTTCTGGTTAATCTACTGCCACGTTTTATCAAAGGTAAGGAGGTTGTATAAAAAGTTAAACTAAGTCTTACGATGTTATAAGGCACTTGCTGACGTGGCAGACGTTTTGAAAAACCCAGAAAACCTCCTCGACCCGTCAAAACTTATGGTAAGTCGCGATGAAGTTTTATTAAAGATGGATATTTTATACCGCGCTTTTTAAAGAATGGTTCCATAGTGCCACCTCTGACTGATTTGTTAACCGCGGTGAGTTTGTGAATAATAACCAACGGAGAATTGGTCGATCATCCTATCCTCTAGGACAAGATCATAGCCAGTTTTGGGTACAAGGCGGAGGAGTACAGTGTGGATACCGAGGACAATGAACGTTTTACACTGAAGTTATTCCGCATCCCGGCATTAAAGAAGCACTGTAAGGAAAGGCCTGAAAAGCCGGTAGTGCTATTCAATCACGGGATGACCGGCTCGGCGGACTCGTGGCTGATTATGGGACCCAAGAACGGATTGCCCTACTTGTCGTCCGATGCCTGCAACGATGTTTGGCTGACCAACTGCCGCGGAACACGTTACTCCAAGGAGCGGAACCCAAAAATTCCTGATTTGCACAAATACTGGGACTTCAGCTGGCACGAAATCGGAATAGAGGACCTCCCCGTCATAATTGACTACATCCTTGATAAGACAAATCACAGCGCTCTGCACTTTGTGGGCTATTCCCAGGGCGCCACAACGCTGATGGTGTTGCTCAGCATGCGACCAGAGTACAATGAGAAGATCAAGACCGCCCAACTGCTGGCTCCTACTGTCTTCATGCGCCAATCCCTCAATCTGATTTACAAGCCCTTGAGTCCCATACTTAAATTAATGCCCGACCGTGAGCTTCTGCCCACTCTCAAAGATCTGCACAACTTCCTTACTAACCTGTGCAGAAGGAACAGTTTAAAGAAAGTCTGCAAGACCTGGTTCCTTTTATCCAGCGGACGAGTGTCGAGACACATGGACAGAGTAAGTGAACACATTCATAATTCCCCGAAATAAAGTAAAAATCGTAGCTTTGAAAATTACCGATTTAAAAGGGGTTTGAAAAGGGGTATAACTTTGACCTTTATTTACAGTCAGTTATCCCATTGTTGCTTGCCACTCATCCGGTTGGAATTTCAACGAGGCAGCAGAAACACTACTTCCAGCTCAAGTACTCAGGGAGGTTCCAACAATACGACTTTGGCTCCTGGGAGAACAAACTACGATACAACAAACCATCTCCACCGATATATCCCCTGCAAAATGTCCGCCCGTGTTCGCCCATTCACTTGTACTACAGCAAGGATGACTATACCGTTTCCCCAAAGGACATCTACACACTAGTTAAAAATCTGCGCCATACGGTGGTGGAACATCGTATAACAATGCCCTGGTTTGACCACGCGGACTTTTTATTCTCAATTACCGCTAATATGATGGTCAACGTTCCGGTAATAGGTGTTATTACCAAATATGAGCTTTCCAACAAAAAATGCCAGTCTTAAGATATTTAATAGTTATGGGAACAAATTAAATGCTTTTAATTTCAGTAGCTTAAAGAACGCAATTTTAATATGCAAGGCAATGGTAATTTTTCGCATTAGTTGTACCCCTGCTTCAATGGTGCCATGACTAAAAAAAGTTATTTCTCATCGAGATGCTGCGGACACTGTTTCTTATCCATTTATTCTGGTTAATCTACTGCCACGTTTTATCAAAGGTAAGGAGGTTGTATAAAAAGTTAAACTAAGTCTTACGATGTTATAAGGCACTTGCTGAAGTGCCAGACGTTTTGAAAAACCCAGAAGACCTCGTCGAACCTTCAAAACTTATGGTAAGTCGCGATGAAGGTTCATTAAGGATGCGTATTTCATATAGAGCTTTATAAAGAATGGTTCCGTAGTGCCACCTCTGACTGATTTGTTAACCGCGGTGAGTTTGTGAATAATAACCAATGGAGAATTGGTCGATCATCCTTTCCTCTAGGACAAGATCATAGCCAGTTTTGGGTACAAGGCGGAGGAGCACAGTGTAGATACCGAGGACAATGAACGTTTTACACTGAAGTTATTCCGCATCCCGGCATTAAAGACGCGTTGTAGGCATAGGCCTAAAAAGCCGGTAGTGCTTTTCAATCACGGGATGACCGGATCGGCGGACTCGTGGCTGATTATGGGACCCAAGAATGGATTGCCCTACTTGTTGTCCGATGTCTGCAACGATGTTTGGCTGGCCAACTGCCGCGGAACACGTTACTCCAAGGAGCGGAACCCAAAAATTCCTGATTTGCACAAATACTGGGACTTCAGCTGGCACGAAATCGGAATGGAGGACCTCCCCGTCATAATTGACTACATCCTTGATAAGACAAATCACAGCGCTCTGCACTTTGTGGGCTATTCCCAGGGCGCCACAACGCTGATGGTGTTGCTCAGCATGCGACCAGAGTACAATGAGAAGATCAAGACCGCCCAACTGCTGGCTCCTACTGTCTTCATGCGCCAATCCCTCAATCTGATTTACAAGCCCTTGAGTCCCATACTTAAATTAATGCCCGACCGTGAGCTTCTGCCCACTCTCAAAGATCTGCACAACTTCCTTACTAACCTGTGCAGAAGGAACAGTTTAAAGAAAGTCTGCAAGACCTGGTTCCTTTTATCCAGCGGACGAGTGTCGAGACACATGGACAGAGTAAGTGAACACATTCATAATTCCCCGAAATAAAGTAAAAATCGTAGCTTTGAAAATTACCGATTTAAAAGGGGTTTTAAATGATAAGGAGATCATCAATAACCTCTCGACCTGTATAACTTTGACCTTTATTTACAGTCAGTTATCCCGTTGTTGCTTGCCACTCATCCCGTTGGAATTTCAACAAGGCAGCAGAAACACTACTTCCAGCTCAAGTACTCAGGGAGGTTCCAACAATACGACTTTGGCTCCTCGGAGAACAAAATACGATACAACAAACCATCTCCACCGATTTATCCCCTGCAAAATGTCCGCCCGTGTTCGCCCATTCAGCTGTACTACAGCAAGGATGACGAAACCGTTTCCCCAAAGGACATTTACACACTAATAAACAATTTGCGCCATACGGTGGTGGAACATCTTATAACAGTCCGCATGTTTGACCACGCGGACTTTCTATTCTCGATTACAGCTAATATGATAGTTAACGTTCCGGTAATTGGTGTTATTACCAAATATGAGCTTTCCAACAAAAAATGCCAGTCTTAAGATATTTAATAGTTATGGGAACAAATTAAATGCTTCTAATTTCAATAGCTAAGAGAACGCAATTTTAATATGCAAGGCAATGGTAATTTTTCGGATTAGTTGTACACTTTCTTCAATGGGGCATGACTAAAACAAGGTTATTTCTCATCGAGATGCTGCGGACACTGTTTCTTATCCATTTTTTCTGGTTAATATACTGCCACGTTTTATCAAAGGTAAGGAGGCTGTTTAAAAAGTTAAACTGATTCTTACGAGGTTTTAAGGCACTTGCTGACCTGCTAAACGTCTCGGAGAACCCAAGAGATTGGTTGACGGACCAATCAAATTATACGGTAAGTCAATGAAAGGTAATTAAAGATTGGTAGTTCATAAAGGGCTTTATTTAGAATGATTCCGTAGTGCCACCTCGGACTGCGGCGATAACCGGGGTGAGTTAGTGAAAAATAACTAAAGGAGAAGTGGTCGATCATCCTATCCTCTAGGACACGATCATAACCGGTCATGGGTACGGGGTGGAGGTGCACAGTGTGGTAACCAGGGACAATGAAGGCTTTACACTGAAGATATTCCGCATCTCGTCATCGCCACACTGTAAGAATTGGGGTGTAAAGCCGGCAGTGCTACTCAATCACGGGATGACCGCATCGGCGGACTCGTGGCTGATTATGGGACCCAGGAACGGATTGCCCTACTTGTTGGCCGATGCCTGCTACGATGTTTGGCTGACCAACTGCCGCGGAACACGTTACTCCAAGGGCCGGAAGCCAAAAATTGCTGGTTTGCTCTCATTCTGGGACTTCAGCTGGCACGAAATCGGAACGGAGGACCTGCCCGTCATCATCGATCATATCCTTCATACCACAAAGCAGAGTGCTCTGCACTTTGTGGGTCATTCGCAGGGCACCACAACGCTGATGGTGTTGCTCAGCATGCGACCGGAGTACAATGTGAAGATCAAGACCGCCCAACTCCTGGCTCCTGCTGTCTTCATGCGCCACTCCCTCACTCTGATTCAGAAGCTCTTGAGTCCCATACTTAAACTAATGCCCGACATTGAGCTCGTGCCCCATCTCAGTGTTCTGAGCACCTTCATTTCTGCCCTGTGCAAAGTGTCGGGTTTTAAGCAAGTCTGCACGGCCATGTACCTTTTATCCGGCGGAAAAGTGTCAAAACACATGGATAGAGTAAGTGAAAACATTCATAATTCCCCGAAAGAAAGTAAAAATCTTAGCTTTGATAAGTACCGTTTTAAACGGCTTTTAAATGATAAGGAGAGAACATTAATAGAACTCTTAACCTGTATAAATTTCACCCTTATTTGCAGAGTATTGTCCCGTTGTTGCTTGCCACTCATCCGAATGGAATTTCTCCGAGGCAGCCAAAGCACTTCTTCCAGCTCAAGGACTCTGGGAGGTTCCAACAATACGACTTTGGATCCTTGAAGAACATGCTTCGATACAAGAAACGCTCTCCGCCGATATACCCGCTGCAAAATGTCCGCCCGTTGTCGCCCATTCACTTGTACTACAGCGAGGATGACGGAACCGTTTCCCCAAAGGACGTTTTAACACTAACTAACCATTTGTGCCATACGGTGGTGCACCATCATATAACTGAGCGCACGTTCGACCACACGGACTTCCTATTCGCGACTACCGTAAATAGAATGATTAACACTCCGGTAATGAATGTTATTCAGCAATACGAGTCCAACCACAAAAATGGCTAAAAAAGTAATTAAACACAATTTACTGCAAGTGTTACAGTCGCACTCCCAATAAGTCCTGCCGTTTTATCGGATAACCGCTAAGTAATAATGAATTTGTACGTACGTATTAAACTTATTGTTTTGGACTACAATACACTGACCAGTACAGCCAATTCCCCCAGTTTCTATAAGAAGTACTAAATTCGAATTACTGTGAATAAAAAAGTTGACAAACCACTCCAAATTCTTGTTCCTTTTAGTCTACGCTATAAATTATTTATTTATTAATCAGTACATATGTCTGGAGTTGATCTAGCCGAATCAACCGCAGACTCAGTTTCGTAATTCTACAATTTGTATTTGGCACTAGTGATAGTTCTGGCTGTGATCCTTCCTCGACCGCCTTCCTGGTCCTCGAACTCTCTCCTGATTACCCTCAGCGTCGTCGCTGCTCGTAGCGATTCATCGAGAGGACTATGTTGTCGAAGATGTACTCCCTGACGCCCAGTCCGCAGATGAAGTCGAAGTGGTTCCACCTTTTCCAGGGCACCTTGTAAACCGCCTCGACATTGGGCAGCCGGGTGAGCAGTCGCCAGATGTCCGCCGGAGCCACGATGTAATCGTTTTCCGAGAAGAAGACCGTGATTGGCGTGGAAACGTTTTCCAGCGCGTATTCCGGCGGTTCCAGCTGCTGGTAGTGCAGCCAGTTCCTCTCCGGTCCGTAGTCGTACTGCCGGAATCGCGTGGACACGTAGCCCTGGAAGTAGTGCATCAGCTGCTTCACGGATCCCCCGGCCGGAAAGTTGGCCATCAGGTCGGGCAGAAGGGTCTTGTTGAGGAAGCGAGTGTCGTAGCCAACCGCTGGCCACAGTCGACTGATGCAGACCAGCGGCTTCTCGTTCTCCAGACACGTCATCGAGAGGAACTTCTTGAAGAACTTGTTTGTGGAGAACATCTCCACGCCCTCGAGCATCTTGGAGACGTAGTTCCGGGTGCCCAGCACAGGACCGATCACCTTGGCCAGCCCGCTCTTCGTGTTGCTCACATAAGCAACGGGCGCCAAAAGAGTGGCGCTCTTGAAGACGGAGTTGTACTGCGGCAGCATCGAGTTGAGGACCAGGAAGACGGTGCCGCCCTGCGAGATGCCCACAAAGTGCATGGCCCTTTGCCCGGTGGTCCGGAGCACGTAGTCCACCTGGGCGGGCAGGTCGTAGACGCCCATCTCGTGCCAACTGAAGTCCCAGAACTCGCGCTCCGTCGTGTTCCGCCACACGTTCTTCCGGCAGTAGATGTTGCCCCTGTTGTTGCCCAGCCAGACATCGTATCCTGCGCGCCACAGGAGGTAGGCCAAGGAGTCCTCACGTCCGTTCAGCAGCCACCTGGAAGCGAAACTATTTATTGGATTTCCAAAGTTTGGTGTCATGTTCAAAACAATAAGCGCTTATCTCTCCTGCCATTGAGCTGAGAAGGGAAAACCAATTAGGAACGCATGACACATAGTTAATCTACCAAGTTTACTCAAATTGGCTAACCATCTTTAAAGATATAATAAACTATTGAAAATCAAGTTATTTTTTAAAAAGCTTAAAACATTTTGCAAATTAGAAATATATTAATTTTTCACAATTAAAAAAATTTAGATTTGCGGAAAGATAATATGTATATATTTTGGTTTGTCTGAGTTATTGACAAAATCTAAATTTCAATTTAATAGCTCACAAAATCTACTAAATTCTTTGACATTAAATCCATTAAATCCAGACATTAACAATGTCTTTTGGATAGTTATAAAAGGTTGTTTAGTTTTAGTTTTAGTTTAACCTTAAAACCCTATAATATAATAATGTCCTTCATTTAACATTGGTTTTGGTATTTTGAAATGGTTCGTTGCTAAAAGTTTATAAATGAGTGATTCTCAGTTTAACTTATTTTGAAGTTTAAGGGGTTAGTCATCTTGCCATTGTTAAAGAGAAGAAATTATTCTTAAGCTTATCTTTAAGTGAGAAGAGATTGGGTTTGAAATGCAACTAAGACTTATTACGCACAGCGTTTCTGTTAAATCAAATCTGTTTTTTGGCAGCGTGACTAAGAAAAGTTAAAAATTTCCATAAGTCACTAGTGGCTTTGCAAGAAATGCATTATCTTATATGTACTTTTTTATCTTTAGCGAAAGGAAGTACCAAATGGCGTATGACGCCTACTAAATCACAATACGTACACATCCGATGAGGCATACAGTCCGGAAAGCAGGAAGACGACCGGACGTCGAAGGAGGCTGCCAAGTTCGGGGTCCACCTGCGGGATGCGGTGCAAGGTCAGCACGTATCCGTCCTTTGTCGTCACCGAGTGGCGCTCCACGTTGTAGCCGTCGTTCTGGATGCGGCGCACCTGCAAGAGATAACCGACAGCGAACTGAAACGGAGGCAGGAAGCGAGGGCGACACACTCGTGGCCAAAAAACGAGCAATGCAAACACACATTGTTGGCACATTAAACGCTTGACATTTGGAGGCCACGCGACGCGTGCGTTGTGACACCTGGCTAATTAGGAATTCCGCTGGCGCACCGAACTGGGGATTGCCCACCAAATGCTCTCCCAATTCCGAGCGGTTTTGGCCAGGAACACCTACCGCATCGGTGATGATGATTTCGCGCGACTGACGCACCGTGGCCCTGGATCTGGACACCTGCTGCAATCCGATCAGCGCCAGAAAGAGCAGCGGCAGTCGCATGCTGACCAGGATTATGGTTACATGAACGCCGCACGCGGGGATTAAGTAACTGGGTAACCGATCAGAAGTCCAACCGGTTCGCAATCGATCGCCAGCGAAACGAAAGCCAAAAACTAAAAACTGAAAACTGAAAACCGAAAACGAAAGCTGCCCAAGGATCGGCGGCTAAAGGCAAAAAAGACAGCACTTTCTTTCCAAGCGGAGGAGAGCTTTCAAAAACGCCGCAACCGAAATCGAAAACCAAAAAAAAAATATAAAACACAAATAAACGAAACCGAAATTGAAATTGAAAATGAAAATGAAACTGAAGCCGAAGCCGAAGCCAAGACCAAAATCGTATGAATGGATATGAATGGGAATTGCAATCGAGGTGCCGTTTTCTCGACTTTGGCGGTACGGCAGCGAGCGTTCGATTCGAATGTGCTTTATCGACTGCGCATGCGTCCGCCGCTCGCAGGGCTTGCCACTCATTTGAGCAGCTTTAATTTTTTTTGGCGGCGGAGCAGTCGCGGAGCTCCAACCGGTGAGCCACCTGCATGCCAGTCGCAAGTTGGTCGCTCGGCGCAGGTTGCCTGAGCGCCCAGAGCAGCGGCGCATCCAAGAGTCTCAGCTCGTCTCGTCGTCGGCTTCAGCCGGCGCACCATACACTGCGCGTAATATCAACCGACACCGCCGCCCCCACTCCATCGATTTCCCTTCTGCCACTCGCAGGTCCCCTCCCCGCCTCTTCACCACCCGAAATCCAATCAGTTGGCACGCTGCCACGGCAATTTGAGCAATTATAACAGCTTAGCGAAAGAGAGAACGCCGGCCAAAACTGTCAACGAACGCGTACAGTGGGCGAATATCGCAGAAACAACCTCAAGATGAGATTAAGCGTTGAGCCGACAGCACCAGAAGAAAGTGAAATTGACCTTGTCCTAGACAGAAATTCCCAATGGTAAAGTCAGCTTAGCAATATATAGTTAACCTTCTATAACAGAAAGGTGTTAGTAAACTTAATCTTTAGATTTTAATACTAATTTTCATGCCGAACTGATACAATTAATTTAATTTAAAGTCTTAATGTCAAAAAATCTCGGTACGTAAACGTTTTTCAGTTGAAATGATAATATGTAAGTTTAAAATTGTAATCAAAGAAACCCATTTTTCAAAAATAGGAAATAAATTCATTATGCAAATAAAATAAATATTTACAAGAAAAAATAGGGCACTGCATTTCGTTTATAATTTAGTTAATAGTAATAATAATAATTTAATTTAGTTTCCGAGTTTTGTATATCATCTAGTTCAAAAAAAATATAAAAAACACATTTAAAGTATATCCCCAAATATTCACTCTGGCCAAAACTATAGTTTGCCTTACAGATGAACAACCGTATTACAAAGCAGTGATTCATATAGTCGCATTTATGGCTTCGACAGCTCATAGCACTGAAATCTCGCCAATCTCATAGAATTTGTAAGGGCCAACCTTGCTTACCCATTCCAGACACATCAAACGGATGATAAAGAAAGATAAATACTCTCAATGAGCCGAACAATATGAACAACTCGCGTGCCGTTAAAAGTTATGCACCTCACATACAATGCATTCATAAAAGACAATTGGTTTCGAGCAGTGTATAAATTTTGGGAGCTACTTACTTACATTTTTTTTCCTTTTTTTTTTTGGCTCTGACTGTGACTTGGTGTCTCTGGCAGCGACGTGGTTTTTCGTCGCATTGTTGTCGTCGGCCGCTGTTTTGTTTTTTTTCGCTGAATTGCAATAACCTGTTGCCTAATGAAAACGGCGGCTGCTTATTTAGGATGTGGCCCGACTTGGCCCAAGCACTCGCACTTAGTTGCCAACAAGCATATGGCGGGCATGTACCTTTGGCGACCCATAGTCTTCTGGTGTTTATGTTTGCCTACTTGAAAAACAATCGACAGCTCACCCGCCAGTCCTCCAGCACTCTCACCATTCATTCAGCGGATCGCTGGAGAGCTTTCTGTTTGTTTATATGGCTCTTTAATGGCCGCTCGACAACTGCGCAGGGGTTGGAACTGCTGTGCACACGGCTTCTACTCCGTTTCATCAATGGACCGCTCCACTGCCCCACTGGCGGCATTGACCCACCGGCAAAGACTCACGTACTGGCGAATTCACTGAGCGACTAACCACCAGTGATGTGGGAAATCCAGTCCAGTGTACTCACTTGCACTCCTCGGTACTTCCTATCTCTACCTTATCTGTACCCAAAAATGATCGATCGATACTTAATTAACAAAATCCATAAAATATAACGGCTTTTTTATGGCTTTGAAAATGATTTCAATATCTCATAAATTATGTTAATTCGGATAAATTTCGTTAGTAAAAAATTTAATAAATTATTGATAAATCAGTAAGTTCTCTCTTAATTATTAATAACAGAATTATTTAAATAATTATAACCAACGATTTTAAGTATTAACGTTAATCTTCGATTATACTAACTTAAAATTTATTCATAATTAGATAATGTCAAAATAATGTTATTGAAGCTGGAACCATAGCACCCCAAAAAAGAACAAAAATGGCAGAAAGGGCACGTTATGAACAATTTATAAATTGTTCTCCGTGTAGAATTTCGTTTGAAACTGAACTCTAATATAAGTTCGAGACACTGCCTTGACCAAAAACGGTACCCGTCCCATCACTGGTGCTCCATTGGGCAAAGCCCAAGGCGGGTCGCGTAAATATATGTAAGTACGATTATAGCTCACAGCTTGAATGCCCATTTGTCTGGCGTTAAAACAGTCTACGCTAATTCCTATTGTGACACTTGCGACAGTCCGTTGGTCGCGTGTGACTGCGGCGGATCAAGTAAACTGTTTAGTTAACTGGTTTCGACAATTAAACTCGGGGCACTCGAGTCGGGCAATCAAACGGCACAGGGTCTCTCGGCCAGGGGCATCTTTCAGGGCTTTCGGTACTTGGTGTTTGGTATTCGGTATTCGGAATCTGGGGTGGGCAAACCTCAACCTCGTGTGACTTTCTTTCACTTTCGGCTAATGGATTCTATGTAATTGAGGCCTAAACCCTCCATAATGCACACTCCATGTCGCACTCCATTGCCAAATTTGTTTGTTTACTCGGGCCTGCGTATTGTTTGCCCGCACAAGTGATACCCGAGTGATGTAATCAAAGGGTATAAGTTGTTATGTAAACAGTTATGGATAACCATCGGTAATTATACGATGAGTTCATATTTCATTAACTAAAGAGAGATGTTTACTTCCTTCGTAGGCTGCAGCTCAAGCTGTTAAGCGATATTACCCGATTCAATTTCAAAACATTGTCGGAAAACCTAGCTGCTGTGAATAAAACCAGACAGCTGAAATAAAACGAGTTGAAATAAACAGTTTTATGTTAAATCCCCCCATACGGAAATACCTTCACTGCATCTAGTGGTGCAACTATCTTGCTCCTATCATATATTGTGGGGTATTAAACATTGTAATAAAGCCTCCAATTACTTTCGATTCAGGTAGGGTATTCAGATTCCAGTGCCGGCAAATCGGTAACACTTTCGTTGACCGCGGAGTCATTCACTCTTGACAGTTGCGTGGTGTGAACTTTGTATTGAACTTGAAACTCGAGCTGGACAAGATCTGCATAATGCATAAGATGACGGGCTTGTGTGTCGGTCACAAACCAAAGACCGTTTGGCTTTTCCGCCGAACAATGAGCTGACATTTCACTTTGAGTGCTCTGCTTTCTGATATGCATTTGGTTGCGTTTTTCCCACTTCTTTATTTCTTTTTAATTTTTTTTTCTTCTTTTTTACCAGTCCCTATGGAATTGCCGGTCCGGTTTCCGGTCGACCCAACGAGGTTTATCTAAACCAATAAGGGCGCTTATCATCAATTCGCTGCCATCCATCCGCATTGACGTCTTGGGGTCATAAATCGAAAGTGATTGAGCTCTGCAGGGAGCGAAATGCAATCTTAAGTTGGTACGTTTTTTTTTTAAATTTGTAATTATACAAAATTCTTGTTTACTCATAACATTTTTGGTTTTATTAATCATCGATGTCTGGGAATTACTGCAAGAAATATAACACCAAAGATTTGTGTGGTATCTGTTCTGCTTTGAACTGAAAAAAAAAAGTTTTGGATATTTTCAAGTAATTCCCTTTCCAACTAAAATCTGTAATTTGAATAATATAATAAAATTGTAAATTTCTAAATATAATTATTTTTGTTTACTATATTAAATATTGAAGCATGAGGAAATATTTCACATGCATGGTAATGGTGTTTACCCTTTAGAGTTTTATTTTTCGCGGTGTGGGAAAAAAACTGACTAATGATGACTGTCACCCGCTCGTTGGTAAAGTACCAGGCTCGATGGGCAGTCGTTGGGTCACTGTGCTAATCCCCTGCTAATTGTTTCCTGATGCGTTTGTAACTCGCCATCCCAAAGGAGGAGTAGGCGGACGGCCTTGGGCGGGAGGATCTGTCTACCTGGGCGCTGGCCGCTAATTACCAGCCTTTGGCTCAACTCGCGCCTGCCTGACTCACGGCCGCAGCATATTTACAACTGCCGGCTAGCCGGACAAACAAGGCAATCGGCGGTCGTAAAATGCGAATAGCTACAAATAAAACAGAAAACAAAAAATCTCAATAACAAAAAGCCGCCTCCCCACGAAAGCGACGGCAACAAAAGGAACACGCCGAGATCTCAGGAGGAAGTGGCGACGTTTCGTCATGACTAAGCGTGGTTACTCAAAGGGAAACCAATTGATTCCTTCCTGTTGCCGTCCGTTGTCCATCGTCCAGTGTCCATATTCCATCGACCGACGTCCATCGTCCATCGTCCATGTGTCCACCACAGAGCCACGACGGCAATAACAAAATCTAAATATTTAACGACTAAATTGAATCTGAAGGCGCGCTCAGGCAAATTTTCCGGCCCGACTTGCCTGCTCGGCTGCTTGGCTGGGGTTACCTGCTGGCATAATCAATAAAAGATAAACAGTGGGCCGAGTGTAGCCCATTGAAATGGCTACATCACGTAATGGAAAATGCCGCAGGGAAAGCCTACACAAGGAAAAGCTGAAAGCGACTTCATCCACACACATTTGAGTAGCAATCCGAGTAGGTAAAGCCCCTGTGGTCCGTGTTGTTGTCAACCGGCTTACGAGAAGTTTTGGGCATTCTGTCAGGGCAGCCAGACGTTCTGAAATCCACACAGCCAGCAAGTAGTTGGCCGACCTACCAGACCACCATACACATCCATCCATTCAGTCACTTGGCCGGGAAAGACCCCCGTGGTCCGCAGCCACCAGAAGCTGGAGGGGCCTTAGACCTCTGCTGGTGATCCGATTCGGGTCGGACGGACTTAAGCGACTCAAATCATTCACAAGCAAACGCTTAGAGGATGGAAATTGATTTGCAGCAGCTGTCATTCCCTGATCATAAACCAAAGAAAGCGAATTTGCGAAGAAAGCAAATAAATTTACAGCTGCAGAAGTGGCTGAAAGTTATACGGCTTTTAATATGATTTGTGGCAGTGCTTACATTTTTCAGAGTCATTTGTATTTTTGCAGAAAAATAAGAAATTATATTTCATCTTCAGATAACAAGTCCCACTAAATTCCTTTTTAATGAAACAAACCCAAATCCTGAAATCAGTTCAATAGATATTTAACCAAAAAATGTTTTATCTTTAAAACCTACAAAATCTAAATTAAATCTATTTTTTTTGAAATAGATCATAATAGACACAATAATTCGTATTCAACTTAGTACCGATTGATAGATAATTACGCATTAAATAGGTCAAGTTATGGAAATATTTTGATGATGTTCTTCCAATACAGATTAGCTTCTTCAAAATACAGATTAGCTGCTTTTTAGTACTTGACCAGTGACCGCCTTTGATCTTATCATTTCTCTTCAAAATTCGATTTCTTTAACTGCTCTATACTCGTATGAGTATGGCTCCCCGGTCGATTACATGTGATATCAAATATTTGGTTAGTCTTGCCAGCCCGACCCTTATTGTTCCTGCTCTCCTTTGTATTGGAGCTCTTGTATTGTGCCGAATAAACAATAGGAGTGCTGGGCCGAGGGCAGTGGGATGGGGATGGCATGGACACAGGGCCTAGGTAGACCAACTTCTCTGAGAAGCGGAGCGAAGTGGAGTGGAGTGGAGGGGAGTGGAGAACGCCTGCGAGCGAATTGGCTGCCAACGAACCACTCGCAGAACGAGGAGCTCGATGGCGATGACGCTGTGGAATTGAAGTGCTGGCCACAGCCGAGCCAAAATGTTGGTTTAGTGCGCATTGATTTGGGGCCGGCGCTAGGCACTTGCACTTATCGGAAGACCAACACATTTGAGAAGGGGAAGGGGTTTTGGGGGTTTGGGGCCTTAAGGCCAGCCAGCCAGCCAGGCAGCCCACTTACTTGCAGCAGAAGCCGCCTGCTGCCAGGCCCTATTATTACTGGAGAGCAAATAAACGCAGGCAGGGGCATGATGGATCTGCCGGCAAGTAGGTAGAGGGGCATCGGGGCAGAAGGGACCGACGTCGTTATCGACGCACATGCACGGCCTGCCACTGCGGCAACAACAGCAACAGCAGAAGCAGCAGCAGCAACATCTACAGCGGCAACAGCAACAGCGACAGCGGCAACATAAAATTCCAGAGCGCACGCGTTCTCAACTTTAGTTCTTTGCGAGTGGCCAACGCGTTCGGTCGTCGTGCGTGGTCGTCTGAGGAAATATAAGAAAAATAAACCCTGAAAAACCGGAGTTAGAGCGAAGTTGTAGCAACAGCTGAAAGTCTCGAGAACCATTGCAGCTGTATTCTTTATCTGCAGCCGAGTATCTGTGCACATCCCGTGTTTTATAGTGTTTGTGTGTGCTAGTGTGTGCCTGTGCGTGTTGGCCAGTTGATTTCGGGCCCGTCAAACTGGGAGCGACAACCCAATCAATCAGTCACTCAATATGGCCAGCATTTCTAAGAGCCCGAGCAGCTGCTCCTCGAGAAACAGGCTGCATCTTCAACTGGCATCGCTGCTCTGCGTGATCGTCTTCTGCCTTTTGGCTTCGAGCTCGGCTCTGCCAAGTGAATATAGTGAGTATATCCCAGACAGACTGCAGCTAAAGCTGCGGAGCTACAAGCTTGGAGGAGGCTCTATGCATTGTCGTTTCCATCATCGTGATTGTCGTAATCACTTGCAGCGGCTGCTGCGGTCGCATCAGGCCTTTGACTTATATATCTAGGGGCCCTCATCTTCTGATGCGGCTTTATAGCGATTTTCCTCGTTTGCTGCCCCTGCTGCGCCTGCTGCGATTTTGCTTGGCATAATTCAAAACGAGTGTAATTATGCCACTGCCGCGGAAGAGGCGAGATGCCGAGACCGCAAAAGGGTGCCTCTGTCTCCGCAAAAGAAAAAGAAAAGAAAAAAAAAGCAAGAAGCTAAACTCAAACGGTGGCACTTGGGTGTCATATAAATGCCCCCATCGGCAATTGCAACTCATGCTCGCCGGCAGCGTGCGAAAGTTCAATAATGTTTGGTAACAGGCCAATTGAGGCGGTCGCCGCAGTTCAAACTTTGCGATAAAGCGAAGATAATTCGGAGGAGAGTTTAACGACATTCGATTGCCGCAGCCATCGGGGTGAACAAACCCATATCGCTTTATTTAATTATCAACGCAGCCAGTTCGAGTTCTAAGGATCATTGATCATCGGGTGGCTTGTTGCCATGTTGCCATGTTCCGTTGTGTTGGACATGTAATTTCTCTCACTTAAACACCAAAAACATAATTCCTAGTCCACACCCATTACGAGAAAAGGGACTGACAGCTGACACTGGCCTGGTTTGTTCCACTACATCTGCATCTGTATCTGTATCTGTATCTGCAACTGCAACTGCGGCAAGATGCGTGGCCAAGCGAGGAGAAAATCGATATATTTTTGTTGTATCTTCTGTAAATGCCATTTTCCTCATTTGGCCGTCTCTTTGTTTTCATTCGTGCGGCATGCTTTGTCCCATTTTGATACCCTAAGACCGACTCTCCGCTGTTATTGTATCTATTTGTTGTTCTTCGGCATTCGTTCCCAAGAGATTGGGACTCGGAATTTAGGAATAGAAATGGACTGCCTGGACCGACCGCCCATGCATATCTCATGCAGAGCATCTAATAATTCCGCTTTTCCACGAACTCGCTTGCATCTTCTTAGAGGCTCAAAAGGGGGAGGGGGAAGGGATTGCTACGCAGAGGAGATGGGGGTGGGGATGGAGAAATGGAATAGATGTCCCCTCATAAATAAGTCAGCTACTTTAGGGGGCACACAATGCGACAGGCTGGGCGGGTTGCCCGGTCGCGTTGGTTTGTTTATTTGGTTACTAATTTGGGATTCCTCGATTCGTTGGTGTCTGCGGTGTGTGTCTGGAATTTTAATCACTGAATCGGCCACTCGAGTAAATTTTGAGTAATGGGACGCGGGCGAACGTCTCTGAAGGAGAATTCGGGCTGATCAGGTTGCGTTTGGCCAGCAGGCGGGGAAAAACCCGGGACCCAGTTGTGAATGAATGTGTGAGAAAATGTGCACTGATGACAGCCATGATAGCCGCCTAGATGTGGCTATGAATGGGCCGTGTCGAAGACAGATAGACAGACGGACAAATGCCCAGCCAGATGCCAATCGGGAGCCATAAAGAACCCGTCGAAAAGGCCTAATGGCACTCGCGTGGAATATGGATGTAATATTTGTTTATTAGTGCGTTAAATGGGAAGTTTATCAATGTAGCGGTCCGTCTATTAACATCGTTCGAAAATACATTTTATTAATTTCCGCTTTTAAATGCATTCTGATATTTGAGCGGTCCCTTTTTTCGGGGAAAGTTAGGGAGAAGCTTTTAATACTTTCCAAGCCTATTTCCATTTTTGGGTGGGTACTTGGGACGTGTGGGAGAAAGCAGAACCTAGTCATCGTTGTGAAGTTATCGTACTTATAACTTTATTTCCCTCAGCCACAATTTAGCAAAGGGTCGATAAAGATTTCTCCAGGGACACTAAATAATCACGTTTTTTCATAAAGGATTGCCCCCTGTGGGATCGTTGTAACAATCTTTTCCATCACATTAAAAGTACTTTATGAACAAAAATTAATTAAAAGAGCTATAAGCTTCTTTATAAAAAAAAATTACATAATTATATCATAGAGAAATAATTGAAACTAAGCAATTAAGCAAAGGCTTTGATTTTGAATTTGTAATGCCTTTACATGTTTGTTTGTTTTAAAATAAGATTACATTCTACAAACATGAGTATACAATCTACATTTGTGCACTCTACATTTTACGCTACTTTACATATGCTCTACATTATTTTATCAAGGGTTTGTGGACACACTAAACCGTTTCCTCTTTCGCGTTTTTTAAATGATTTATTTCAATTACATTTAACTGGAATTTCATTTAACTTATCTTTATTTATTTTTTCTAAAGTCGAATCAACCTCCTTGCCTCCACAAGTACAAGAAGACACCACGATACTTCCCATCCAGTTGGAAGAGAGTTCTACACCTTCACAGCCATCGACTCTGAATGCAACTACGCCTTCTCATCCTGTAGAAGATGCCCCTGTTGATGATCGTGTTGATACTAATGAGGCAGTGGACGGCGGAACACTGGAGCAAGAAATCAAATATGATGTGAAAAGTGAGGTGGAGGATGAACCTTCTCCGAGAGAACAAATTTTGGAAAATGTTCAAGAGGCACTGAAAAATACTGACAGTGAGTTGGGATACGTTATCTGTTAAAAATCAATCTAATCAATGTAATTTCTGCAGTTTTTGCTCTAAGTGCGCGTGAACCCAAAACTCTAGATACTGAGGAGGAGACCAAACCTATCCAAGATGAGCAGTCGGAAGACCAAGAGAAACCAGAGGAACCTGAGAATGTAACCGACAACATAGCCGATTCCAGTGAAGTGGTGGAAAGTCGCCGCAGGCCTTTGCCCGCAATTACCAGTGACTTAGTATCCGTGATTTTCAACGAAGAAAAAGCCATCACTGAACAACCCATCACCAAAACCAATCTCTTGGCCTTGGAGCAGGAACACGAGAATTTCGAGCTGGAGGCCAGCACTCCGGTGCCAACTTTCGAGGAGCAAAAGCATCAAGTGACCAAGAAACAGGGCGTGGAGGACCCGATTCTCATTGAATCTCCTCCTGAGGTGAACCAGGAACCAGCAGTTGATCCTGTCGAGACTTTCCGTGAGGATCGCCAACTCGGTGAGCGTTATGGCCACCAGAGCGATGACGACAACTATATTGAAGATGATGAGGCACCAACCAAGACTTCGACCAGTCCAGCTCCTATTGCCAAAGAGGAACCTGCAAAATCTGATACAGAAACTGCAAATGAAGAAATTGAAAAGAAGGCGGAAGCTGAAGCCAAGGAGGAAATTGAAAAAGAAGTGGCTGTTACTCCTTCGGAAGAATCCAGTGTGGAGGCTGCAGACTCAGATGATACGCAACCTGAAGTTGAGATTGCTGAAACCCCAGATGAGACTCCCACAGAAACTGTTAAGTTAAGCGAAGAGGAACCTAAGGAAGAAGATCCGGTTCAGCAAATTGATCTTAAGCTTCCTGCTATTGAATCCTCTTCCCTGGCCAATATTGTACCAACTTCCACAGCGGAGCCACAAAAAGAAGAGGACTCACAAGATGTTGAGGCTGAATCTGTAGAAAATAATGATAAAGGCATTGTTGAGATTGCTAAAGCACAGGAGGAGAGTTCCACAGAAACTGCCAAGGAAACCGAAGAGGAACCAAAGGAAGAAGATCCGGTTCAGCAAGTTGACAATGACGAGCCTGCTATTCAGTCATCTTCAGTGGCCAACCATGAACCCAGTTCCACAGAGGAGCCAAAGAAAGAAGAGGACCCACAAAAGATTGATGACGAATCTGCAGAGAAGAACGATAGTGAAGAAGCGGATGTTAAGGCAACCGAAAAAACGGAGACAGATGACCAATCTTCCGAGGAAGATAAGGAACCCGTTGCTGATGAAGCGAAGCCCTCTTCGGATGACAGCACTGCCACTCCACTGGTTTCCTATCCACCACACGATGCTGGTCAGACCTTCGATAGCAACTCGGCTGATGAGCACTCCGCCCAACTTTCGGGACCCTCTAATTACCGATCCACCATCATCATAGTTCTCTGTTCCGGAACCGCTGTGATCTTCATCGTGGCATCGATAGTGATCTTCATGGTCTCCTTCCAGCGACAGCACGGCACTCTGGACATCGAAATGCAGGAACAGCGATTGGGAAAGGATATCCAGGATGAGGATAATGTCCAGATAAAGCTGCTCGATGTGGACCTTTCGTCACCCGTCATATTGCCGATGGGCAACGAGGAGACTGACGAATGCCTGTAGACCCGCTTTGCATTATTGTCAATGATGCCCTGTAAATATTTATTACCTTCGCGATTTTAGCCTGCTCCTCTGGCTGGCTGTTAACTTTGGTTTCTAAATTGCTGACTGAGAACAGCTGCGAGCGAATCAAAACGAAATATTCAATCGAATCGAACGAAATCATTTGCCATACTGTTTAATTTTAAATGCACTTTAGCTCTAAATTGTTTTGAAAAATTTGAAAAAATATTTACGTTAAGACACTTTCTGTAGATTTAAGCGCTTTTTTATTGAGTCTGATGAAAAGTCAGAATAAACATTTTCGAATTTGTAATGAAAGCTGAGGGCTTTTGTATGTATTTATGCCACCAAACTAAATTTAAACCTAGATAAATGACTATTTAAATATTGCTCTTAAAAAAAAATTTAATAAAAAAAATTCATTTAAATTTTTTAATATTTTTTGGGTGTGAATGGTGATTTTGGATTCCATAGTAAGATAGGCACTACTCACCTCTTTTTCCCATTTTCCAAGGGTTTTGTTGAAAGTATGACTGATATATTAACATGTCTTTGAAGAAGCATTTTTGCAAAGCTGTTTAAAACGACCATGGAAGGCTCGAAAAGCAAGTTTTCTTTGCTGCTTGAGCATCACTCATACAGTTTAGATACGTTTTGCTAAGACAGTTACTAACCGAAGGTAGGTGTTAAGGTACGAATGACTACCGTCGGAAAACTGTTGCATTATGCATAAGAGCTGTTTTTTGTGTTGTAACCTTAAGATTGTTCTGAGTGCAGTTCACCTACTAAGCCCCAAGATTAGACCCGAAAAGGTTAACCAGAAATGATTTACTGGAAAAACTAACACACATGTCCCAAACCCATGGCACTCGAACGCCTAATTGCTTGCGAGGCGTATTGATCAAAAGCTCATTTGCCACTTGGACGTTTGCGGGCGGCACGCTTCAAAGTTGATTCTTAATTAGTTAATAATAAATCGAGAGCAGGCCGATCCGAACGGAGAGTGGCAGAGTGGCAGAGAGCGGCGAGATTACCGCCAGCGTGCAACATAATAAATAAGAGCATTTTGAACTCCCACCCGTCAGTCGGCACTCCCATTATTTTAAAAGACTCATCTTCGCCTTTCATCGGAAAAGCGAGTGGCTGTCTTTGTGTAAATGAGCCAAATGAGCAGAATGAAAAGGCGCTCGCTTCGTGACCGAATGAAATAAACAAAGCGATTTCCAGATTAAGAGCTCGTCTATTCGGATATGTATTTGTTTACGCGGGATTATGCAACCGCCCGCACAGTGGTCTCCGCTTTCCGCTTTTCGCTTTCTGTCGCCATTAGACAATCAATTTAAAAGCAATAAAATACCAATTGACAGCATCGTTTTGCCCAATTCCATCGAAGTCAATTGCCAAACTCGAACTCCACGGAGCTCTACTTGAGTCGGAAACTAAGCGACTCGCCGACGTCATTGTCCGCTCGACTTGGCGGGCTGAAATGCAAGCCGCACAAAGTTGCCACAAGTCTATTGTAATGGCCGGGATTGGGTTGCACTCGACGGACGGGCGACCACTGTGCTGCAGCTCGGCGGGGACTTTTCCCCATTTTCTTCCGGACTTTTGTCTGGCGAGCGTCTAACGGCTAAAGCTCCCGCTCACGCGCCTTTCGCTCAGCTGTTCCGCTTTTCCTATCGCTCCTCTATTATTTTCCCGATTAAACCGTCTTGGCATGCATGCTTCTAGTCTCTAGTCTCCCTCTCTCTCTCTCACTCACTCGCTCGCTCGCTCGCTCACACTTTGTGGGTGTGTGCGAGCGCTTTTTCATCTGCCACACATTTCGAAAAAAACAAAATAGCAACATCAAAAGTTTTTCAGTTTGCTTGTTGCTTTACACGCGTGCGGTTCGCTTGGATTCGCTCCTCCTTCCGTTCGAGAAAATAAATATAAAGAGTGTGTGTGGTGTGCTCGTCTTTGAAACCGCCAAAGGTAGATGGTTTTGCCGCCGCTATGAAATTCCGCTGCTATTTCAGACAGCTGTGCAAACCCAGTGATATACGCTGCGTATACGCAACGCTGTCAGCACGTCACCCATACGCGCAGTGGTCCGAGCAGCCGAACGTTATTAATTCTGCAGTCTTCTTCTTAATTCTGCAAGTGCCGTGAAATGTTTCGAATTAGTTTCTGGCGCTTCGCGACGCCCAAGGTGCGCATTGGCGCAAAATTCGATTCAGTTTTGAATTCACCCGAAGCATAGTAGATATAGCGAACGAAACAAGTAGGCGGATGGATCTATGTATATGCTGTAGTTCTTTTTTTTTTGGCAACAATGCCTAACCATGTTCTTAGTATGAGTCAGCGGCTTCTTGCCGTGACCGCGACGGCAGTGAAACCGAAATGAAAGGCGGTGCATTTGTTGAACAGAAAATAAGAACAAAACAAATGAGACCACCTCGCTCCCAATTCACAAACGTTCCCCAATTAGAAATGTAAACACAGAATTCCGAATATAACTTGTCGGCAGGTGTTGCATCCCGTGGTGTTTCCTCCGTTGGCGGGTTTTTCTCAGCGCCAGTTCAGCGATGTAGTGATATAACCGAGATCTGAGGGCAGCCGGCCAGCTGGCACTGGATATGCACATTCTGAGCCCGCTTCTCCTCCACCATGTCATTTGCGACTTGGCAGCATGTGCACTTGCCAATAGTCGCACAAGCACTGCGATAACTAGAGCATCATCTTGTTTTGGTGCCAAAGTCAAGCGTATAATTGCCAGCCGGAGGCGGATTACAGGGACACTTGCCACTTTCACATACTACTACACTACTCGATTTCTATGTCGATGACGACGAGCGCCCACAATTTGCTTAACTTTTATTTAATGTCATTATTTCCGATGCCTTTCAATGGCCTTTCGCATGCCGCACGGATTTGTGGGCTGCGGTCGTACTATATGCGAATCGGATGTGGGGCGTTCGATTCGCCATATCTGTCGCCAGTCCCTGAGAATAATAAAAAACGGCGCAAACAATGGTAGTAGCAACAAATTACCTCTAATAGTTATAGTCAGTGAAGTAACGCCCAGGCGGCGAAATTGTTTTTCAATCGCTCAATTGAATGCGATATAAATGAAACGACATAGAAATTAAAACTATTCCTTGGTCAGTTGAAAATATGTTAATGGAAATTGCTCTGGCATAGAAACGGCAAAACAATTGGGCAACAAATAAAGTTGTTCTATTGACAGTTTAGCAGGGGTTCGAGTGTTGGGCACGCGATATCTTGGGATTGTTCTCAATCACTATCAATCAGTTTGCCAGCCATCTGCGCGATTGACAACCAGTTTTAATTCGCTGCCCTTTTGAGGTGATCTAAGGGGAACTTGGGCAACTTCCTCTGGTTTCCAGCCATTTCCCCCCCGCCACCCACACAATTTGGTTGCGCATTTCCAGCATGATTGGGCTGATTCGATTTGGTTTGGCTCTGGCTTTACGCTTGGCTAATTAGGCGGCAATTAAATATTTTGTTAAGCCGGAGAACAGAACCCGAAACAGAATAGTTGCCAAATTGGTTGTTTCCAAAAAAGAAGAACCGAAAACCGAATTCAAAGGCGACCCGCGAAGAGCGGAAGTTATATATCCTAAGCGGGCTGATATCATGGCTATTTATATAGTATGTACTCGTGTGTCGCCAGCAGATGAGTTATTACCCTTGGGGACTAGAAGTTGGTCAGACGGTGCACGGCATATCAATTAGAAGAAAGCGGGATAGCCGGGCGAGGCCATCACCCTTTCGGAATGGCATGTGCGAATGCGCCTCCTGGAAAGCTAGGTGCAACATGTGTGGCGACTCTGACCCGCCACGTTCCGGTCATTAACCGGAAAAGTGCATCGCTCAGACAAGCGGTCATTAAAGAGAGAACCCCCTGCCCCGCATTCCGGCGATCTCGCCACTAACTCAGATCATTAATTGCAGCCGTTTGATTTGTTTACTCGAAAAAAGAACTCACGGAAAGACAACAATTCGCGAAAGTGCAGAAGGCAGGAAGAGCCAACTCGCAAACACAAACAATTCCTTTGCGTTTCGGCCAAGTTCCGTCGGTCGGACGGACGGACGGACGGACGACTAGTACATAGCGAGAAATTTTAAGTGCAAATAAAAACAATGACGACAGCCAAATGGATTTGGCGCTTGGCGCTGAGCATCTTGCTGGGTGAGTACGACCGCCTATTACTACCTCTATGTTATTCCAAGGCAGACCGATGCTGATTTTATGGACTTTTGATCGATTTACGGTATTTTCGGCCAGTTGTGTAAACGAAAGGCGTTTCGCACATGGCCCTGCGGGAACTTGAACCCCTTGCTCCCCCTTTTTCTTGTGGGCCTCCACCACTTTGGCCTTCGATTAGAATTCCGACGGCTGCCATGCACAGTGCGTCACGAAAGTTTGCGATCGCCGAATCAATGGGCAAATGGCATAATGTTTATTTTCGGAAATGCAAAGTCAGCTCTGTCAGCTGGATGTTTGCTTGTCATTCCCCTTCCTTCGGTTTTTTATCATCTATATCTCTTAAATCACATAAACTAATTTTGAGAAGATGAGTATGTGGCTATTAACATGAAAATTAATTCTCAAAATTTCCACTTAAACCAAATACAAAGAATAAATAAGAAAATATGTCTTAATTAATTATGGTGAAGAAGGAATACTCTTGAAAGAGTTTATTATTATTGAAAAATTGAAAACTATAAAACATTAATATTTCAAGGTCTTTAAATAAAAACTGCTCTTTGAATTTGTTTTTTTTTATAGAGAAGTGGCAAGCTGAATTTTAAAATATGAATATCTTCAATAGTACACTGATCTATTTATGTTTTTCATTCTTGGCCTACCATGTCGCCGGCTCGCCTTAATAAATCAATGAAATATACATATTCTAATGTTCGTTTCCATCTGGCAAACATTCGCATTCGTTCTTTTCGATAATTTCCACAACACTTTGACAAATCGTGCCTGAAAGCTGGCCAAAATGCTGACACCCTTTCAGTCACTTGTCAGCTGGTCTGTCTTCCTGTTTTGACATCCAAATCACTGAGCCCTGCTACATGGTAACCTATGGTTCGATTTGAAACCCACGCCATCATCAGCAGACCTCCATTACGCATACGCAGTGTTGACTCAAGCAGGTGGTCCATTGAAAGTGGAATTCAAACGAAACCTCAGCTGTCACTGCAGAGATGCTGTGTCTCACTTGGCCGAAGATATAGTAAAAGTCAGGCAAACAAGCAGATCGCGTCGCATGGCCGTTTAACGAGCGTGGGAAATTTCTTCGCTACCGTGACGCACTTGTTGCTATTTTCGGACCGCTAGTTTGGCCATTAATAAATAAGCATAACGAATTTGGGATACTAATAGCAACAATTTAAATTTTATTTATCAACATCTTTTACGACTTGCAAATATTTCGTTTCGTTTTTTATGATCTTGTTGGATGGTTTGTTTACCAGTCCTTGGCCTCGTGGCTGCGGAAAAGCCGAAAGGCTATCACCGGGAAATTTGCCAGTATCGTAAGGGCCTACATGTGAGTTGGGAATGATTAGTGTAATCAAAAATCTCTATTCACCTATATGATTTCTTCAGATCCAATCAATGAGCGCTTATCACAATCGCCTGATGGCCGTGAGACAGCAAATGCTAATTAGAGCCAGTCTGCTGGAGCCCGAGATCTATGGATATATACTGCCCTCCACCGATGAGCATCTCAACCAGGAGGTTGCAGAACGCGATCAGCGCTTGCGATACCTCTCCGGCTTCACGGGAATCCGAGCCTTTGCAGCCGTAACCAGTCACGGAGCAGCCATTTGGGTGGAGAACCGATATGCCCAGCAGGCGGATGGGGAGCTCGAATGCGACTGGGAGATCTTCCTCACCAGCGGAAACGTAACGGTGGCCGATTGGCTGGGAGGCCATGTGCACGTCGACAAGCGCATCGGTGCCGATCCGCACCTGGTGCCCCATTCCCAGTGGATTCAGTGGGAGCGGGAGCTGGAGGAGAAGTTGCTAAAGCTGGTCAAGATCAACAACAATCTGATCGATCTTATTTGGGGCTCCGAGCGACCGGAAACGCCCAAGCACCACGTGATCAAGGTGCACCCCAAGCACTTTGCCGGCGAGAGCTGGCAGGACAAGGTCAAGGAGCTGAGGAGGCGACTGGCCCACCTGGGCTGCGATGCTATGGTGATCACCTCGCTGACCGAGATCGCCTATCTGCTCAACATCCGTGGCAACGACATTCCCTACACGCCAGTGGTGAAGGTGAGTTTGATGTTATAACTTTACTTTCAATCTTATAACAATTCAATTTATTTAACAGTCCTACGCCATTGTCAGCCAGGATGATGTCTTCTTCTACGTGGACCATGCCAAGATCAGCTTGGGCATAGACTTTCATCTTCGCACGGACTGCTTCAATGAGTATTGTGTAAAGTAAGTACATATTAGCTTAAAGAACAAAAGGGAAATCATCGGTATTAAAAATAATTTAATTACTTTAAGAAAAAAAATGAATATTTTAAATATTCAATAAGTAAATTACGACAAAAAAAATATTTCAAAAATCAAATATGTTTCAATACTTTTTTTTAATGATTTATAATTTTCAAAATCTTAAAAATTTGTAAGATATCCTCGTTTTTTCAATTTGTACTTAATTTAAGTAAAATAAGTAATGTATAGTATTTCATTATAAACTTATTACAACTGATTAATATATCTTATGTTTTCTGCAGGATTAAGGAGTACAATCAGGTTTGGAGCGACATCCGTACCTACGCGCAGAAATGGAAGCGAGTGCTGGTCTCGGCTCCTTGTGTCCAGGAACTGGGTGCCTCGGAGGCAATCTACTCCTCGATGCCGGGTAAAATCGTCGTGTGGGAGATCTCGCCCATCATCTTCATGCGGGCGCAGAAGAACTCCGACGAGCAGGAGGGAATGCGGAGGGCGCACATCCGGGATGGAGCCGCCATTTGCACGGCCATGAGCAACATGGAAAACAGGTTCGGCACGGAGCAGTGGACCGAGGAGAAGATCAAGTACGAGGTGGAGTTGTGGCGTCTGTCCCAGGAGCACGCTAAGAATCTGGCGATGAGGACCGTGGTGGCCTACGGCGAGCACTCCGCACTTCCATATTACATATCCAGCAACGTAACAGACATCGAGGTATCCGATCAGAGTCTGCTGGTCATCGAGTCCGGTGGTCAGTACCTGGACGGCACAACGGATGTATCGAGAACCTTTATGTTTGGACAACCCACTCAGGAAATGAAGAAGGCCTACACGAATGTGCTGGCTGGCATTCTGCACCTCACACAACTCAAGTTTCCCTCGGATCTGAAGCCCTCGGAAGTGGACGCCCTGGTGCGCAGCATGGTGTGGAAGGACATGACGGACTTTCCGCAGGCAACGGGGCATGGCATTGGCTCCTTCAGTTCCGTGGAAGAACGTGGGTATAGGTTATTATTTATTAGATCTATTTCGAAAGGTTTTTTTATCCCTAAAACAGCTCCCATTTCGGTTGCCTATGGCAAGAACAGCAGCTTCCACTTCAAACAGGGCTACTTCTTCTCCAGCGGTAAGTTATTTCTACGGATTACAAAATATTATTATTTAAGTCTAAAAATCATATTAAAGCAGTTAAGCTTTATATATGTAATTTGTATACCAAGATATACTGATAATAAATTTATTAGATTTTTTATAAAAATTGGTTGAGATTTTAATTTATAGACTCATAAATCTGAAGCAATTGTTACAGCAGTTGTGGATTCATATAAATCTCAATTAAATGTTCTTGAAATTATTTTTTTTTTATTAAAGAAAGAACCCATATTTCATAAGTTTTTTATCCATGCCACCTTCTAATATTTTTGTATTCACTAACCTTGTCTTAATCCAGAATCCGGCTACTACAAGCGCAATGACTTCGGCGTCCGTCTGAAGAACGTGCTCGAGGTGGTGGACACCGGACACACGCATCCCAGCGGAGCACACTTCCTTGCATTCCAGGACGTCACGATGGTGCCGTACGAGCCCAAGTTGATCGACAGCACGCTCCTGAGTGCCGCGGAAAAGCGGCTCCTCAACGAGTACAACGCGAAGATCAGGAACGATGTTGGCGGGGAGCTGAAGCGAGTGGGGGACATGCAGGGCTTCCACTGGATGATGACCAAGACGCGGCACATCCGGGAGTATTTGCCGGAGGACGAGTACCGATCGGCGCTTAACGGAGCAAGTGGTGGACCCACCACGAGGTGTCTCATATTCATGGGTCTTCTGATCGTCCTATCCGCCATCCTCCCCACGCAATCGTAGGGAACCGAATTTCTTAGTGTACGCTTTCTGTAATTATGTAGATTTAGATAGCTATGCAAATTTAAAGAGAGAATCTGGGACTAACACGAAATCGAACCAATTAATAACCGCAACTGTTAGTATTTTAGTAACGTCATTTGGCAATAAATACAATATCACTCTGCCACCAAGTTCCCTGTTTAGGAATAGGTTTTCACTTACACCAAATACGTAAAATGAAGTGTATAAAATCTTTAATCGTAATCGACCAAAAATATGTTAAACCTGTTTATATTAATACGCATTGTCTGTATACTTAAGAAATAACATTGTATATTTTTCTAAATATAATTTGGAAAGAACGTTTTATTGAGTTTTTATGCATTTTGCTCGACATTTGTGTTGACGGCAAGGGTATATAAGCTTCGGCTCGCCGAAGGTAGCTTCCTTTCTTGTTTTTTTTTTGGGGGGGTTTTCAGTTCAGCCTAGATAACGTTTATCATGTTTGGCTAGATTAACAGACATAAATGAATGTACAATTTTACACAAATTCTACAAATTTTATAACATTCAGTAAAATGATTTTACACGATAATCGCTTGAAGGTCCCCATTTCTGTAGCATATTTTACTGCTGAATGTGCAAAATAAGCTTGTGGGTTGAGCTCGGCAACTGAATATTTTCTCATAAAAATCATAATCAAGTGAACTCATTAGGATTGGCAATTCAAAAAATACTGATAAAAGAAGAACGAGCCGAACAACTTTCAGGGTTAAAAGTTTTCAATGATATAGAACTGGAGATGTCCGATTAAATAAAGTAACTATAGGATCTTATTACAACTTGCCATGCCTTCAATTTGTTATAGGGAAACAGATATCAAGAACTTGAAGAGATAATCGTTTATATTGGTGAACCTCAAACGGACATGGAAAAATTAAAATATTGTAAGCTGATATAATCAAGCTGTCTGGCAGCATCTGCCAACGAATCAGATTAACACATTGAGTAATCTCCAACCTACTTGTGTTTGTAATGAGACTATTTCTATCCAATAGTTATTCAACGAGTGTAATCCCAACTTGAAATGCTTTTCAATTGCCCCCAATGGCTGTCAAATCCAGTTCAGCACCTGGCGGCCAGACAGGCGATTCAGGATTGGCAAAGTCCAAGTTTAAATGGGTCATCGTGAGCAAGGAGCCAGGTCGTTTACGGTAAATGGTATTCCAAGAGCTCATCTATCAGTGGCACATTTCAGCCAAATCCCCCCAATCGAACTAGAACAGCCGCCAACGATTCCATGGCCCAGTTTCGCCCGTGGCACAAAGGAGTTGAGATGCAGCGGCCACTGGAAAGCCTCATCTTTTGTGGGTTGCACCAGAACCCGACACTTGTTCTGAAAGATCGACCCATTTTGCCGAATGGCCCGAGTCAGCGAACCTGTTTCCACTCCGATGATGCGATGGAGGCATCTAGTCAGCTTGGTGGCTGCCTGGTTGCCTGGCATGAATATGCGCGGCCAAAGTTATCGACGGCCTGGCCAAAACATGAATTAATTTGGCCCGGGTGCCTCGACCGCCGCGGCGGCAACATCGCATCGTCCGCCTAACGGTGCACTCGAATATTGGCCAGAGATTTGCCTTGCGAATGGGCACGCGGCAATTTGGGCCAGTGTCCACGCAGGTTTTTCCACTTTTCGGCGCTAGAAACTGGGCCTCGAGATCGAGTCAAGGTGGACGGGCGAAGCCAATCCGACCTGACCTGCTCCAAAAAAGCGAGGACTACATCACGCTTGGGGGATAAGTCGCATGTGGTGGGAGGGGTGTCATGCTAATGAAAAATTGCAAATTGCTATTGGGCACAAGTAAGTTTAATGTAAGTAATGACAGTCTCATAAAACGTAATTTGAATGAGCACTAGCACGGCACCCCGATACGCACGGAATGCTTTAATAAAGTTATAAAAATTTATTCGCTATCATATAACTTACATACAGTTTCGAGATTATTGGATTGAAATTTATTATAGGTTCACTTAAACAAATACTGTTTAAGAAACTTTGATTAAAAATTTAATAGAACCCGTTATTCAACACAAAAAACTACCTCTAACAATGTTTAAGTCATTTCAAAATACAGAATTACTTTTAAGATTACATATATGAAGAAACGACAAAAAAATACAACGTTGTTTTCTTTAATATTGAAAAATTGAAGTGAAGAAATATAAGATATTTCCACTTTAATTTATGCCTATCATACTAAAATTCTTTTTATAGCTTGTTAGTTACTTAACCAGTTAAAAAGAGGTGGTACTAAATCTTCCTACCAGTTACTGTTTAGAGAAATCATCCATGTAAACATCCTACTCAAAACCAAAGTTTTTGTTAGGAAAAGAAAAAGTTATTTAGTTAGCCAACTCCTTGCGACTTCTGTTGACTTAAGCGTGGCAAATTGGCATCATTAGTGTCGTACTTAGGATCGCCACTCGCCGCAGGTTTTGTCTGCTAACCAAACCAAACTTTTGGCTAATCCACTTCAGCTGCCGTCAGCCGTCAGCACTTTGGTTTGTGCCAACTGCACGCATGCGCAGAGGCCAAAACAAACTGGCCACTGCACCGGGTACATCTGTATGCCCATCTCTTTTTGTGCGACGCAGTCCGTCTCTTTCTGGGTCTCTGCATCTCGACGCTGGCTTTGGAAGCCGTCAAATTGGCCTGCCGCAGTTAGTCTCGTTATTGACTTCGCGCACTCCGGTCGCTGGCTCGGCATCTGAGTTTTCCTCACCATTTTCTCGGCTGGAAAATGCAAATTACGAACGAACGAAAGTGTTGTCGCCTACTGAAGAATAGGAACGTGACCGAGTCATTGGGAAAATAAGCAGAATTTGTACTTTGATTGCCGGGTTGCCGAGGAAAGTTTCGCCTGCATTAAAGCTCGTTTCAATCAAGAGCAACGTTTAACAATTTAGGATCTGTCAAGTGTAAAGTGATTTTTTATGTGAATAATGTGGCACAAAGAAGTCAAAGAAGGTAAGAGTTCGTTTTCCTAAGGGTGGATAATATCACTCATACGACATGTGAGCAACTACAATTCCGTTGCATTTATGTAGGGCAATACAGCAGGTGTTGCCACTACTGTACTTCCTGCCAATTAAATCTATTAGGCGATCCTAATTACCCGAAGAACAAACCGATGACATTCTCCCAACAGAAACGGACAGGCAAACAAAAACTGGACATCGACTTCGCCTGTGTGCGTTGACAGCCATAAAAGCCTTGTTAGCAGAGCGTCATACGCTTATTCGATTAGCGGGATTTACGGCCAGTGCAGCTGCTGTGTTGGTAGCTTCTTAGGCCATCTCGACGACACTCGAATCAACGAATCAAGATCGACACACCATTTTTCCTGCTAAACTCGTTCAGGTTTCCTACTTGTACGTACAACTTACCACCGGCTTTAGCTTTGTCCGTTGGCCGCAATTGTTGTCCGCGCGCTTCTTTCTAGGAGGGATCTCGGCTTTTCCAGCAATTATTTTCAGATTTTCTCCTCGACTGCAAGGCTGCGTGACAGGTCCGCGGTTCAGAAACTGGAGCATCGATGCGCAGTTGGCTTCAGCTGCGATCCAACTCGTTTCCACTTCTAAAGGTGGGTCACAGCCATAACTCTCCGACTGGACCTGCTATCTGCAATCCCCGATCCACAGACACGTCTGTTCTGCGATGGATGTGACTGGCTGTATAATCGTGCGTTGAGCCATTTCCAATCACCATTTTACCGCTATCGAACAATCTCTTTATCGGGACGCTAGAATGTGCTAATGAACCATTCTAACGCTCTTCAGATCGATTCAATTGTCGGTTTTATAACAGTTGGCAATGTGGCACTTATGGTGTGCCTATTAAAAGTCCAGCTAAGGAGAGGGCCTAAACCATTTTAAACTGGAATATTCTCTAAACAAAGTAGGGTATTCTCCACTTATAGTCAGAATTTCACAAAAAAAAAATCTATAATCCGTAGATATTTGCTGCCTAAATAGCTCAAAAGTAAGCTATTGCGTTAGAAAAGTTTCCATTCCAGTTAAAAATTCAACGTACTTTGTAATGATAACCCTAAATAACAATAGTTAGCTAGAAACCTTGCTTGGCTTATTGTTTATTTTTAGTGTATGCATATTAGCAATTATTGCCTCGCTGGGGCGTCCAGACAGGCAGTTTAGCCAAAAATAGAAACAATTACAATAATCCACGCGCAGAAGCAGCTAGCCCTTAATTTAGCCGGCGGCCTTAATGGTCAGTGGCATCGCACCTTGTAATTATGAATAGCAATAAAGAAAATCTATTTTCTCGTGCCTTCCGAGCAGTGCAAACTTTCCCCGCGAGGGCGATAAATGACAAGAAAACAATTATCTGGCCAAGAAAGAACTACGATTTTATCTTCCAGAGGAACGGCACTGGGCCACAAAGAGCACAGTTAGCCAACAATCAGATGGTGTCAATGTGGGTACTCAACATCCAAGTTGGCTACCGTTTGGAAAATCAAGAATCAAGATCTGGATGGCGGAAAGCCGGCTGACCCACAAAGCACGCGCCATTTGAACCCAACAAACCGTCATAAATGAAAGCCATTTAGCACCCAGTCTGCCAAGAAGAACGGCGTTGAAGGGGCCAATTAAAACGTTAGATTTCGGACAGTGCCATAAAATATTTCATGCGGCGAAGAATTTCCATCAGAATTTTCGTGACTGGTTGCCGCAAAGGTCCGATTCCGGGGGCCTTAAGCCACGGACTGTGGCCATGTGGTATGCAAATGCTTATGGCAATTTATGGCCCAGAGTTCATGAGCAGCGCGTCACGCTCTTTTGGGCAATTTCTTTGGCGGATTTCATTATCTACCCCGTGATGCGCCGCACCTTCTCCTTTTTTCAGGGGGCATTGTTCGGTAAAGTGTCCATGGCGCCGCCTGTTCGGAAGATGTTCATGCTAAGCACAAATTAAGCAGGATTTTATGATACAAACATGTCCAAACTTTTTACATAATCGATCTTGACCGCCTTTAGGCAGTGGTTATAATCCAAGGAGTGCCAAAATAACCTTGCAGGAAGAGTAGAGCAACAAAATGCCCAAGTTTTATATTTATTTCTCGTGTGTAACACCCATTCATCACATTTTTGGGATACTTGAGGTGATAATTGATACGTTTAAGTTATGGAAAAGGTATTTCCTAAGCTCTTTTACTAAAACTACAGGAGGTCTAGGAAGTATCATAACAGAAAGCCATAAAAGCAAGCAAAGCAAGTGACAATATAAACAAGGAAATCGCCGGTGTAGTGCCAACTTTTCGCTAATTATATAAACCGAAAACATCAAGAGTGTTTAACATCTTAATGAGTGGCTTTGGATTTAAAATCCACACCTCCGAGGGTCAGTGGTCGTGATCTTGGCCAACTCACGTAGCTGGATCGTTAAGCAAAGTGTCCAAGTGCTTCTGCAAATTTCTACAAAGGGGATTATAGCCGCGAAATTAATTTCTTTTTAACCACCCCCTGGGCTCAGAGCGCTCCGGCTCGTGAAAAGTGAATCGCGATTGTTCGACGGATGAGTGGGTCGAGCGGGCCACTCCGAGAAAAAAAAGGCGAGAAATGGCGTAATGAGTAGCACAATGTGACAATTGTCGTGTATTTTTCAAGACTCATTTCGAATTCGGGTTCGTGACGCAACGACTTCGGGCGGCTAATGAATGAATGGAGTGCCATGGAGTGGTAGTTGTAAAGGGGAATAGGGCACGCGGAAATGCAGGGGAAGACATCTCTTTCTCGGCCGCGATTCTACAAAGAAAGTCTCGCGCAGCGATTATGTCTGCTCTGAAGCCAGGGAAAGTCATGAAACTTTAATTGCGCAATGTTTTTGTGTAAATGATTTGAATAATTTGCAGAACTTGTCCACTCCGCTACACTGAGGGAAATGTTCTCGGGCTACTCTACTCTTCTGATTTCGAGTGGAGTTCGCTGGCTTTTCAGCCGGCTTAATGGAGACTTGGGCACTCCAAATTTCTCTCACTGGCTGCGCATGTCAGATACGCAATGCTGGGCACAAGACGAGCGCGAAGGAATCAAGCGTATCTCTCTTCGGAGCTCTGGAGCACCCGACTCCAGCTCATCCCTCCGGCTGTATCTGTATCTTCAAGCTTGCCTGAGCAAAAAAGTAAAAAAAATACGACTAATTTCTGAAATAGCTGCCGCTGCACATACAAGAAACCTTTAAAACAGACACCGAAACTACGGCCGAAACACACAGCCTGGTAAATTGAATAGAGAAAGTGATGATCACGGTAGTACGATGTTATTTGTTAAATAAATCACATCACCCATCAACACCCAACCGGCGAATGCGTGCAGTTAACGGTTAAAACTCACCAAATGAAAATTCTCCTAAAAGTAAAAGCTGGCCGCGCACAATGGAAAATTCTAGCCATTCGAATAAACCGTTGAAAATGAAAAGCCCAAGGTTGAAAACGAAATTCTTTGCTATCAGCTGCCAAGTATCTCTTTAACCGTTTCGCGTTTAAGATCCATTAAAACGAAACCAGACACATCATCTGTAAAGGTCGTGGGCCAGGAAAGTCCGCAGAAGTAATGACTTTCTGAACAGGCTCCATACAAAGGCGGCAATTAGTTCGCTTTGCATTTCTTATTGTCTCACGTGGACCACTTTTAATTGCTTGTTACTGTTAGCTCATGAATAAAGCGCAAAACGTTGTCAACGACACTCGAGAAACACAGCAACGCAGTCGATCAAAGGCCATCAAAATTTAAATCTAAAATGGAAAATGGAAAGTTTGATGTAAACACAGAGATCAGAGATAGATTTTTACGGCGGCTGACTCAAAAGTTTTTATTAGTGAAATGGAAACGGAGTTTTTAATTGAAATCATCTTGGATTACGAGCGGTGGTAATGTGCTACAGGTTGATTTCATTATGGAGGCCGGCATAGATCATAAAGTATACCATGCAAACACTCCTAATACTCATGACACACTCCATGAAGCCCCTGGCTAAACAAGCAAGTGTGCTCCGTTTTTGTTTATTCTAATTTGTGAATTAAAATGCAAATGTAAGATCAACCATATAATGGCTTTGCATGCATATGAATTATTACGCTTATTACCAGAAACTATTCCTCTGCCTAGTAGAGTGTTTTTTTTCCGTTCTCGGCCGTGTTATTCTCGATTTTCAACTGCGCCCAAGCGATTTCAGCTCGGCGCAAAGTGAAAAATTAAATGCATTTTACGATGTAGAGAAAGAGGCCGCGGGCAGCTCCAATTATCGTAAGACTTGACCACGGTCATTGATTTCGAAAATGCCTTCACTGCTGCAGCCCGGTGGCTCCCAAGCTCCCCATCCCCTCTTCTCTTCCTCCTCCGGAACCCCCTAATCCGTCACAGCTTCTGCGCTTGCGCAAATGGCAAAACCCGGGCCACCGGCATTTTTAGGTAGACCCACTCGAAAACGCGACACTGTCGCCTTAATTGCAATTTGGCCCGCGGACGAAGCCGTTTTGTGGGAGATTGACATTGGGTTCGCAGTCAATGGTGCATTGCCCAAATAACTTTGCGACATTCACATATATGTATCATATGCAAATCATAATCACACATAATGCTCCGTCCGATATGTTGGGCAAGTGATTGTGTTGGCTGTCGAAAGGCGAACGCGAACTCGAATGCGAAGGCAAACGCATTTCGTCTCCCTTGAAGTTTTGAAGTTTTTTGGCCAAAGAAAAACAGTTTGGCCATATTCCGCGATCCAAAGTCAGTTATGGCCGGGCATTCTCATTGTGTGCTGCCCATGCCCACTTACGCCAGAGATGATATTGTGTTTATGGCCCGCTCCGCTGCTGCTGCTGCCGCCGCTCATTTCTATCTTTCTCTGGGCTCTTTTCCTTTTGGTTCGGGCCAACTTCTGCGGCTCATGCGCTTCGACGTTCGACGTTTCGGCCCGTTTCAGTCGCCGTGTGGCATTCAACGAACTCGGACCGAGCTTCGACCGGCTTCGAAGCTGAGTTACAGCACCTCTATATATTTGGATTATCCGTTACCGAAAGCCAGTGCGACCTGTATCCAGCGGATTGGTCCGTGCCCAGTGACTACGATGTGGTGCAGTGGAGTTGAAGTTCAATAAGGCACAAGTAAATGGCATTTCGAATTGGCCCACTCGGGTGTGCTTGTGTTCGTTCGGCATTTGCTAATTACCGCGAATATCTCTGCAGTGAAAGTATCTCATAGATGCAGCTCGAATCCGACTCTGTGCGTTCGCAGCGGATAGCCAACATTTTTCCGATACAACAATTGCATTTCATTGGGCAATTTATCAGCCGAAACGGCGAACAAAAAACAAAATACGAAAAACTAGTTGAAACAAAAAAAAAACAACCGAAAAGCGATCATATATCAAACTACTAATAACTATTTTGCAATACCTTTTCCTCGTAAATGGCCAGTGGTTACGGGAGCCTGTGCCTTAATCCAATAATGCTAAGAGTTTGTCGGTTTTTGGTTTTTGCTTGCAGCTAATTAATGAGCCGGCTCCAGTGCGATGATTATTGAATGTTGGCCCCAACACAGCACGCCATGCAACACCTCGCGATCGACAACAAACAACCGCCTTCGCCGAGCATCTTTCTTCCCTATGCAAAGTGTGTGTAATTCGCTAATTATGCTGGAAATTAACGTGCATTGCGCCTAAACGGATTGCATTCACCGCTAATTGCCCACAAATTACGCGCTCCTTCGCCTCCCAAAAAACAAAACAAAAACTAAACACAGAAAGAAAACTGATACTCTGTTAGTGAAACAGTGAGTTGCAAACCGCGATCAGCGAACAGCCGCGGCATTTCGCGAGTGCTTAGCACGTCCAGCCCCCCAGGAGGAGGAGGAGGAGAAGGAGGATGGTCACCTGCAAGGTGGACTCCCAGACCGCGGTGGCTGTTCCCAAGATGAATGCGGCCCGGACCCGTGGAAAGTCCGCCGCTGCCGGCAGCAACAGCAACAGCAACTCTTCCGGCTTTCGGCTCCTGGACGGCGACCAGCTCGAAAACAATTCGAGTGTCAGCCGAAACTCGATTTACAAACTGAAGATCGATCTGATGTTTGACGATTCCAGGTGAGTCTCAAGGGGATTCGGGTGAAATTCCGTAATTGGGCGCAAATAGCCCGGGGAGGTGCGTTTTTTAATTTCCCATTAGCCTCGCTCTCCATCTCCGGCCAAAACAAATCAATTAGCCTTCTGTGATGCCCAGCACTCTCATTTCCATTGACCACCCAACACTTTCGTTCTCGAAACCACGAAAACACAACTCAGAGATACAGATACAGACAGACAGGCGATGAGTTACAGACCCGAGAGATATTTGGTTTACCGTTTTCAAATTTCCATAACCAACGAAAAATACTGTTAGCTCCAAAATTAAAAACCACATTGTCCGACAGAGAAAAAGATGCTGAGGGGGGAGCTGCCAGAGCAGCCAAAGATAGAGCAACACTTGCTCTCCGCTTAAATATTCATCGGTGACACACATTCGCGGGCAAACTACTTAATTGATTGAGAAAGAAAAAAGAGCTCGCCCCTCCTCCACCGATTCCCCCTCGACTCATCGCCACTCATCTTCATTCCCATTCAAAACTCTCGACGTCGAAAGACGTTCTATGGAAATAAGCATTTCCGATTTTATGTCAACTAGCGGTAAACGGAATGGCTCGAATTGGGAACACCTTAAGCTGCATTCGGACATTGGCCACTGGCCATTGGCCGTTGTACCGCCTCTATCCCGCCGGCCTTTCCATATTTTCCCCTCGAATTCAGTGGTTCTGGCTTCCCGGGTTCTGACCTGGTCAGCAGGATGTGGCCTATTCGGCAACCCAGGCACCAAGTTCACAGGTAGAAGAGACTCCTCTGCGAGTCGAATATGCTAATCTCAGACTGCTTGTGCGTTAATCAGTCAAACTTTCACAAATATGGAACCGTTTTGTCGTTTTAAGCACCAAACGTGTTGACTGGAGAACGGCTCATAAAATAAAAAGTGGTATCCATCAAGTTTTTTGTCGGTCTAATCGGTGATCTAGATGACATTCTAAATTAAATGGTTCGGGAAATAAAACTGAACAAAAATGATGATGTTGGTAAAACAAAGCTTCTGTCGTTTCTTTGCTATTAAAATAGAAGCCAAAAAATTTTATTCCAATTTAATAGTGGTTTTGATTTTACGATTCAGGAAATTTGTTAGATTTTTTCAAGTTATCAGTTAGTGAAAGGCCGTTCTGGGGGTTGGACCTGTCCTCCACAATTTTAAACTAGTTTACGAAGTCCTAACCTAGAAAATTGTATAGAAAGATAGTTAGAAGGAAAGTATACAGATCGGCTTGGAAGACATACGTTTTTTATAGATTTAGAAGTAATTTTTGCAAAGTAGTTTTTCAAGATATAACCAAGATATTTTATAAATCATAAGACCGATTTAAAAAAATTTTAAAAATAAGACTTTTTAGATACCAAAAATAAAATAAAAAATGCAAACAAAAGATTTTTAAGTGCTAACAAAACTTGCATTAAGCTTGTAAAATTTTTTAATCCGATTTTAACACCTAAATGAACTTCATTGAGGCACTTCAGTTACAATAAACGAACTGAGTTTATCTTTTTATCTTAAAATTGAGCAATTATTGAATCATCTATTATGTATTCCCCTATCCAGATCCATGCGAAGCAGCCGCCTCGACGATCCCCGGGGATCGCATCGCACCCGCTCCATCATCATGTATGGGCGCAGTGAGTTGGCCAGCACCTCGGGCGACACGCCCCGCTCCCTGAGCAGCTTCCTGCAGGACAACGGGCAGTCGGCCAAGGTGCTGGCCGAGGCGGCCAAGAAGGACGTGCAGCGGATCAGCAACAGCGTGCAGGCGCAGATCGAGCAGCTGTTCACGGACGTGGCCAAGGACGCGACCAGCAGCTTCGATGTCACCTGCCTGGGATCGCTGCCGCTGAAGGACAAGGTGACCAGTCTGCAGGGCCTGCAGGAGCCACTGCGGCAGCTGTACCTCAGCGAGGTGACCAAGAAGGTGGGATTCAACTCTTGAAAGCAAGTTACCAGATAAGCTAACATTAACTTTAATGGTTCATCAATCAGAAGCTCAACTCTGGGTCGCTGGATATCTGTGCCACTGGTCTAAGGGTAAAGATCAGCGCTTTGGCCATCTCCAATGGAGCTGCTCTTCCGGAGGAGAGCGAGGCCCTCATCACGCCCTTCCATAACATCGCCGTTTGGTCGGCGGTGAAGTTCGTTATTTCCGAGGACGATGGTGGCGCAGCCTTTTTTGCCCCTTATCACCGATCCAGAAAACATTGACAAGACTGCCCTTTTCCAGCCGCTGAGGTAAGTCCTCTTTCCTAAATTAGTAAATTTATTATAGCAAATTAAATCTATGTATTAATTCATATAAATTCCAGAAGCATTTAGAGCATTGTAAACATATTTTCGCCTAAACTTGGAGGAAACATTTTTTTATTAATCTGGCACACCATTGAAAGATACATAGCTCCATAAACATAAATTATTTTAATTGCATGTCAACTCATACTAAAATTTGAAAGAATTTTTGTGCCACCAATTTTTTATTGCAATTAATTTGTTTAAGAACTTTTTTTGGTACCGCATTGATATGTTTTCTATTTACGTACTGCTTTTTAGCTCCAGCGAACAGATGGCTGTGGAGCACAGCATCCATGTGCACGCACCCATTTTCGCGGTGGTGATGCGCTCGGCCAGCTCGCCCAAGGTGCTCGAGTGCCATGGATTCATTTGCAAGAGCACCGAGGACGCCATCGTCATTGCGGCGACTCTCTACCAGAGTCTGATGGCCCACGTGAGCACCAGCTCACGGAGGAACACCCCACGGAGGGCTCCTCGCCAGCAAAATGGAGTTAGCTGCATCAGCATCGCCAGCAGTTCGGCGTTGGCCAGTTCGAACTACCTGTCCCGCTCGCAGATTATTCCCAGTGCCTGTGGGCGGCGCAGCTCCTTCCGGGGAAGCACTGGATGTAGTGGTGCTCCCTCCAGATCTGGCAGGAAGAAGCGAGTGTCCAATAGCTCCTTGAGCTCCCACAGCAATGTCATAAACGAGACTGCCGAACTGGAAACCTCGACGGAGGAGCGCAGGCGCAAGTCGCACAAGTCCAAGAGGGCTCCTCCGGTTCCCACCACGGTTCCCGGATCGGGTGGCCACAGAAGCCACTGCGGAGCAGGAGGTCCTCCATCCCGGAGTGGCAGCATAGTGTGCGGCAATGGTCACGTGACCCGTTTGCACCAGAGCGGGCATCCCGGCAAGAAGTCTTCGGCGGGATCGGAGCTGTCGGCCACAGTGGATGTGGCTCCCGCCAACGGGGACATCCTCACCCGGGTGGCCATTCCCAGGAGCGGCAGCTTCCTCAACACCGGAGGACTGACCCGCTACAAATCGCGGGCGGCGAGACGCCATTCCGGGAAACTGGGCGGCGGAGGCGGCGGCGGAGGAGGGTGAGTATTGCCACCGGACTCCTGGGCAGATGCTTTAGGGTCCAACCCATAGCATCTGACCCTGGGCACGGGCGGCAGTCTTTTGCATTTGGGGGGAGAAGGTTTGGCCTGGTTGATTGGCATCGCTTGAATTGTGCTTCTAGTTCCCCACTTGGTTTCAGCGAACTGTTTAACGAATTTCGCCTGCACGAGAACCTGCACTCTCTGGACGACATTCTGTACGCCATCATCGATGCCGACGGCATGTCCTTCAACGACCTGAAGCCCATCTACAAGGAGTTTCTGCTCAAGCTGGCCGTCACGCTCACCCAGGACGAGCTCTTCCAGCGCTCCAAGAACATCATGCGGCGCCAGAAGAAGAAGAAGCAGAAGCGCAAGGCGAGTGTTAATGGATCGCAGGTGGGTAACCTTTACATAAATATGGAGAAAATAATATAACTACTTTTTCCACAATAAGGAAAATCTGAAAATAATGTTAGATATTATCTGAAACAAAAATAATAAATGATTTAACAGTTCTACAACGTTTAAAAATATTTCACATAACTTTCATTCATTAATAAACCAGAAGCTATTACCTTTTAATTTTGCTTGTCGTATATTGAATCCAAACATTTAAAGTAACATTTTCCAACCCACAGAAGAAACCGAAGAGCAGTTTTTTTGGGACCAAAGGCCTGAAGAAGGTCTTTCAGTTGGGTCAGTTCCGCTCGTGCCGAGGCAAACTGACTAAGCCGGCGGTGAAATCTAAGGAGGCCACGCTGGACAGCCAGGGCAAGCGGAAGATCAGTCCGCCCATCATCATCGGTCCGCCCATTCTCCACAGCCACGCCCAACAGCAGCACCAGCGGAATAGGGCGGCCACCAGTGGTTCCGATGTGTCGGTGGTGCGGAATGAACACACCCAGGGACTCAATCGAAACAGCAGCAGTGGGTAGGTTTCAGTCTTTAAATATTTTTGGTTTTAGGATCTACAATAAAGTGGGAATTTTTTAACAATTAGAATTGACTGTAACATAAGGCTTTTGAATATTAAACTTTTAACCTTGGAATCCAGTTTGCAGCAGCTAACAACGTTGAATAATTTAAAAATAAAATACAATAAACTAATTGATGTACCTGATATTTTTCCCAGTGTAACTAAACTCTTGCCTGCTCTCCGCAGATACGTGTCCTGCTCGGAGTGCAGCTACGACTCGGAGTCCTGCGCCTGCGCCTCGGCCGATCGGTGCTACTGCAGCCTGCGCACGGAGCACCTGAACCACAAGCTGCGCCAGAAGAACGAGCGCAACATGGCCATGGCCACGCCCACCAGGAAACCCTCAAGCGGGGGAGTCCTCTCTCAAAATGTGGCTGGAACAGGCGCCGCCAACCGCCACTCGCTGATCTCTTGCCGCTCCGACGACAAGTGCTACTGCTCCATGGTGGAGGAGGAGCCGGCCAGCTCGATGGAGCGGGACTCGGCCAACAACTCGCACACGGAGACCACCACCTCCTGCGACTCGGACAGCTGTGTGAGTGCCAGCAAGTGCTACTGCAAGCGGAACCATCGCCGCCAGAGATCCTCGACGGCGGCGCCCCTCAGCGAGGATTCACTGTCGCAGCAGCAGCGCAAATCCCGGCCAGGAAACGCTGGAGCGGCACGCAAGGGAAAGCCGGCGGATAAGTTGGGACTGGACTACGAGCTCTTCAGCATCAGCGGAAGTGGACAGCCGGTGCAACCCCATGAGGCACTGAGTGTGAAGAAGAGCGTGGAGGCAGCAGCCGTATTTGCGGACATGAAACTCAGCCAGACGACGGACATCAAGAGCCTGTGCCCTCCGAAGGGACCCGGATCACGGGTGGGCAACGGCAGCTGCCGGTCGTACGCCTCCTCGAGGAGGTCCTCGTACCGCACGCGGGAGTCCTTCAGCACGGATCGATTGGGCGGAGGAGTGCCAATGCCCATGCCGCTGGCCAAGAGCATGGGTAGTGCGGACAACCTGCTGGCCAATCTGAAGGCCATGGAGGCTAAGGCCGCCTCCGTTCGCAGCAGCGCCAGCAGGAGTCGCATGGGCAGTTATCAGTCGATGCGGGCGGTCAGTGCCTCCTTGGAGGACTCGCTGGGTTACTTGCCATAGACCAGGATGTGGAATCCATCACCTTTAGCAGGCCTAGTTACGATGTACATAGCACATAAGCTTAGAATTAATGGATATCCTTACATACTCATATACCAATAATCTACTATATATTACGGCTTATGTTTCCCAAGGCAATTGTTACGTTTTTCATTAGAGTCGATTAATTGTCTTGCGAAACGTAATCATGTTTAGCTTAAGTACCTCCTATAGAGTTTTCAGTGTGACTATCCTTAAGATCTTATCCGTAGAAATCAAGGTGCAATATGTAGACCAACAACTTGGGAAAAAGAATTCCCATTTATTTAATGCAGTGCAATATTTATAACAACTACTACAAATAAAAACTATTTTTTATACCTACTCAGACGAAAGGCTATATTAATGGGAATGAAATGATGTTGCAAATTTTATTGTGTCGGAGACGACGATTTCTATTTCACAACTAGCAAACTAATCAAATTCATTGAGCTTGTTGATAATAAAACACTTAACATCAAGTTTAACCGAATCAGAAATATAATATTTAAAAAAAGAATTTCGTCCAAGATCAATCAAGATTCATTGTAATAAGTCATTAAAAATTCTCATATTCAATAATAAGTGTCATTCCATAAAAGATCAAATAGCTCAATAATAATTATAAGATACCCCATTAGAGTCAAATATTATATAAAAAATCTTATTATAATTTATTATATAGGCCCTAATTTCATGTTGGTTATTTGGGATTCAAAGAAGTAATAGTTTTTTAAAAGGAAGAACCATAAAAAAATAATTTTATCCATTGTGAATAGGTCATAAAAAGTTTAGTATAACAATTAATTTGCACTTTTCAAAATAAATGTGTGCATTCCAATGGTTATTATCAAGTAAATATAATAGGCATTAAGCTAATTAAGTTGGATACCTAATTTTATTCATTAGGTTTAAATTCTTGTCAATAACTTCTCGTTCCTTTCCTTTTACAGCGTCCTTGGGAATGTTGCGACCAGCAGCTAATTGCCACCTGTACTTTTGTACTTTTTAAAGCTCGGTTTTTTTGGCTCACCCGTAGGCATGATGCATATGTACAACGGTGCAGTTTGTTTTGTGTCTAATTTATGTGAATGTCGACTATCTTAAAGGCCATGGCTAGTTTTATGTTGGACAATATATAACCCGTATACAATTATCAAAAGCCTGTCGTTCCGTATCCCAAGTTATTTAATGCAAGTGAAGATTACACGTATTTAATTATAATTGCTGTTGGTTTTTTAATTCATAACACCGTAAATGGGATATTCGGTGGAAACCACTGGCGTGCCTTCTGTGGTTTCTTCACCGCCGGGGTAAAAAGTGCTTTCACCACTCTCGTCAAGAGCTCCAGTCTGTGCGGCGACCCACGAGGAGCACAGCATGAACACCAGGCACAGGCTAAGAAGCAAGTTGAAGTCTGAAACGGGTTGAGAGCCGTTAGCCAGATATTCCACGGGTTCTACTGGTTGTTACTCCTTTTTGCATACTTACACTTCATGTTGACGTCGCGATTGAAACTGTTGACGGGTTGTTGGCGTCCAGGCCTTTTTATTCTAACCTGCTTGGCCATGGGGTTATTTTGTATATTTTTAATTAATTTTCTAAACTACTATCTGCTAGTGGATTATCATTGGTCTCTTATCGACCTCACTTGGATATTAAGAACTGCGCCTTTGGATGACTGTTTTAAGCGGAAGGCGATTTATCTATTCTTGGAAGGTAGCGTGAAAAATATAACGAATATAGCCTCCGCAGCCGTAAGCAAATATATGTAGAAGAATTTTCATTCACCGGCAGATCAATTGTAGGTCAGGAATAAATGGTCTTGATTTGTAATGCATTTATTTTATTTTATTCGGTTCGTGATTATTTTTGCATACATCAATTGCGGCTCTTGGCCATGGAAACAATTCAAACTTAACGACAAACAGTAAGGTAACGCAATAATACACAGATTGAATACGGGACAGATAGGATTGGATAGTTTGTAGCGATAGTTCGGTTAACAGTTTAGAAGATAATCATACATATATAGCAACAATGAACACAGCAACTAGTTTGATATATGTATCTGGTTGTCCTTTAACGTTTCTCATATAGTTTCTCTTGTAAATATCATACGTATAATATTTATGTATATATTTTTGTAGAATATTGATGGCTTTGAATCGCCATCCAAACACACGTTTCACTAACGGCTTGAACAGACAAACACATATAGGTGATATATCTTTAGCTGCAATCTCAATCTCTTTTTCTTGCCTTCCTGGGGTGTATATAAATTAATTGATATGCATTGTTACGTCTCAAGTCTATACGCGTACAATATTTCGATCCTTAACCGCTAAAAAATATAACCGATAAGAAGTAAATGATGCAACACTGATTGCTTGTCGAGTTATTTTTTTTAAGTTTACGTAATTTTAAATTATTTGAGATCTCTTTTTTAACAAAACTGACATGTTTACTTTGTTGCTATTTTTTAAAACATTTTTCCGCTGTCGACAATAAATGGACATATTTCAGTTATACATTTTTAAAATTTTTTTATTTAGTTTTTTTAACGTAAAATAATATACATACATATATTAAACCAACTGTCCCTTAAATTTTCTGCCTCTATTTAAGCGGTTAAGGTTCGATATTCTCTATATATTCCTCTACGTTTTTTATATTGTTACGGGTTGTACATACATATTCATCCAAAAAGCCTTACCATTTGCTCTCTAAAACACGAAGTATATGGAAATATCTCAACAGACACTATATAATTTCCTAATAAATTCTCAAACGAACAACAACGAAATTGCAGTAACAAGCATAGAGAGTACTTTTAGTATATGTTTTAGCTAGTATCTTTAGTAACACCTATATAACGAATTTAAAACTCAACGCTCGTAACGAAAAGTATTGCATACTCGTGGGCCTGTGCCCCATAATTCGCGGACAGTAAGTTAGGGTAAACAAGTTGGTAAGCTCAGCTAATTTGGGTAGCAGGTGAATTAGTATAACACTCATAATTTAAATTGCACAAGTAACACACTTAGATAACAGCACTAACAGTTTTGCGCATAAAATGGCTCTACAACATTTAATAACTTAGAAGCTATTACCTTTTTTACTTAGTTTGTCGTATATTGAATGCAAACATTTAAAGTAATATTTTCCAATCCACAGAAGAAACCGAAAAGCAGTTTTTTTGGGACCAAAGGCCTGAAGAAGGTCTTTCAATTGAGCCAGTTCCGATCGTGCCGAGGCAAACTGACTAGGCCGGCGGTGAAATCTAAGGAGGCCACGCTGGACAGCCAGGGCAAGCGGAAGATCAGTCCGCCCATCATCATCGGACCGCCCATCCTCCACAGCCACGCCCAGCAGCAGCACCAGCGGAATAGAGCGGCCACCAGTGGTTCCGATGTGTCGGTGGTGCGGAATGGAGGACTCGCTGGGTTACTTGCCATAGACCAGGATGTGGAATCCATCAGCTTTAGCAGGCCTAGTTACGATGTACATAGCACATAAGCTTAGAATTAAAGATTATCCTTACATACTCATATACCAATAATCTACTATATATTACGGCTTATGTTTCCCAAGGCAATTGTTACGTTTTTCATTAGAGTCGATTAATTGTCTTGCGAAACGTAATCATGTTTAGCTTAAGTACCTCCTATAGAGTTTTCAGTGTGACTATCCTTAAGATCTTATCCGTAGAAATCAAGGTGCAATATGTAGACCAACAACTTGGGAAAATCAATTCCAATTTATTTAATGCAGTGCAATATTTATAACTACTACTACAAATAAAAACTATTTTTTATACCTACTCAGACGAAAGGCTGTATTATTGGGAATGAAATGATTTTGCAGTTTTTTAAAGGGTCGGAGACGACTCTATTTCACAACTAGCAAACTAATCAACAGTGATTCGGGGAAATTCACGGAAAATGTAAAATTCATTGAGCTTGTTCGATGTACAGTAAGTATTGATTATGTTTTATTAAACACTTAAAATGAAAGTGTTTAAGCGAATTGAAAATTTATTATTTAAAAAAAATTGACCAAGATCAAATGAGAATTATTGTAATCAATCATTCAATATTCTCATATTAAAAAAAGGTATCATTTTATAAAAGATCAAATAATTCAATAAATATTGTAGAACTAATGATACCCCATAAGAGTCGAATATAAAAAATGGTAAAGTCTTATTATATCTTATTTTATATTGAGGCACTAATTTCACTGTAAATTGACATGCTTTTAAATTCAGCTCCGTCATTCTGTTTTGCCCACGGGATGCGATCGCTGACGCCTAATCAGAACCGGAGGGTCAGGGTCAGGGGCTCGACACAAAAGCGAAAGCCCGCCGACGAGAGCACGTTCCGCCGGGAACAGATGTTGAAGCTCTCGCCGTCATCCCGCCCATGGGTCACACGTCAAGTGGGCGGGACTGATAAGATTGCGGAATGCTATGTGGTCTACGCTTTTCGGGAGCGACAGCTGTTGGCTTCCGAATCCCCGGGAAGTCGACGTGGAACGTTCCGCGGTAACAGAAAATTATTTCACTGCGATCCGCCGACCAGAGCTGACCACCAGAGATGACCACCTCCGCCGATAGTGTGTTCGTTGCCCGATCCGATGGCATCTCCGCCGAAGGAGTCAGGGATCAGTATGCCGATGGCAAGGCCGCCAAGGTCTGGGAGATCTTCATCGGGGACAAGAACTCGCGCACGGACAACTACAAGAACTTCCTGATCGACATGCTCCGCAACAAGGGTTGCAAGCGTGTCCTTGACGTCGCCTGTGGAACTGGGTAAGTCCATCATAAAAAGTGGCTCATTCACAAAATTCTAAAAGAAGTGAAACGTGATTCAGTGCTTAATCGCCTTATCAAAAAATTGACCTGATAGATTATATTTAAAATAAATTATTCTTAAAAAAACCCAATAATTTCGCAGTCATGTTATGTAAAACAATTGTATCATATAGTAACTTTCACTTAACACAAAGTTCATAAGGTTATCGTGTGTTTTTTAAATATGTAAATCAGATTAAATAGTCTTGATGTAATAACCTAAACAGTGAATGTTATAATAATGTTATTATAATATATAATAAAGTTAATGTTTCAAATTTGTTACAGTGTGGACTCCCTGATGCTTGTGGAAGAGGGTTTCGAGGTCGTCTCTGTGGATGCCTCCGATAAGATGTTGAAATACGCCCTTAAGGAACGCTGGGCCCGTCGCAAGGAAGCCGCCTTCGATAGTTGGAGTGAGTTTGCTAAAGAATAACAACCTATTCTTTATGCTAAATGTTATGCTTAATCCCTTGCAGTTATTGAAGAGGCCAACTGGTTGACTCTGTACGACGATATCCAGGAACACGTTAAGGACGGTTTCGATGCGGTCATTTGCTTAGGCAACTCCTTTGCCCACTTGATGGATGGTTTTGGTGATCAGCGGGAGCACAAACAGGCCATCCGCAATTTCGAAAAGTGCCTTAAGCCGGGAGGAGTCCTTCTTATCGATCATCGCAACTACGACAACATCCTGGAAACAGGATCCACGCCTGCCAAGAGTATTTACTACAATGTAAGTATCCTAATAGTTATTCTCTTTCATTAAACATACGAAATCAATCTGTAAGATCTAATCAGACGCAGTTATATAAATAGAAATGTATGTGTAATAGACAAGCTTCATAAATTTTGCCACCTCATCTCCAAGATAATTGGTAATAATTAAACGCCACATCCCATTGAAAATAGTCAAAAGCTGCAGCATCATCGTAGTGATAACAACGGATGATCTGTTTTTGACCCCAAGTCAGATGTATCGCCCCATTGAATCACTCTAGCAACTCATCGGCCTTATCAGTTACACCGTTTTCGATTCAATTAATCCAATGATGACTTGCGACTTATTGCAGACAAGTCACACGGCGGACATCAAGACATCCGTGCTCTTCTACTGCGGCAAGCCATCTCTGGTCTCCATGGACTACCTCATCGCGGGCAACAAGCTGACCAGCGAGTTCCGCCTGTCCTACTATCCCCACGAACTGAAGCGCTTCCGGGAAATCCTCGGCGAGATCTTCTCCCCGAAGGCCCAGCACAAGCTGTACGGGGACTTCAAGGAGATGAGCCAGGTGAAGAACCCCGCCTTCTACATCCACCTGATCGAGAAACCGCAGGTTTAGTTTTTAAGCCATTAGTTTGTATTCACACAAATCCACAAGACAAATCCATATTAAAATATAGTTCCTTCTATTCACACAATCCTGGGTCTTCTGAGTTTTCTTTTAAGTCATTATGCAGAATCGACCCACGATGGAACCGAAGCACAGAGTAACCATGGCTGCCTCGATCACAAACGGGAACTTCGACTTCACGAAGTTGAACATCCCGGTGTAGATGTTGGAGAGAACAGCCAGTAGAATCAACGTCATCTCTTGTCCGCCGTACTTCGCTTCAGACTGTGACTGAAACGCAAAAGCTATCGAGAGCCAAAAGGCAAATGTCATTAGCCTTGCAAATGCCTATTCCATTGCGTTTTCAAGTGGTTTCAATTTAAAGAGAGAATGAGTAAAACGATCGAAGTGCGACAAATCTATACAGTAAAAACAAAATTGAAGATTGTGATAAAACAAAAACAACAACAATAACAAAAATATATTTTTAATATATATTCAATATATAATATTGAATAATAATAGAGGAATTATAAAAAGCAAATTTTTTAATGGACATTTCTTTTTTTTTTTAAGTGCTTATTAACTTAACTTATCTTTGTATACTATTACAAGGAAGACTGTATTAATAGTTACGGCGACTAAAGGCAAGAACATACTGTATTATGTAGATTTAGTTGTTATAAACAACATGTGCCTTATAATGTTTTCAACGACCACATTTGGAGGATTGTCTGGCAAACAGCTCTGACGTATTCTTGTTAACATGCCATGAAATTCAAAGAAAAGAACGCTACAAATCATAAGACTTAATCAACATGTTTATTATTAGTAAGTTTTAGTTATACGTTTCGGCTTTATCAACAAAAACGTGGCGAAATTTAACAGTGTGATTTTCAATACGAGTTTATACACCAACGATTTTGTTGATGCGCTTGACGTCGGTGATCTGCCGATCGATCTCCCCGGTTAGTTGAGTCAGTATCTCGGTAATGGTGCGATGCTGCTTCTCCGGCAGCTCGTAGGCATTCTTCTTCAGGTCCTCCTGGCTCTTAGCAATGTGGTAACGCTGCTTGTTTAGCGATTTCTTGGCGCTCTCCAATCCGGCGGCCATGCTCTGGGTGATTTTGTTAAGTCGAGCCACCTCCTGGGCAAACTCCCGTTCGGCCACCACACTATTTGGCAGCGCGGCATTGGCCTTCTGCATCAGGGAGTTGCACTTGCACACGAGCAGCTCCTGGTTGTAGCTTATCTCCTCGAAACGCTCGGCCAGCTTGTGGGCTCGTTCGCTGATCAGTTCTCGTTCCTGTTCCAGATCCTGAATCTCCTGCAGCTGTTGTTCCTTCTTTAGTTTGATCTGGTTGATGTGACGGGCGAAGGCCGCGCGAACGAGGTCATGACGCTTCAAGTACTGCTCGCGCAGCACTTCGATGGCCTGGTTTAGCAGTTCGTAGCTCTCCTGAGCGGAAGGCGATGATTGTTTTTCCGAAAGAATGGGCTGGTTTACACTGCGCTGAAGGAGCGATTTAATGATGTCCACAAACGAAGGTCCACTCTCCTGCTGCGACACATCCGCACTAGCTTTATTACTCTCAGTGGGTGTCACTAGTAGCTGGGCATCAATAACCAACTTTAGACTAATCACCTGGCCACTGCCTAGGAGAAGCACCACTCCGGCAGGAATTTGCAGTAAAGCTATTCCGAAGACCGCATTCACACTATCACTGGAGTCAAATTTAGTGCAGAGGATGTACTCTGCTCGGGAAGGAGCCGACAGCTCCAGCCTGTCTTCCTCGGACTCGCTGTCCAGGTAACGTTGCAGCTCGGAGATGAAGTTCACGGTTACCGCATGAAGACCCGCGTTATGGTAGGCAAAGTAGCGCATCTCGTTGATTAGATCCCGCTTCAAAAAAATGGGACAATTGAATGAGTCTCCACCAGCGCCACCATTTCCAGGTGCAGTAAGACCTAGCTCCAGTTCCACGGTTTCAAGAACATGTACGACATACTCGGCGGGTTCGATAAGCACAAAGTCGTCCACCTCGTTGAAGGAGTGCTCAGTGGCCTCTGCCTCCATAAGGAGGGCATGGTGAAGCTTTCCATTGGACTCGGCTATAACTAAAGTTGGAGGCAACGAGGGGATTATCATGAGGGCACACGACTCTAGGCCGTAGTTGTCCCGCGTCTGAGGAGTCAGGGTGATAGGACCTTGGAGACGTGTCATTTCCGACTCCAGACCAGTCATTAGTATGTAGATGTTTCCATTTTCGCGAAGCACTACCACTGGCCACTCAACCCTATCCTGCTTTGGCAACGATTTGGCTGCCACCAGGGTTTTGTTGCTCTTGTCGAGAGTGGTGTCCTTTTCCCCTTCAGGTTCTGGGTTACGAGGCTTCGCCGCAGGGGCGATGTCAAAGTCCACAGCTAACTCGCCAAAGTCGCTAATGGAACTGTTGGAGAAGACCGAGGGACCCACCTGCCAAACATGACGGAGCTTGGCGTGGTTGTATACCCGGATGGTGTTGTTGTTGAGCAGCACAAGCAGCGTGGAGTCCGAAACGGAGTGCGGGTGCCAGCGCAGTTGGCGCACCGCCAGTTGCGGGTTGTTGAGGAACAGCTGGGTGTCCAAGCTGTAGGTGCGGCAAGTGATTCTGGCCTTTCCGTCCTTGTAGTATCCCTCGGGGCCCCAGCGGCGGGGTAGTTCCATCACAGACACACCGCCGGGTCCACTAAGGGCTACAAGAGAGCATTCGTTGGAGGTCAGCACGCGGTCTACCTCCAAGCTCACAGTGTTCGAAGGGATAAGTGTCTGGAACTTTACACTTGCTTCCTTTGCCAACGAGGAGCGCCAGTTGCGCACCAGCAGACAACACTGCTTGGCGTCCCATGCGAACAAAAGGTCGTCCTTACAGTCCAGCAGGTTCTGCGTCTTTTGCACCACGGGCAAACCACCACGAATCTCCGCAAAGAGTTCAGTCTTATTTAATTCCAAAATATCCGTGAGCGACATTGCCGGTTTGTTTATGCTTTCGTTCGTGCGCCTCTTTTTGACAATGTGATAATGTGGTCGTATTGCTGAAAAATCGCTCACAGTATTTTTCTTAGTATTTTGGAATGGTATTTTCGAATTAAAAATAGCTAAATTCGAAACTAAAGAAATTTCAAGCTAATAATATTGAAAGAATATAACGGTTTTTACAGATTTGAAAATTACAAAGTATTAAAAGAAAAGATTCATATATGTGTGAATAAAAAATAAATAATTGTCAGCGGGCCATATGCTTACCTTTGTAGACAAAACTTGTGAATCTTAAAAAATATTTTGGGCACCCGTTTAATATTTACTACACAACTTCGTTTAACAACATTTATTATTCTATATTCATTTTTTTTAATACTAAGTTTAACAAACATTTAAATTCTCTTCTGGAGCTCCAGCAGTGGCACAGTTTTAAGCTTCATGGTTATATCTTCAACAAAATAAAGATCCTTGAACGGGAAACTTGTCTTAAAACTATAATTCCTCAACAATTTGGCAAGTGTAACCTTAGCCGATATCAAGGCGTATCTCCAACCTGAATTAAAAGTAAACAAATCGATGACTCATATAAAGTTGAGATATTAAAGCATCACTTAGATAATTTACCTATGCAATTTCTGATTCCCTTGGTGAAGGGTATATAGGCGTACGGATGCTTATCCCGGATATTGTCTGGTAAAAAATGATCCGGATTAAAGGTTTCTGCATCTGGACCCCATATTGTTTTGCTGCGGTGCATATGATAAATATCGATGGCGATCTGAACTCCTTGGGGTACGACTATCCCATTAGTTAGCTTCAAGTCCTGGGACGTTTGTCGTGACACAACTGGAACCGGAGGTATAACTCTCATTGACTCGTTGAGAATCAGGTCCAGATACACCATTTGTTGAGTGTCAACATAGCTCACATCAAAGTCTCCGGTTTTGGGGAACAGGCTCTTAATCTCCTCAAAGGCTTTCTCCTGGTAGTCGGGAAACATTGCCAGCAACATTAATGTGTAATAAACGGCATTTGCAGTGGTTTCAAAAGCTCCAAAAACAATAATATTCGACTCATCCTCAACGTTTTTCCAATTAAACACTCCCCTTCTCATTAGGTCTATGGCCAGATTAAGAAAGATATTCTTATCATTCGATTGCGTCCCATTTAATTTGTGCGTTTCATCCTTGGCCAACTTTTTTTCGATGAGCTATACAAGGAAAACAATTAGTGATTTGTTAGCCGGCGTTGTCAGCATTTAATATTTACCTTTTTGATAAACTGGCGAATTTCTGTCTTTGCCTGGTAGTAATGCGATTCCTTTCCCAGCAGCTGGCGAATAAATCGGCTATTGAGCCACGGCGAGAAGCACATGTCTGTCATGGTTTCCAACATACTATTAATGGGTAGAAGCAGTCCAAATCCAACAGAACACTCACCATTGGTATCGCTTTAGCAGGGAGTTACTCATAACATTCTCCTCGCTTTTCACATCGCTTCCCATGGTGGTTTCTATCCATATGATAAAGATGTGGATACATAATTTAGTTTAGTAAAAATGTATTGTTATTGTAAGTCTCAGATTTTAGTTTTTTTTTAAAGCTCACAAACGTATACACGAATAAAAAACATATAAAAGATTTACGTATATTGACATATGTATATGCAAGCAATAAAATTGATACATGTTCATTTAAATGGTTTTATTAATTACAAGTTAATCATTATCAAATTTTAGTTCCTTTAAGTAAAATTTGTTTAAAAGTCACCGATATCAATTAGCACTTCGATATTTTTATTTATAAAATTGTATAAGTCTAACTGCATTTATAATTAATTTTTTATTTTATTAAGCTACAGAAAATGTGTGTCAATCGGTGAAAGACCCAACTATTTAATTGCACGCTCTTATTATTTTGACCATCAACAAATATGTCTCTCTGATTTCTGATAATTCGTATTGTTTATACTCACGTGTGGCTATTCCCAGAGTAAAATTCTGCAGCAGGGGAATAAGGTCCTTCTCTCCGTCGTCCTGCAATGGCTCAAGTTGATCCAGCAGCAGTGCCGTCTCTCGGTTGAAAATGGGCAGGAAGCTGAGCAGAACCTTGTGGCCGAAGGCGGGATTCAGCAGTTTTCGATGAATGCTCCAACGGGGATCTACGCAAGTCCACAGTTAAGTAACTTCTACACCGAATTGCAAACACACACCCTTCAAACTAAATAGTCCAACACCCGCTCCATCGTCCACTGCCTTGTAAATGATTCCTTTGTTGACGCAATGGGGCGATGTGAAGATATCCTGCACCACCTGCGGGTCACTCACGATCATGAAAGGAATGGGTCCTAGCCAGGAGAATATTGTAGGACCATGCTTATCGAGAAAACAGCCGAACGCGTTAAGGATATCTGCGCATGGACACCAAAATTAGTAATCCCGATCAACTGATTAACACGCGAAATTCTCGAACACCTTCTCTGTTCATCAGCCAGTGGGCCATGCCCAAAATGGGATATCCGAGTGGCCCTGGGATCTTGAGTGTGAGCAGGTAAAACCTTCTACGGCTCCACAGAAAGTAGAACCACAACAGAAACAGTAATCCACACCACAGGGTCCAGGTCAGCATTGTTAATCCTTATCCAGTTTCAGCTCGAATGGCAATCCGTTTCCTAACAATTTTCGACGTCCGATCGGTTTGAAGTTCGCCAACAGTTTGATTACCCAATTCTCAATCGACACTTTATAAGCCGGACATGTTGACCGATTTGGGACGCAATCGATCTATTGTCACGCGTGGTGCTCAGCAATTGATCCACCTGGGAGACTCTCGCCGAAAGAAAGAAAGAAAGAGATGTGGGGGTGGCAAGTGTGGAGACCCACTGAACCCCACACGCATACAAATCGCTATAATTTTGACTAATGGCCGGTGGTGACATGCCGAACACTTTAAGAATGCGAAGTGTGCAACTGCGATCCGCAACGTCACAGCATTTTGACCTAGGGGGTGTTAACAATTACGCTGTATCTTTTCTCGACTGTCGTGTTCCTGGCAACGCAGGTGGCACAAACACCTCATAACGGTTGGGTGTTTTATTGCCACAACAGCCCCATATCATGTTTCTACAAACCCACTGAACCATTCAACAATAAATAACAATAACCTATTAGCAATCGATTCGGGATTTTTAGCTCTTAAAAATGATGATTCAATAAAACTCATTTAAGTTGAATGGTAATTAGGGGTAAATAAATGCTTATCTTCAATCCAGTTTTTCTGGGCAAAACAATGACACATTGCAGTCTGAATTATACCATTACTATAACAGTTCAATAAATAACTTCAAGTTAACTCACGATTTATCTTCTTTTTGTTATTTATTAAAAATTAAAATATTAGTTTTATTTGGTTTGCGATTTCGCCTTAGTCTAGGTATATTATGCACGTATGGAGGACAGGAGAACCGATCCGGTGAATGGGCATATGCGTGGAAACATGTGCGATGGCTATGGTTTTACAAAGAATGAACACCTCGATTTTGCGCTGGCTAAGCTGCGGGCTCCGACGACGAGATTACAGCTGAAAATGGCAGAACTTTGCAATTGCTTTCGAAAGTTTTGTGGAATTTTGAGTTAGTGCGACGACTGTGTCTCTACGCCGTCGATCCATTGGGCACGGCAAGTTTCCCTAAAAAAAGATGCACAGGATAATAGAGTTGGTTGTGGTTTCTGGTCGAACGATTCGAGCCTGCCCATGCAAAGACTCCGAAACACTCAGCGTTACAATTATATAATACAAAAGCTGGCATTTATTTACAGCAGGTCCCGGTCGATGAGGCTTACGATCTAAAAAGCAATTAAAGGCAATGGGCATGGGAATGGGAATACGGGTGCAGGATGCAGGTGCGAAGTTAGAGACGTGGGATGTGGGCTGGTCAGAGGTGCGTCTAAGTCATGCTATTCGAATACAAACTCTTTCCACACACCAAAAAAGCAAAAAGTGCCCAAGAAAGGGCTAACAGCAGGCGAAGCAGAGAAACTCTAGCGATTAACTAGTTAACAAGGCAGTGAGGCGTGTTAGTAGATGGAATAGTTATAGCGACGCCTCTTTGGGTCGTCAGCCAGGGGCATGGACATGCTGCAGCTGGAGCTGGAGCTGGAGCTCCTGCTTAGCAGGGCGGTGTGCGAGCAGCTGGGCAGCTGAGCGCCCGGGTTAGTGTGAAGCGAGCTACTGGGATGGTCGCAGGCGGCGGAGTCTGAGATGCGAGTGGGGCTAGGCCAAGGTGAGTCGGGGTACGCACCAGTTCCGCTGTCCACGTGTCCGTTGCTTTGGATCGTTGGGGCTGCTCCTCCGGTTCCATTCACACCATTACTATTACTGGCACCCATCAACGGAGCGCTGGACTTGGTGCCTACAAGAAAGCAAATCCTTGCATTATCACTTAGCATTGTATTCTATTATTTGTTCTATTATAATGCTTTTAACATAATTGTAGATGCTCTATACTTTATTAAACGCCTTTAAACTTACCACCCGATCGGTAATGACCATTGCTGGCAATCTCGATGTCCCCGTTGGCCAGAACAACCGCTCGTGGCGCACTGACTCCGTTCTCCTCCTCCTTAACGCACTTGATGAGGAACAACAGCGAGGAGCCGAGCAGTGGCGGCAGTCCAGCGAGGATTAGGGGAACTGTGTAGGAGTTCGTGCTATCGTAGATCAATCCCGCCACTGGAGGTCCCACGGTCAGCGGAATGGAGCTGAGGCCCAGCAGGAAACCGATGGCCTGCGTGGCACCCGACGGTCCACAGATCTCGTAGGCAATCGGGCCCAGCAGCGAGATGAAGCAGCCGTCGAAGAGACCCATGACCAGGGTGAACGAGACGAGGACCACATACGAACTGGTCAAGGGAAGCAGCAAAGTGACCAGGCCAATGGACACCAGCGACAGCTGCTGCAGGTACATGCGATTCACGCCCGGCATGTCAGCAATGACACCGAAGATCAGCCGTCCGATTCCGGAGGTGATGCCGATGCACATGACCGGCAGGTTGACGTCCTCGCCCGGGAAAGTGGTCTTCACGAACTGCATCATGTGGACGTAGGGCACAAAGTAACCAAACAAGGCGAGGGGCACGCAAAGAGCCCAGATGACGAAGCGCTTCCGCTTCCAGATCTCCACGTTGATAATGGAGCGCAGGAAGAGATTGATGCGCGACCTTCCAGGCTTTTTCTTAGGCGGTTCCGGCGGCGGATGCAGTGGCTTGTAAACGAAGGAGCAGAGGATTATGAAGGCGGACACGAGGCTCATTATCTGGAAAAGCCAATAAAAGCAATTAGTGTGTTATATTACTTGAATTATCAGTGCTCACCCTCAGGGTTCCCTCCAATCCGTAGCTGCCCAGGAGCTTGTCCAGAAAGGGGGGCAGTATCACAGTGAAAACGCTGGAGCCGGCGGTCACGAAGCCGCTCACCTTGCCCAGATAGCGCTTGAAGTAGTGGCCCAGGATGGCCAGGGTGGGTGTATAGGCGAGGGCTGCTCCCAGCCCAAACATGATCCCGTAGGTGAAGTACAGCGCCGTGATGTTCTCCGTGCAGAAGGAGGACAGCAGCAGTCCTCCTGCGGAAAGGACTCCGCCGGCGAAGGTGGTCAGCCGCAGTCCAATCTTATCCGTGAGGCAGCCAGCCACTGTGGAGAAGAGGAATGTGGTGCCGATGGCCAGGGCTCCAATGAGAGCTAAAACGAAGGAGGGGAGCAATCATTAAATTTTATGTTCTTCAAGATTACAACTCTCGTGAACACAAAAATAATCTGTAAAAAGCAAGGAAAACAGAGGAATTAAAATTCTTAGGTTTGTGTATTTTAAAAAAACAGCTTATGCAGCTAAATGACCCAAATTAAATTCTCTTGTGGCAATATTTCATTTATTTATTCTTAAGCAAAAACAAATAGCAAAACACATATGTATCTGTCTGCAATTCAATGTCAGCGACTTATAATCTCTTGAAGAAATATTTAGTTTTCTTGTCAAAACCAGTAAAACATTTTGAATGTTTATTATAGGTGGTTGCATGAATCAACAACATTCTTTATAAATGCTTTCTGTACTTTAATTCCCGGTTAATATTCCCATTCACAAAAAAGCTGACCAACTGTATGCTCGGTTGATTCACACCAATTTCAATTGACAAATCGAATCTCACGCACTTGCGGTTGATTGTTAAGTGAAGCGATATAACCCATGTCTGGAATTGGCTACAGCCCCAGGTGTTTCATTGCAACTTCCAAGTGGATGGCCGACTCAGTCAAAGAGTTCGACCTGGAAACCCGATCCGTCGGCGGTTGGTGGGACTAGAGGACTAAACAAATCTTGTCGCTTGCCATTTGAAGATTCGATTTTCGACGTCAATAATTTTCCGCTGAACTCTGGGGAATGGGAATCCAATTGTTTGCATTGCGTAAACACTTTCGCTTGTTCTACTTTGGCACTTCAAATTGATGCTCGATTGACAGAATCAGGTTAATTCTTTGTTCCCCGCCTGCGCAGATGATCTAATGCTCTGATAAGGTCTGGCTCTTTAGTAGATCTCCTCCTCCTCCAACGACGACGATGGCAGATGTGCAGCTGCATCTTCTCCAGCGACTTTGGTCCATTGTCTGGGACATGGACAGTGGACCGAAGCAGGTAGCGGATGAAAGTCCGGATGGAGAGATGGAGACATCAATATCATGTCTTTGGAACTATTGAGATCACTTGTACTCCACAATGTATTTATAGTTTTATTACACCCTATAAGCGGATTTATTGAACTAATCGCTGTGATTATCAAATATTATTGTTCGCCGGAACTAGAGATAAGCATTCGATTCAACTCGCGTGTCGGCAGTCCGAATTTATTGCCACAATCTACATTTTGAAGTGCCTGAATGAATGGCACTAATAATAATTGCTTATAAAAGCCGGGGAACTAACCTCCCTTGAACTTTAACCTGAAGATTTTTATAGTTTTTTTTTTAAATTGACTTTCACAGACATCTAAATTATTTATAGTCATAGTCATAAATATGTAGTTTTTATTCAAGAAACTACTAATTTCGAGTCTAAAGTGGTTTAATAAGTAACTCCTTTTATATAAACTGACCTTTCTTAATGTTTTTTAATTATTTGTCTTTTGTTTTATAAACTTTGAATACCCGCAACAAAGTAAACTTATACAGTACATATTTAAGGAATGCATTTATATCTTAAATACAACGCATATTAAATTAAAACCTCATGCAGAAAATATATAACAAAAGCCGAAACTGCAGCGCATTAACCCAAAATAGAACTTGACCCACTCTGGACGCCTCATGGATATTTATGGGCCATTCGCAGCGACATGGCTAAATGGCAAATGGGGCCGAGGAATGGCACGTACATAGTTCTCCCCACATGCGCAGAATGATTCGCCGCAATCTCGGCACAGGCAGGCAGTCAATGTCAATGCCACAGACGATTTTCTCTCTTCGCAGCCAGTCAATGGCAATCCACTCGCGATTCGAGAAGAGAGAGCCATTAGATAATACCCGCACATACCCGGTTGCCAAAAAATCTAAATAAAAACCGAACGGAAGGGAACTGACGCCCATTTACATGGCGTCTGGCGTTCGTCTGAGAAGCGGCGAAAATAGATCGGAATATTTTTAGTGTGCCTCATATTCATAGATGGCAATCCGATGCGATCTCATGCAATATCTGACGCAATGTGCAGGGGGATTGCATAGGAGAAAAAGCTAAGGATTGCCAGCAGATTGAGTGAGTGATCTTGACCTCCGATTCACACGGATGAACCGCTGGGCCATCGCCTACTAAGCTCCACTAAGTCGCTGTGATGTGCCAGCGGAGGTGTGTAATTGACAAAGGCTGACAATTAATTGATGAATCGACACCGCGCTAAAAGCAGTGGAAAATATGGCACACAGAGCTCGGGTTCGGATTACGTCAGGTTTTAATCATATTGCGGAACTGTCAGCCAGTCTTAGCTCTAGCTCTAGCTGCAGCCGTAGCTGTAGCTGCAGCTCTAGCCTTAGCCCTAACTGCAGCTCTGGCTGAGAGGAGGATCGCTGTCGGGCGCAGCACTTAAACGGCTTCCCCGGCAGCGTCGGCCGACCAAGTAACTGGGTCAGTGGCGGGTGCACTTTTGCCAGTGGCTTTTGTCTACTGGTAGCCAGTTTCTCCGGCCAGTTCTCGTCTTAAAAGCGCCGGCCGTGCCCCCAATGCGAAGCCGACCCACGTTGCGTATGCGTAATGCAGGCCGGCAGCAAACCTTGACAAACGGTCGCTGTAAATGCAGTGAACTCTGACCGGCATCGGATTCACAACAAAAGCAGCTTCGTCTGGTTTGGAGCGACTTTATCTCGTGGTCATGATGGGCTGCCAAAAATGCATCCCCCGGCGATCGGAATGAGTTTTCCGCTCCAACTCTACGCGACTCCTGAATCTTCCCCAAAGACGACGACGTCTTCGCGCTCTTCGCACTCGCCGGCTGTTGAATAATGCTTTGTGATCCAATCAACTTTTAGCAATTTAATTCACTTGACGTCGGTACGTTGGATTCCTATATCGTCACTTCTACTACGTACTACAATGTTTTATTGAACCCGAAAGCCCGAGGAGAAATGGCAATGTGCGTTGGCATGTTCGAATCTCCGTTAGATTTGAATAATAAATCTGAATAATAAAAAACATCCGAAAGTAGTATTGAACGTTTTGGCAATTCATTCTTAAAGTGCGTCAACGTTTCGCTTCCATTTCCTAAATTAATCAAAACACAAATTCGGAAAAAATAAATGAAAAAGCGTTTAAAGGCAATTTAAAACGCTGATTGTATAATATTCATATACTATGCTACTCAAATGCAAGTCAGATTTCAGAATGTTATCAATACGTGGGCATATTTAAAACCGCAACTTAATTGTACTTTTTTTTGGTTCAACTTCAAGGCAGTTTTCGAATCAAAGTCAGAGGCCCCCCAGGCAGCAATCAAAGGCCGCTAAATGTGATTTGTTTTATGAGCTCTAGCAGGTCCGTTGCAAAAACAGATAGTCGCCTGCAAAACAACTGTCCAGTTCCCATCTAATCTCATTTGGCCAGCCTGCATAATTACAATCAACCCCATAAATTCGGAATTCAGTTGCCGCGGGCTAAAGGGATTATGGGCAAATTGCTGTCGCTTTCTTGCGAGAAGATGTATGTCAAACTCACCCGCCTTGCTGGAGGCCTCCTGGTCGCCAAGCTTTGTGAGCCGCTCGGTCAGCAGTGAGTAGATCACGCCGTAGGTGTTGATGAACCCGAAGATGATGCCGTTGCAGAGGAAGGCGCTCACCATGACCAACCAGGCGCGGGCTCCGCCGTCGGGAGGCTCCTTGCCGTGTATGTCCCGACAACAGGGAGCCTCGATGTGTGTCCCGTTCCCATTCTGAATCGGAGAGGAGTGCTTCAACGAGTCCTTTCCGTTGACGTGCACCTGGCCATTGGTAAGCGGAGCACTGTGTCCATTGGCGGGCAGGATGCGACCATTCACCTGGTTCTGCTGGTCATTCAGCGGTTCATTCTCTGCCATGATCTGCTAGGATTTGATGTGGGTGCTGCCTGTAAGTAAACGGAGTGTGTGAATGTGAATCAGTAAATCCGTAATCAGTCAGCCACATTGCACCCAAATATGCTGTTGACTGCCACCTCCCGAAATGATACGAGCGTCACTTGCATTTCCCCATCCCGGAAAATAATCACAGACCGACGGAATTGGCTAGCTAAATATTTGGGCACGTTTATCGCTGTTTGCGCCTCCGGCAAATGAAAATGCATTGTACATTGTCGCCAATCCAGAAACCAACTAAATGGGAGATAAGGGCAACAAAGTGAAAGCGCCAAGGGACAAACTCCCTCTTTTTCTACAGATAAGTTTTAAGGAATGGTTGTTAGTGCAGTAAACCTAAATGGACGTCATGAATGGTTCAAGGGTTTGAAACCCCTTTACAGGGTTTTCTTATGTCTTTATCTTTATATACGTCAAAGTCGCTGGACTAATAAAAATGTCTTAAAAACAAATTTTAAAAACCAAAACAAAATATCTTATTGTTTTAAAATTGCAGTCCCAGAACTTACTAAGAAAATTAAATAACACCTTTCTTTAATAGTTGCCTACTACATTTTTTCGCTAAAAAATCTTTATTACTTAATTTTAATTAGTCACTTATTTAGAAAGTCAACAACACTAACAGTCTATGGTTACATTAGTCATCAGGTTCAAATTAATATCAAACGATTGAACGTTCAAGTTTCAAACAACAAGTTGTCTTGGGAACACGCTAGATTCCAATTTCCCTACTTAATATCTGGTCAGCAACATTGTAATGCATTTTTCGAGCTGCGCAGAACACAGATTGCATTACAAGCGATAACTGAAATTAGTCGCATTTCTCGAATATGCATGCCCTTGTCAAGTGCACTTCAGATAGGGGTTCTCGAGGTGGGTCTACTCTGCGGCTCATTGGAGCGCTCTGTTCTGCAAACGTTTTCTTTTTTCCCGCCCGGGGCAGCCGAAAAAACCGCACCGCAATAGCGAAAACTCAATGTAACGCGAGCCGCTCGCCAGAACACAAAAAAAGGCGAAAAGAACTGCGAACCGCTTTCGTTCTTGGCGGCTATCACACACAAGCTATCCGCGCTATCAACGCGGTGCACGTGTCCGCTCGATGACGACGTCGCCCTGCTACCGAGCCCAAACCCGCTGAGGGGTCACTGCCGAAATCGAAGGTCACCGGTCGATGGCTCAGCCTTTGCCGTTATGCAATTGCCGGCGGGTGGCTGAAACCGAAGACTTTCCTGGGATCTTCTACCGTACGTACTTTTAAGCCGGAACTCCGGACGAGGGCGGCCGATGTTCAGTTGAAGACTCCGGGAATCCGGCACTCGAGCGCGAATCGAGGAGCGATGGTGGGCGACGGGTGACGAAGACCTCTCGTGCGAGCACACAACCGAGCGCTTGCGTCGTCGGCGGCGGAATGAAGAAAACTGAATTATTTTCCACGAGCTGTTTTGCAAAAATTCGCTCGCTCACTTGGGGCGCCTAATCAGAGTAGCAGAGCAACTGAAACCGCAGCGCTTTTGCGTTCTCTGCGGTAAACAAAAATTCACCTAGGCAACGGCGAAGATGGGCACAAAAACAAACTGGACGCTAAGGGTTTCCCAGCCAGATAGATAAAGATGCAGCTCCTCCAGCTTCAGTTCCATTTGAATCACATGATCAAGAGTGGGAAACCGAATGATCCTCTAATTGATCAATTCCCAGAATTAGAAACTGAAGCGCTTCGCTCGACCACTGCGCAGTATTATCAATTGGTGGCATAGGTGGTGGCGTTGACTTCCACAACCGGCAATTGGCCATATCCGCCGCAGCCACCAAAGGAGATCTTTCAGTCGAGTGACACTTTGGAAGTGTTCAACAAGCTGACCCCAACTTGATTCATCCGGCGAATTGTTCGCTCCTGGCGCCGGCGCTTCCTCTTTTTATCCGCGGATCAAAAGCCCCTCGAGTGGTTTTGGTTTTGTATATTTTGACTGAACTCCGGCGCGGAGCAAAGGCCACGTGCATTGTGTTAGATGAGCGATGTATAAATGTAAAACTTACTTGTTAGTGGAAGATTCAATTCGATTAATTTATAATAATACTAGCTAGCCGCCCGACAGCTTCATATTTTTGGAGGAGCCGCATCGAGGGACATGGGTAAAACGTTGGGCAGCACGGGTTCCGGCTGGTCAATGATAAGTTTTAGGTTCTTGTCCGGCCACTCCAGCTCCAACCTTTCCTTCGGCTCGCAATTCTCGTCGAGGCCCGCGCTGCGGAAGTCCTCCATCAGTCGCGGCACCAGTTCGTCGGGGATCAGAACCTGAATCCAATAACCCAGCACTCCATAGGGTTCGCTGACAGTGACCGCTGACCCCGTCACGGTTTCCGCCACAAGCGTAAGTGCCAAGTGCTGCGCCTTGAACGTGAAGTGACGCCCATGTCGGATGCGATCCTTGATGGCCAGCAGGAGGTACTTGGCCACACCGGGTGCCAGGGTAATCTCAATTCCATCTAGAGAGATGCAATTGGGCGCTTGTGGCTGAAAGTCCAGTGGACAGGACTTGTGCAGCGAGTTGCTGCTCATCGACATGGACTGCGGGAAGCTCGGCTCCTCGCGCTTCATTTGCGTTTCAGTCAACGGTCGATTGTTCTCTTCGTTGGCGCACTTTTCGCTCAACGCCTGAAAATCCACCTCTTGCTTGACTTCCTTGGTAGGCTTAAGTTCACGGAATGTGAACTCCGCATTGACGCCGGCCAGATCGGAGCCCTGCTTCTCCAGGTCGTCCTGCAAGTTGAGAAGGGTCTCGGGGAACAGCTCAAAGACGCTCATCGGGCGGTCCATGTTTGTCACTAGCCAATCTCCGCCAGTTTGAACATCCTGTCGCAGGAAGTTGAGCACTCCGCGTCCGTTCCAACGAGAAGCCTGCTCTAGTTCGTCCTCGAAGACGCCCACAATCTGACAGAAGTCTACCGTTCCGGTCGGCGTCTCGATGCAACCCAACTGTGGATCCTGGGCGACCAGAAGGCTCTGTAGCTTGGAGGTGGTACTGCCGTCCAGGCTTTTGCGCCATGGGATGTTGTCCCCGAAGCACAGGCCGTTGCCTGTCTGGAAGCAGTAACGCCCGATGGCCTGCAACAGGTTTGCTGGCCAGGTGGGAGGTCGTTGCGGCTTCTCCGGGTTCTCGATCTGCTGCTTTAATTCTGATTCCGTTTTGGCCAGCCGAAAGGTAAGCTCGAATCCCATCCCAGAGCGAGTTGATCCCTCCTCGCGCAAGTGGACTCGCTCGTCGCCATGCAGGTCGCTCAATCCGAAGCTGATGTAGTGCCAGTGCGGCGGAATGTTCCTGTCGGCATCACCCGGATAGTTGTACATGCTGATGTAGTCCAGCGGATCCTGGCCGCCCAACCAGTACTTGATCAGCGTGGTCACCTGCAACGGGTTGGGTTGCTCAGGATACACCTGGACCAAGTGGTCGATAATGGCCTTTAGGCCCGGAGGAGGCTTCACCTCCGGTTTTTTGTCCACATTCGCCTCGGCCATTGTAATCAGTGTGACCGTGGGTGTGTCGTTCAACTCTACCACAAGCAAAAAGTAAAACAAGAAAAAAATATACCACAACAGAAAGATACTTTTATTTGACACCAAGCTAAAGTTGTGTAGATAAAAAAATATAATGACAATGCCCATTTACATTTTGTCTTAAAATTGATTAATGTCGTTTAACCCGCTTTACATGTTAGTAAATAGAAATTGAACAAAGCCTAGCTATTTTGTTAAAAAAAACTACAACAAAATTTAAACTTAGACAACACAGAACACCCTGTAAAATGTAAGTAACCTCGATGGAAAGTATTTTTGTAAAAGTTTTGCCGTGGTATATTTTAGCTGAGGTTTATTTCTGCGAACCACCTACGGTCACCCTGTTGACCAACTATTTAATAGAAAATTTGCAAATTTTATAAACGCACAAAATGGAGCCTTATGATGTCGTCGTCAACCAGCCCGTCGTCATAGATAACGTAAGTGGACAAGGGGGCCAAGAAATCCAGAAAATTTTGGTAGGATGGCGAGTTCTGAGCGTTTAGCCATCAAATAGTGACATCACCTACCGCCCGTCCCTTTGTCAGCGAACTTTCAAGCCGTCTTCAAATGGCCAACATGACTAATCCGCAAAACAAGAACTCGGCAGTGGCTAAAGATGGTTTATTTTAAAGTAAAGAAAAGGCAAACTGCTGATTTTAATGGATTTGATTCCGTAGCGTCCATCTATCTGCCCAAAACACGCACACATGGATACCTGCGGGCGATGGCCGAATCCCTGCTGTTTCTTCCAGTCATTTTGAAACCTTTATCGAAGTCCATCTTCTTTCCATACTCAATTGGATACACCACGGGAATTGGCTCCACATGCGAGCCAGCTGGGCGCTTCAGCTTTTCCAACTCTGGATCTATCTTAATGCCGCATTTTCCCCTGTATGTGTGGAACATCTTTGGGCGGAGCAGCTTGTTGTACGGGTCGCGGAACTGATCCCGGTACTTCTGGCACTCCAGGTAGAACGAGTCCACTTTGTACATGCTCCCGTAGCTAATGTTGGTTAGTCCTACTGGAGGAGCGAACTTCAGAATGGACTCCCTTTCGTATTGCGAGTTTTTCGACACCTCCATCATGTCTACCTCCGGTACACTGAAGGATTCCATGCTTGAAATTTTGATTTTCTTACTTTAATCAATAATTTGTATTGTAATGTTATTGCATAGCCAACTAAATGAGTTTCCCATGATTTTTTTAGGGCTCCGGTGTGATTAAAGCCGGTTTTGCTGGCGAGCACATTCCAAAATGCAGGTTCCCCAATTAGTAAGTTTGCTATACTACTAAACTTCATTCTATTCCTTACTAATGGTACGTTCTTTAGCATTGGCCGGCCCAAGCATGTTCGGGTGATGGCTGGAGCCCTGGAGGGCGACATATTCGTTGGACCCAAGGCGGAGGAACACCGTGGACTGCTCAGCATTCGGTATCCAATGGAGCACGGCATTGTCACCGACTGGAATGACATGGAGCGGATATGGAGCTACATTTACAGCAAAGTAAAGCTGCCAATAATCTGTTTTAATCTCTAATCACCAATGTAAATCTTAATAATCAGGAACAACTGGCAACCTTTACGGAAGATCATCCCGTTCTGTTGACCGAAGCCCCGCTAAATCCGCGACGCAATCGCGAGAAGGCGGCCGAGTTTTTCTTCGAAGGCATAAATGCACCTGCGCTCTTTGTCTCCATGCAAGCGGTGCTCAGTCTGTATGTAATCCCTGGAACTCCACCATCGTTACACGTTAACATGCCCTTTAAATTTGCAGCTATGCCACCGGACGCGTGACTGGCGTGGTGCTTGACTCCGGCGACGGTGTGACGCATGCAGTCCCCATTTACGAGGGATTCGCCATGCCTCACAGTATTATGCGCGTGGATATCGCCGGGCGCGATGTGACACGCTACCTGAAGACACTCATTCGCCGGGAGGGCTTCAACTTCCGGTCGACTGCCGAATTTGAGATTGTGCGCTCCATCAAGGAGAAGGTCTGCTACCTGGCCACCAATCCACAAAAGGAGGAGACGGTGGAGACCGAGAAGTTCGCCTACAAGCTGCCCGACGGCAAGACCTTCGAGATTGGACCGGCTCGGTTCAGGGCACCGGAGGTACTCTTCCGGCCCGATCTGCTGGGCGAGGAGTGCGAGGGCATACACGACGTTCTGATGTACTCGATCGAAAAGTCGGATATGGATCTCAGGAAAATGCTCTACCAGAACATTGTGCTCTCCGGTGGATCCACTCTTTTCAAGGGATTCGGTGACCGCCTGCTCTCCGAACTCAAGAAGCACTCGGCCAAGGATCTCAAGATCAGGGTAAATATTTTTATATTTCTTTATTACCTACTTTATTCGGTTGTTCGCAATCACGTGTATCTTTTAACAGATTGCTGCGCCTCAGGAACGACTCTACTCCACGTGGATGGGCGGATCGATTTTAGCCTCGCTTGATACCTTCAAGAAGATGTGGATCTCGAAGCGGGAATACGAAGAGGAGGGTCAGAAAGCCGTGCACAGAAAGACTTTTTAGTGTGTTTACTAGCTTAAACGCCATTTGTAAAAGGCTTATTAAAATGTATATCAAATCCTTGTGTCAGCTAACATCAAGTACCCCAGAAATTCATATTAATATGTGTATGTTTTACGCATAAAGGGCGCAAAGTATTTAAAATGCTATTTATTGAAACTGCTTTCCCAGCCTAGAGAATAAAGTAATAAAATTAATTAAACACTTTCGGAATACTCCCCAATCCAACGTAATAAGTACATTTGGTAACATATATATTTCAATTACCGTTTTATATATTTATATAATTGGCAAATTATAGAGCTTGTACATATGTATATTGCTATAAAATATGTACAAACATCATCTGACATAGCTAGTGACGCTAATTTTGGAGGTAACGGACCCCATTGGAATGCTGCCACCCAAAAACATGCTCTTGTTCGGAATCAGGGGAAACACTATTGGCTGACGGTCAACAGTTCCAGCGATCGCCTGCGTCATCTTGGCCAAAGTATGGTCCAATTTGATTCCACATTTTCCCTTGTGCAAATGGAAGAAGGGTGGACAATGTACCTTTCCATAAGGATCGCGATAATGGTCCCTGTACTTCTGGCACTCCAAGTAGAAAGTGTCAATCCTGTAAATCTCTCCACGGCTTATTGTGGCCAGATCTACGGCTTCAGGAACAAATTTCCGAATCATCTGCCAATCTTTTTGGGACTTCTTTGAAATGTCCCAATATTGCGCTTCTGGTATGGGAAAATCCATTATAAAGACTCACAAAAAATGTTTGGTTTAAAATTTTATTTAAGTGTATGCTTCCGTTTCAACTCCTAACTTGAACTATCTGAAAATCATTTTTTGTGAATAGAAACCAAAAGAAAGTAATCCAAAGCCTACGTGTATTTGATTTTATTCGTTTAAGGCACCATTAATATTTATCAAATAAATTTATTAGCTGTCCATTGTTTTAAAAAACATAAGTGATACTAGAATATGACAAAAAAAAAAAAGGGAGAGTATATTTGTGACGCTGATTTAAAAATAGCTTTAATACAAACAACGCTCTTAAGTTCTTTTTAAATGTTTGGGAAAGTTTCCACATTAACTCATTGAGAGATTAAATAATATGAAACATACTTTGACGAACTTTAAGAAATCAGTTGTATTAAATTATGCATAATACTCATTTTATACAGACTAGGCATATCCATTAAATCTTCTACTTCCGTTTCCAAGTGTTTAATCAATGAATTTAAAATCCACTGAGCTCGCATCATTCGTCATTTGTATATTCGAAAAAACTACTATATTTTCAGATTGCAACGCTCTCTTTTTATGGTCAAGAGTTTCGAAAGCCCGACTCGTTCGCTGTAGTTCTCTCTGGGCTGGATTTTTGAATTCAGTTCGCCGTCAGTTGTTTAATCGTTTGGTTGTGTAGCAAACCGTCTCCACGACAACGCTACTATAACAATTGTTTTGCCAATTTGAGAAGACAATGAAAACCGAAACAACTGAAGTCAAAAGTTTTTGATTTCTTCTTTTGTATCTGGCTTGCAAACTGATCCGAAGTGCAGTGGTGTGTGACTGAAACCAAAGCTCAAATTAAAAAACAAAACCAAAGATACATTTATAATGGCGTCAGAGTTGGAGCGGGTAAACGAAAATGAAGTAAGTTTGAAGATATTTCATCTTCAGGTGCTGTGATATCATATTCCGCACACAAACTGACCTTGATCTTCACTATACTCGTATATCCCTGTTCATGAATTATATATTTATTCGTGCGAATGACAAACACCATTCCGAATTCATATCCCCATTTCTATCCCATCCGTAATTGCCAGTCCATGTAATTGTTGTTGTTGTCTTTGTTCCGACTGTTCGTGCAATTTAAAAATTATATTTACCCGACTCGTTTGCCTTATGCACCTTAAAAATCCGACGAGCTATGCGAAAAGGCATTTCAATTCCCACCAGTTGTTTGTTCTCATATCGATTTTCTAATTGTGATGACAATTAGATGGAATGCAACACACCCTATAAAAGCAATTATCCTTTTAGATATATTTTGCTTAGTATTAACTTTGGATTTATTGCAGATACCGATAAAAAAAATGCTTGGCAGGTATTACATACATTTTTTTTAATATAATTTGTTGCTTAAATATTCTGCAAAATATTTTTTTTTTCTGTGCAACATTTGTGTAACCCTTGCCCCCAATGTAAGCTTTTTATGCCTATTTATTCATTAGCTTGAGTAGTGAAGTTCTGTTTTCTTATCAGCGCAAGATCTAACATAAATGACAAAAAGATAAAGAATACCTTTCGAATCGAATTGCGAGAATCATTCACTCTTAAACTGTCTATTGCACCGGCACGATGGAAGCTTTCTTAAATAATGTATCATTTCTTCACGTTAAGAAATTCTGATAGCTCAGCATGTTAATAATTTTTTTTATATTCATATTTCTAGATGAAAGCCATGAATGCTAATCGGTATGCCACCAAAAAGACCATTGCCCAGGGCATGCTGGATATAGCTTTGCTGACCGCCAATGCCTCCCAGCTAAAATACATCCTACAAGTGGGCGAACAACACCAATTCTACAAGCTAATGCTGATTCTGATCAGTCTGTCTATAGTTCTACAGGTAAGAATTAACTTTTTGGCCTTTGCTTTATTCTGGTTCTCTACGTGTCCTGCACAGAGAAAGAACAATTACAAAATAATAATTCTATATCATATAAAATAAAAAGCTTTTGCGTCTGGATTGTTATAAATACATTATAAATTTTATGATGTTTTATAATCATCCTACGTTTAATTTTTTTTGCAAATTGTGGCTTTTGTTAATATCAGACTGGTTCAATTTTTAAAGTTTTATTGAAATATTTGTTCTATTGGAAAAATTGACAATGGTTCTTGCGGAAACTCATTTTTTAGTTATGCCACGAACCCAATACAAAATTAAATTTAAATAACAATATAGAACTGATATTGTAATGTTTTTTCTCTGTGTAGGTTGTGTCGGGCGTTCTGAGCCTTTCTCTAAGTTTGCTGCGGGATTGTCGGCTGCACCAGCCAGAGTTTAACCAATCGGCTAATGTTATTAACCATTTGCGCACGGGTTTCGCTTTTTTGACCACGATGATAAATCTCTTTATCTCGGCCTTTGATAGTCGACTGCCCCCGCCAGAAGGCCACACTCTGAATAATGTGAACTGAGGGTGGAAAAGATTTTAAGACGTTATCATACGGTTCTAACGCTTTCCATATCCATTTCGACAGCTTTTGGTGGGCATTCTGTTTGTGGTAATTGGAGGTCTTGACATAAACAAGCAGAAGGATCAGACAGCGGCGGTGATCCTGAACGATATCATTTTGGTGGTCGTGTTTGTAATATCCGTGGTGAACGTTATTATATCCGGTTTCGGCATAGAGTACTCGTCGCAGCCACTCAGACTACTCGAACAGCATGAGAAAACACCATAGAACTTAGACAATACCAACGATTTACACCAAACTATTTAAATTTAAGGCTACTGTAATCTTAAGTTGTAAAGTGAAATAAATAAATGTGTTGATGTTAAAGCATTGCGTTTTCGTTTACCTTCGCCAACAGGTGACGGCTGGAATTTTATTGGTGATTCAGTCTTTGATCAATATGCATAATCCCAAGGATCGAAGAGTGGGCTTCACCATCAACCACTTTATAGATGCTTTGATATTTCTCACGGTGTTTTGCGACATTTTGAAGATGAATTTCGGCATTGATCCTGCAGTTCCTCACAGCAGCGATGATACGGAGCTTCTGAAGCCCTAAATTTTCGGAACTGAATGTCCACAAAGCAATCAGTATTTCTGGCATCTATGATCGACGTAGCCCTAGAGTTTTATTTATCTTAACTTGAAGCGCTGTACATATCAAAATTTATCAAAAAAAGGTTCCAAATAAAAATGATACTGTAAGCTGGTTTTTAATTTTGCATCTCAGATTAACCAGATCAGAACTTGTTGCTGCACTAAGTCTGCGGCCTATAGTTTTAAAATTTCACGTTCACCCCATTGGTTTTACTACATATTAGACATTCAAAATGCCGCGTCCAAATGCAGGTGGAGACAAGTAAGTAATATTCGAAATCGATTAAATCGCGCCTGCCAGGGCAATGTGCCCGTTGCGGTATTAGTGCGGCCAAAGACCGATTCCAACTATAACGCCACGTAGGCTGGAATCGATAGGCGATAGGCGCGAGCCATCGCCGATTGCAGCCTTGGTGCGCTATCGGTCCAGAGCGAAAAAAAATTGTATTCCAAAAATAATACGTACGCGCGTGAATCATTCTCTCGCCACATTTCCCAGCGCAGCGCGACAATCGAGTGTAGACACACATAACTGCCGTAGTGGTCGGAACCGTAACACCCGCGCCAGCACAACTCCGATTCCGAATCCGTGTCCGTGGCCGATTCCCCTTTCAATTCCGGTTGCTAATTGTCGTCTTGCGAAATGTTTAGCTTTCTGAAGCGCGAGAAGAACACCCAGGAGGTGGTGGAGAATGTGATTGGCGAGCTTAAGAAGATCTACCGGAGCAAGCTGTTGCCCCTGGAGGAGCACTACCAGTTCCATGACTTCCACTCGCCGAAGCTCGAGGATCCGGACTTCGATGCCAAGCCGATGATCCTGCTGGTGGGCCAGTACTCCACGGGCAAGACAACCTTCATTCGCTACCTGCTGGAGCGCGACTTCCCGGGCATTCGGATCGGACCGGAGCCGACGACGGACCGCTTTATCGCCGTGATGTACGACGACAAGGAGGGCGTGATCCCGGGCAACGCCCTGGTTGTGGACCCCAAGAAGCAGTTCCGGCCGCTGTCCAAGTACGGCAACGCCTTCCTTAACCGCTTCCAGTGCAGCAGCGTTGCCTCGCCCGTCCTGAACGCCATCTCCATCGTCGACACGCCCGGAATTCTGTCCGGTGAGAAGCAGCGCATCGATAGGGGCTATGACTTCACTGGAGTTTTGGAGTGGTTCGCTGAACGGGTGGACCGCATCATCCTGCTGTTTGACGCCCACAAACTGGACATCTCCGACGAGTTCCGGCGCTCGATCGAAGCTCTGAAGGGCCACGATGACAAGATTAGGATCATCCTGAACAAGGCGGACATGATTGACCACCAGCAGTTGATGCGGGTGTACGGAGCACTGATGTGGTCGCTGGGAAAGGTGCTGCAGACGCCAGAGGTGGCGCGCGTGTACATCGGATCGTTCTGGGATCAGCCTCTGCGCTTCGACGCCAACCGGCGGCTGTTCGAGGACGAGGAGCAGGATTTGTTCCGGGATCTGCAGTCCCTGCCGCGCAACGCTGCGCTGCGCAAGCTGAACGATCTAATCAAACGGGCCCGCCTGGCCAAAGTGCACGCCTTCATCATCGCCGAGCTGCGCAAGGACATGCCCTCTGTGTTCGGCAAGGAGAGCAAAAAGAAGGATCTGATCAAGAACCTCGGCCAGGTTTACGATCGCATTCAGCGCGAGCACTCCATTTCGCCCGGTGACTTCCCCGACATTAAGAAAATGCAGGAGGTGCTGCAGCACCAGGATTTCACCAAGTTCCACTCGCTAAAGCCCCATCTTCTGGACATCGTGGACAACATGCTGGCCAAGGACATTGCCCGGCTAATGGAGATGATCCCACAGGAGGAGATGACGCTCGTCGCGGAGCCTGTGGTCAAGGGTAAGTCACCAAGAGCACCGCTTAGTCGCCTTAGTCACGCTGCACTTGCTGATTGTCAAAAAGGGGGAAACCGGCTTCTGACTTACAAGGCAAATATAATTTGAGAAATTTCTTGGTTTTCCGCGAACATTTCGCTGGCGTTTTCGCTTTCCCATCGCACTGTATTATTGCGCATGCGCGCCGAGAAAAATTCCCCACTTAACCCAGATATTTGCAAAGCCAAAATGCGAAGAAAACGAGTTTTGCTCAGCGGTTTAGATTCAGTTACGGCTAGAGCTAGACCGCAGCCAAATGTGTTTAATGGATACAATTACAGTCTGCAAACGAAAGCCACTAGGAGCGATCCTATGATCGAAGCTCGCTTTCAACACACAGCTTCCTATTTTCACTCGGCGCTGAATTATGCAATGCCTTGACAACAAATATATAAACCCTATACTATATACGAAACATATTTGAGCTATATAAACAAAGTGATAAGCGCCGAAAACCTGATAAGGCAAAAAAGTCGGTGTCAGTTTAGCGCTTAGGCAACACACACGCACTTTTTGTGCAAAACTAAACATCGAGGTGGAAGCAAATATCGTCTAGAGCCACGTATTTTCGTATCTTTTGCAAATACTGGGTTGATAAGCCACTACTTTGTACTTGGAAGTGGGCGCCCGTCGCAGGGCGTGGCCCACAAAAATTGTACTATTTATGTGACACCACTTATTGAATTGCTTTCGTCATGGCAAGAAGTAAACCGGGCGGACTGTTTTCTCCTCGTACTGATAAGATTTTTTGTTATGATGTAAGCATTGGAAAATATCGATAGCTGAACCACTGGGTTTGTTCTAATTGGGGCATGAGTCATCGAAAAAAAAAACAAAAACACAAACTAGGCGTACAGTTGGGCATGATAAATATTTCACACTCGAGTGCCTAGTGGCTGAATCGGATCTGGCTCTCCGGAGCAGAGGCATCCAGGCAACCATGACGAGAACCACGCACTCGATTCAGAGTTAAAACGCCCAGCAAAACAATCCAGTTTAAAAGGGGAGAATCAGACGGAGAGAAGGGGGCCATAATGTAGTTAATCAGAGACTAGAGGCGCCAATCGCTGTGTAGTCTAGAGCAAAGTAAACTCTAATTGAAAGCCAAATGAAATTGATGCAAGCTGACGAGACGACCGGTTTCGTGCGACCTCTGAACTTCGTGCGTGGCCCAGAGTTCAAGGCCTAATTACACTTTCGTGGAGCTTTTCCCGCACACCTGTTCGAGTTCCCCCGTGCATTCGTTAGTGGGGCAAGCAAAAGTGGCTTGTTTGTCAACCCCCTTATCGCGTTGCTAGGCGATGTCATTCCTCGGAGCGAACTATTAGATAAAAATCAATGTAAGGCCAAGTCGGTGTGCCATCAGCAAATATCTTATCAGACAAAAAAGTCAGTATGTGTCTCCCTGAATGGACTAAGAATGAACTCAAAGCTCGAATGCCTCGGTTCGGTCTGGTCTTCTATGATTAGCAGTGCTCTAATTTCCACCAGCAAATATACTTATTTCGTTTATCATCAAAGCAAACACTATAATTAAGTAATAACTATGCCACTGTAGCTACTGGCCAGGCGATGTGGTGGAAATGTTCAACCTTTCTCAGTTTAGTATTGCATAAATAGGTATAATTTCAAGAGTCACTCAGTAAAACTTGGAATTATCAAAAATTATAAAATCTTTATTAGCCAATTACATATTATTTTCAGCTTTGAAGAGGGTTACCATAGGTTTTTAGACTTTATGCAAGCAACTTATATAAAGCCAGTTACTATTTTTATTGTTCATTATATAATCGCTCGTTCTTAATGCAAAACTTTTTATCGTTCGAACAAAAGGCTGCGTCATTAGCTGCTAAATGGACTTTCCATTTACCAATACTCATTATCAGCATATTATTTTTTACAAATGCTTTCATTCCCTAAACGAACACTATTAAAGTAAAGCCGAAAAGCGTGCGATTGGATTAATTCTGTACACAAACCAATCGCCAGACAAGGAACACGAAAATAATTATCTCTTAATAGGCTAAGCAATTTAAAATGGGAAAAGCAAATATGAAAACTTTGCATTCCAATATTTGCTGCCTTTTAAGAGAGCAACAGCGCTCTTGGGTTGACTGAGAAGATTGTCCGGTGCATTTGTCATGCGACCAGCTGATCAAACAAAGCCCAGACTCGGATCCCAGAATAACATCCACGCCCAGTCCAACCGATCCCTGAACAACCCATCCCACCTCGGGCGAAACATATCTGAAAGGCGAACCGGTTGTCGTCTTATATTTTTGATGCCGTTGCCAACCTGAGGTCGCTTATCAATTTGTGCCTCTCGGATTCTGACTTGGGGCGTGTGGCACGTCTAAGTGGCTCATCCTCCGCCTAATCTGCCGCTGAATTCCCAGAGGGCAATGCGATTTTCATATGAACTAGCACTAAGTGCAGGAAGAAAGCTTTTAACTATGATATATGTTTCGGGAGCAAAAGCAATCCATTCCACAATAGCATTGTCCGAGACCGAGGCTGATCTTTTCAGTTTGCCATTTGGTTTGTGGACCACTTGAGTGGCTTTTTAATTCAACTATTAGCGCATTTCACATGACCTTGTGCTATAGCATTCCACAGATTCGTAAAAGTGTGTTGGGGAAAATCTATGCATAAAACGATTGCCGAAAACGATCGTCTGATGTCATGGGGATCATTATTTCACGGCATGTGTCATCCGTTGTGTCGGCGCTTAAATCTCCAACTTGCTGTAGCTGGTAAAATTCGATAGCACCTAACAAATACGCGGCAAGTGAATGAACTTTTCGTTTATTATTACACCAGTGCCAAGGGAAGAGGAATTTTTGTGGACGTACCCCTGAAACTGAAAGAGAGGCGGAATGCGTTGATAAAGTGAATCGCGATCAAACAGCTCGAAATCAAAGTCAAGAACTCGGGGCTCTAATTTAGTGCATGGTGGGTCTTTGTCTGTGTGTGTGTATCTGTGTCTCTGATTTTATTTTCGTTGCGTTCGCATCACAGTTTGGTTTTATTTTATAGCATTTCCGTTGTATTGTCTTGGATAATTGACTTGGGTATTTCGAACATAGAGTAAGCTCGACAAGTGCATGTACAGCGATGTCTTTATAGTTTCGGGTGATTTGCTAATGCAATTGACACTTCAAAATATGTTCCATTTGTATCAGCTTTATCTGGACAATGCCCTCAATCGCACTTGGTCAGGTTCTCCAACTTGAGTCACTTCCTTCACCGTCACAGCACATCTGAATTTGTGCTGGCATCACATGTTTAGCAATTCGACGCTAAATAGTTGTACACATATCTAACACGATCTTGCAGAAATATGTTCTTCGTTTCGCCGTTCTTATCGTTTTCGCCATTGGCCCACTAATTTTCCTTGGTTTGATTTCCACGTCCGAGTCGCACTCCCGCACTCTCCAGATGCTGCTGCTCCTCTGTCAACCTTCTTTCTCTCTTTCTTGCATACCCAAAGAGGATTCTGACGAGGATTTCGATGTGTCCGAGGATCCAGATCCCCTGACCCCCACATCGCAGAGACAGCAGTTTGCGGAGCGCTTCGATCGCTGGCTACAGAATCTGCGCCAGCAGCAGCTCCGTCTGTTCAGCAGTTGCACTAGTCGGGTGGGCAATGTCGAGAACGACAAGGAAGCCGAACCTGGTTTAAAGCCAGCGCCTGAACCCGAACCTGAGGCAGGCCAGGAGGTTGACTCAGAGTCTGAGCCAGAGCCTAAGCCTGATCCTGATCTTGAAATTGAAACTGAGGCAATTGAACCGGAGGCGGGGACAGGGACAGAAACAGAAACAGCCGTAAGCATCTGCAGTAGTTCTCCTTGAAAATTAGTGGTTTGGCGATATCCGTGATTTTAAACGAATCGTTTCATAAAATGCACAAATCAGAAAAGTTATGTTTTTATTTTGCGCTGCATAAATACATTCGCAAATGTAAACTCAAAAAGTTAGATCAATCCAAAACATTATTATTCAAACATACAAAATCTTGGGTAGGTCTTATTTGTTTTTAATAGGTAAAAATAGTTCTTGTGCAGAAGTGCTTACTGTAAATATAAAAATAGTATTAAACATTGCGTCACCAATTTGGTAATGACAACAAATTCCGGTGGAGGTAATATATATGTATATTATTTTCTCTGAAATCATTTGCGTATCACGGATAGCATATCTAAATGATAAACCATAAAAAGATATATGTTGAAATCATCTGTAGATACAAATAACTATGTTTTAGGAAACAAAAGTGTGGACCATTCTTTAAAAAAAAACTCGCTATTGCTCTTATATTTCTGTTGGACTTGAAAACAATGAATTTATTATAGAAAGTATTTGGTCTAAAAATCACAATGATTTCCATGTCTGATTTAAGTCATATAACAAATATTTATTGCATTAGACTAAAATACATGCTAAGATTACACCCTGACGAATTTAGGTTAACATTTTTAATTTTATATTTTAACTAAAATAAATTCATAAAAAAATTTGTTTTCCAAAAATTTTATTTAACAATATCCTTCTACGTCAAAGACATTTGCATATAGAAATACTACTATTTTAGAAAGATGTAGGATATTTTAATTTTGATAATATGTTTTAAAGACCAGAGTTTTGCATATGCCACCCCAAGAACACCACCCAAAGAGCCCTTTTCAATTGCCCGAAGCGACAGCAAGAGGCCGCAAACGAATTGAGCAACTTCAAAAAGTGAATTGAAATCGCACTTGGCAACCTGCACCGCCTATCTCAATTGCCCCCCAGAATGCACCACAATTGCCTGTTAAAGTAGCCGGCAAAGTACATGCTTAAGTCGGTCAGCCGGCCTAGTCACGATACGGCGGCGACGTCAATTGGAGCCAAAACGATCTGAAGGTTTTAATTGCCTCAAATTGAATGTTTGTGCACGGCGAACGCACCGATCAACTTAGATTACATGCTTAATTAATGCAAATTTATGGCGCATACAAAGTATCAAGTACCGAACTGACCTTTTCTCTTCCATCTTCCACAGGTGGTGCCTTCGAGGGAGTCATCGACGACCACGTCTCACCCTTCGGCTACATGAAGGGCGAAGGCATCGACGCTGGATACGGAGAGCACGACTGGATCTGCAAGAAGGACAAACCGCGCACTGACGGCATCTTTAACGGGCTGGGACCCGTCGATGGCAAAATATCCGGCGCAAGTAAGTAACTTTGCGTTTATGATAACTTTTGTGAGGAAACTAAGTCACCATCTACCATTTTAGCTGCCAAGCAGGAGCTCATCAAGTCGAAACTGCCCAACTCGGTACTCAGCAAGATCTGGAAGCTGTCGGATGTCGATGGAGATGGCTTCCTGGACTCCGACGAGTTCGCGCTGGCCTTGCACTTAATCAACGTCAAGCTGGAAGGCTGTGAGCTGCCCACCGTGCTGCCGGAGCACTTAGTTCCGCCGTCGAAGCGCTATGATAGTGCCCTGTAATATACAGACTCGATCACACAAACTCACGACCCAATAACACATACACAGAAGTCACATTGAGACCAACTCCTACGATGCACTAAGTTCGATTTGATTTATTTTCAACCACAGTGCAGGCGACTGCCTTTTTATATGTACTATACTCGTTGTGAACGCGCTAAACTGGGTATTAAAACACACAAGCGGCAATGCAAGCATTGCACCATATGAGATATCAATCATAAATTCGTAGAATTTACACAAAATATAGCATATTTTTGGATAAACAATTGTAAATGTAGAGATGAGGAACCAGCCTAGTGGAATAAGAGAAGAGAGTGTGTGTTGAGCGCCCAAATGTCGTTGTTGACTTAAGGAAAATGTGAAGAAACAATTGTTCAATGCCAATGAAAGAGCATGAAGTTAAACTGTATACAATATCTAGGTTAATGTCGATGTTGAGCTTGAAGGGCCATTTATTTGCAAACCGAACGTTTTTTACTACACAGTAAATATATTTGTTATATTGAAATTTACAACTGGAGAACCTGTGTTTCCTGTATTTATTTTGCAATATTAATTAACTTTTCAAAATGCTCTTATATTAGAGGCCACAAGAATTGAAATAAAAATGTTGTGCAATTTAATTTTTGTTAGTGCAAATTATTGCCTGTGCTTCGACTAATTTGTAATTAGTGAATTTTTGAATATTATTAAATGTGGAATGAAAACTGATTTTAAATTGTATAAACAATAAAATGAACAATTTTGGAGGTGTTTGGCTATTCTTTCTGGGTTCAAGTTAATGGATTAACATCCGCGGATGACATTTTCTAAAGGGTTTATAATAGGCACGGTTGAAATGGGAAACATTTATTTATTTTGTATATTACCGTTACTTATTTTAAAAGTTTTCAAAAATACTTGGGATAACGATTACTTTGGTATATTTCCCCGTTTCACTGGTATATTATATCAGTCAATCTGTGGTCACACCTCAGATAAGTTAGCTTTACCGGCTTAAATTTTGTGTTTATTAAATTCGTTCCAAAAATTGCTGATATGGCCACTTACGAAGAAGTCAAAGATGTTACCAACCACCCGGAGAAGTACCTTTTCGACGTCCGCAACGAGTCGGAGCTGAAGGAAACTGGAGTTCTGCCGGCCAGCATTAACATTCCATGTGAGGAGCTATAAAGTCCAGGGATTACCGACTTAATTGACATTTTTTTATTTTATTGCAGTGGCCGATCTGGAGAAGGCTCTCAACCTACCGGATGTGGACTTTGCTCAGACTTATGGACGCGAAAAACCGGCCATTGATGCAGTCCTAATCTTCTCTTGCAAAGCCGGAGGACGTGCAGCTCGAGCTGCTAATTTGGCTTCCACCCTGGGTTTTACAAAGTATATTTCCATATCACATTTTTAAATTCTGTACATTTATTTTTTAATAATTTATTACAGCGCTAAGGCTTATGCCGGATCCTGGACGGAGTGGCAGGCTAAGCAGTCTAAAAATTAGTAAACATGCGGTCTATAAAAATTTGATATAAAATTCCTAAAAAATTCGAATTACTACAATAATAAAAACAAATAAACTAGACCCTTATCTCCTGCAGTTCACCCCAACTGCGTCCAATCTTCAGCTTAACCTTAAGTGGCACACTAAGCTTTACACAATTCTCCATGGTGAGGCTGAGAACCTTTGCGATTTTCCTGGCCTTTTCCACCGGCACCTCAAAAATAAGTTCGTCATGTAAATGCATTACAAGATTGACCGATCCTTCCCCCAATCCCAGCTTTTCTCGATAGCGGTCAATGTTCTTCTCCATTTTCAAAATTGCACTTTTCGCTATATCTGCAGCCGAACCCTGGATTGTGGAGTTAATGGCTTGGCGCTCGGCCTGTCCTGTTGGAGTATACATGTTTGAATTAAAAAAATATTTAAAAGGTTTCTTTTTAAATATTACTTTTCAACTGCTCCTCGGCACTGTTAATGTGGTCCAGATAGCGCCGACGTCCCGTTATCGTCTCCACGTATCCCTTGTTTCGGGCAAACTTGATCACCTTCTGGGTATGCTCTCGTATTCCCTTGTAAGCCTGGTGGAACTGGTCGGATACCATCTGCGCCTCCTGCTCTTTGCACTTTAGAGATTCAGCCAAAGAACGCATGCCCATGCCGTAGACAATCCCGTAGCAGATCTGCTTGGTGCCGTTTCGTAGCTCCTCCGACACGGCAGACTCGTCTATTGCGTTCCAATGCGCCGCAATGGCTGTAAACAGATCCTGCGGCGAGTTCATCACCTCTAGCAGAGCCTTATCCTGCGAAAGGTGGGCAAGGATACGCATCTCTAGCTGACAGAAGTCCGCTGAAAGCAGGCATCGCTGCTCATTCTCAGGCATAAATGCTGAGCGACTGGAAATGTTAACCGCATCTGATCCTAATTTTATCACAAAGTCCTTTGCGACATTTTGTAGATTTGGTTCCGTCATGGAAATACGACCTGTGGCCGTATAAGTAATACTCTGCCCATGAATCCTGTTTCCCTCACAGCATTTCAGCAGGGGCTGAATGCTCTTGGCCAAAAGAGCGCCTAGCTTTCGATGCGCCAGTATCAAAATGGATATGGGAGAGTCTAACTTTTCTAAAACCTGGCGCGAAGTGGTTACCCGTCCATTGGGTTTCCGGTGAAGTCCCAACACCTTGGCAACTGCCTGCGTCGAACCTAGATTGAAACGGGAGCCATGCTGCTCGTAGATCTTCGCTTCCAACTTTTTCATAACAGCTACCATTTGCTGGAAAAGTCTTTGCAGACGTTGCTCCTTGACCGGAAAGCCCACAATCTCCATGTGGCAAAGAGACGTTTGAATGGGCATTTCAACCTCTGAAATTAATACTTATTAGGAATTGTATTTAAAGGGACTTCTGTGAACCCACCATGGAAAAACTTCAGCAGCTGCCCCGTGCCAATCCTCTCAAGATTTTCTATTTGACCCTTTAATATGTGCACTGTTACACAGGCCTCGACGGAGGCCCTTATCTTGGGAAGAATGGCGCTGGAGCTATCAAGCCCGTAGCTGCTGTATCCACGACCGCTGCCACACAAATCAGCGAGGGCTGTACACTCCGGAGCGAACTGCTGGCACTAGAATATCAACAATAATAAACAGCTTCATATGAATGATGATTGTAATAGTTACCATATTCTGAAAACTCAAGATGTTGTCCGGCTGTAGCAGCCAGTTTGCTACCTTGGGATCCTCCAATTTGGCGCTGATTTTTTTAAGCTCCGGTATCGATTTAAGCAGCATTTTTAGCTGCTCCTTTCCATCGTGCATGATCAGTGTAAGCTCCTTTCGAGCCATTAGCTTGCAAAGTTCCTGCGCCTTTAGACTGGTGGGCACTCTGTGTCCCTTGGGCTGTTCCTCCTCTTGCATGTTCATATAGTATACTACATTGTCCGCCAGGCAGAAGGTTAAACAGGATATAAAGCAGCTGTCGTCCACCTGAAAGAGCACCTGCTTGCCCGCGGCCGCCTCCCGCTGCTCCGCCGCCGCAACCTGGTTGATCAGAAGGTTGCCTCCGATCAAGGGCTTTTGTCTGCCGGCCTGAGCCTGCAAGCCCACGCTGAAGCCAATACGCGGGGCTTCCAAAAGCTCCATGAGAGCAGCTTGAAACAACTGACGGTTGCCACAGATGTCGATTACATCTATGCTAGAAAAACTAGAGGCATTGTCATCCGCCTTGGAACAACTTAGGATGTGTGACGCATTTAGATGCAGGGGATTTTTCATTAGTGAGTTCTCGACAGACATGTCAGAAAGTTCCATTGAGGAAGCCCCATCAGAGGAGCACTTTGATTCCGACTGCGTTTCAGTGTCTGTGGGAAGTTTTTCAATTCTGGATGAGTCACTAGATGATCGCGAACTTGGACTCTGCAAGCGCTGCGATCGCAGCTGGTAGGAGCGCATCAGTCTACTTGCATGCGGAGTCAGGGCGCCGACAACCTCCGGTTCCTTGGGCTGTGAGCTGGGGATCTCGTCGGCCTCCGAAGGCGCAGGAGCCTTACTCTCAACGGACGTTAGAGCAGCAGTTAGTCCGGTGTTCAGCATAAAGGAATCGTCTGCCATAAAAAGATCCTGCTCTGCGGTGGAAACCTTCCTTGAAGCCGTGCGATTTGGAGTAATGGGAGGTGTCGAAGTATGATTGCGTGGGCTTCTGCGGGGCAATTGAGGCGATGAGCTTAAGCTAGGACCTCGTGTTGGGGTTGCCGACGATTCCCTGCTGGATGGTGTTTTGAATGGCTTTGTCAGGGTTGAGCTGTTACCTTGAGTCTTAATATCTTTGCTAGGCGTTTGTGTTTTCTGAGTAGTGAGAGTATTAGTTTTTCCAACTGGGGTATGGTTAAGGGGAGACGGAGCAGATCTTGCTGCCTGTATTGTTTGCTCTTTCGCCTGGTTTTCCATTTCTGCTTTTTTCTGTTGAATCTTCATTAAGGCGATCCTTCGACGCTCAGCAATTTCTTTTCTCAGCAACTCTTTGCGGGCATTGTGACTGGTGCTAGGCTCCTCCTCCTTTGCAGTTAGAGAACTAGCTACTGGAGTGCTTTCTTTTTTAGTTCCCGATCCCTGTCCCTTTATCTCATTTGGTACGACTTCTGCTAAGTTACTTACTGATTTTTGGATATTATTTTGAATGCGCCGAGTGGAAGGTGAAGACTGAACGATCTCCTTTTCTTGGACTCTTACTGGATGTACTTGTTTTTCTGCATCCTCAGACCTAGAAATAACCGGATTCACCTTTTCAAAAGATCTCCGACTCGGGTATTGACTTTCCATCTTTTCAGTGGCCACTAGTTTATGATCTTTAACATTGGAGTTGGAAGCATTTGGTGGAGTCTGTAATGCCTTAGGAGCTTCTTCATTAGGCTTTTGTCGAGTATCTTTTTTAGTGTTTAGCTTAAACTCTTCAGAATTATTTTTGTTCAACCCAGAAGAAGTTTTTATTATATTCCTTTGACTTGCCAAGTTTGTCTGTGGTTTATTTTGCCGCTCTACCAGTGGTTCTAGTTTGGGAACCTTTATGGATGAAGCACTTCCTAAAGTGCTTGTTTCATCGTTCGACAGTTTTCTCTTTGCTGGCGGTTGGTTCTGCACTTGATCCTCCTCCAGTGACATATGAAGATTAACCTCTATGCCGCTGTTCTCGGGATATCTACTTGCATCTGACTGTGTCTGATTCCACTTAATGCTGCCCACTCCGATCTCATGCTGGACATATTGACGAGCTTCGCCAATTAGCAATTTTGCAGCTTCGCTCACTGTCATTCCCGCCTTGCCGGTGATATAAAAGTTCCTTACCACATTCCGTTTGGCCGCCTCGTCTGCGTTCTCGTGATCGTGTTGCTTGGCAGAATCAAAGCTTAGGGAGTTGAAGAGTACTTTTTCCAGTTCCAACACATCGGCGCCTGCCAGTTCTACCAAACTGGTAAATCCAGCATCAAATATAGCACGAGCACGCTTCTGCGTCAAGTCGGGCAGTCGCATAAGATCTATAAGGTCCCTGTGAATGCCAAAGAAAAGTCGATCCTTGAACTGGGACACGATCAGGGCAAGCGTTGACCACTGCAGTGAGTTGCAAAAGGCTGTCACGATGCCCGCAAAGGTGGAGGCCATCTGCTGCAAACTCTGTAGCATTCCCCGGTGGCACTTAAACTTGTGCACTACCACATTAATGGGAGTTTCGTTAACAAGTTCCTGCAGCGCCAGAGCAGTGTAAAAACTGGATGACATACAAAAACCATTAGGGTCTATTATATAATTTTTTAGAAAAATAACTTACCGCTTATGAATCTGCATCTGCTTATAGTCCAGCTTGGTTTGTCCTCGCATTGCCTTTACAAGAAAGGATTCCTTGACGCCTACAAGTTCTCCCACTTTTTTCATAGCTGGGTTAAGCTTTTCCCACATGTCCAGGTAAATCAGCCAGTCAAGATCTTGCAGCTGGTAACACACAGAATACGGAGTGACTAGGTACACAGCATGCAGTTCAGATTCTAAAACAAAGCATCGGCGGGACTTCTGCAGCTCCGCAAAGAGGATGAGGCCATCTGTGGGCGGCATGGAGGAAGCTAGACATGCGGCTCCCAATCGCGTGGCCGCATATGCTGTGGTCTCGGTCTCTTCGTCTGTTTGAAGGCGAACGAATTCGTACTCAACGAGAAAGTCCAGAGCATCGCTGATGAAGTGGGAGTCAGAGTCTTCATCTGATGTTTGCTCTTTTGCCTCCAAAGCCTTTTGTGCACTTAGCAGCGTGCAGTTTACAAAGCAATCAATCTCCTCTTTAGTGCTCGCCACACCGGAAGATATAACCTCTAGTAAAGCTCTTTTTAAGTGTGTCTGTTGGAGAAGCTTTGATTATTTTAGACAAGTTAAGAACTAGACAACTTACACTCCCGTCCATTTCCAGGCAAGAAGTAATAGGCTGCAGTTGCGCTGTGACGAGTTCTCGGCCTACTCGTGCATTGCTCTCTGTGCAGATGAGTATAGACTCGCCCAATGTATCCTTCCCCGTTCGTCCTGCTCGTCCAATCATTTGCCTGTAGGTAAGGGAACTCATCTGCTTACCCCCAAACAAAGGCGAACGGATAAGCACCCGACGAGCGGGTAGATTGACTCCCGAGCTCAGTGTGCTGGTGGCCACTAAGACTTTGAGTGCTCCCGCCTTAAAAGACGCCTCCACAATGTCTCGCTCTTCAGTTGTTAATCCAGCATGGTGAAAGGCGCACGCGTAAGTAACAGCCTTGGACATGACTCCATCGAGACCTATTATGAAAATTAACATTTAAATTACTGATTTATACTAAGATTATCTTTTTTCTCGATCAAACCTGTTGGAATATCCCTTAATTGTTGCTTTACATCCTCAATGGCTTCCGGACTAAGATTGGCCCGCAAACGTCGGCCAAGTTCTGAGCCAGACTTGATGAGACCGTGCATGGCAGTGGCCAGCTGAACGGCCAGATTTTCGCACCAGTCCTTCGAGGGACAAAAAACAATGACAGAGCAACCTTCTAATAGTGTTTCAATGCAAAGCAAGGCCACATCATCAGAATCATTGCCCAGAGCTTCTCGCATTTCTTTTAACTGGGAAACATCACGCAGGAATTTCAGTTGCTGGTCGAAGATCTTAGTGCCCACTTTAATCATCTCCTGAAGAGCCACCGGACGGTAATTAGTAATGTACAGCTCGGCGTTCAGCCAATTCTTCAGCAGCTCCACATTTTCAAGGGTGGCCGACATTGTAATAACCTGGATTTGCAGTGCATTACGACGGGACATATAAAGAATCTTGGCCAGCAAAAGTTCCAGAATATAGCCACGCCCTTTGTCCGAGATGAGATGAACTTCATCGACCACTACTGTGCCGATAGAGTCCAGTTTTCCCTGTTCCAGCAGCTTGTTTACAATTGAATTGGCTTTCTCGATTGTGCAGATTGCCACATGAAGATTTTCAAAGCCTCCAGGAGGTGTATATCCCCCGTAAAAGCCCTCCACACGGTAACCAGCCGGCGTAAGCAAATCTTGTAGATAGAACATTTTCTCGCGCACCACCGAGATAAATGGTAATATAAGCAGCACCTTTTTGCCTCGTTCGAGAACGGTTTTTAGGAGTAGGATTTCACTGACCAGCGTTTTTCCGGCCGACGTGGGTGCGGAGTACACCAAATTGCAGTGCTCGAAGAGAACTCTTGGCTTGCTAAGGCATTCAACCTGCCAGTCAAACATCCTGATAACGCCCTTCTTTTTGTATTCCGCCTGAATGCTGTGGGGTAAGTTCCACGAGGCTATTGATTTGAGGGACTCCAGGTCGGGTGGTGGATCTGTTCTCGCTGGCATTGGTTCCCGAATGCTCGAGGAGTTGGGTGACACTCGCAGTTGGTTGGGGGACATGCTACTTAGATTTTGGGTGATCCGCGACGTCTCGTGAAAGCCACTTTGCTTGGCAAGAACGCAGCGACTGCGCAGTATGTCCTCTTTCAGCTGCTGAGAAGCCTCTGGATTCTTTGGCGGGCAAAGGAAGCTGCTCTCATCTAGATTTGGAAGCTCCTGAACTCCATCACTGTCCTTGCACTCCGAATCGAAAACATCCTCTGTGCAGATTTGAGCATCAAAGACGGATGAGGAGCTCACATCTCCGGAGTCCCGATGGGAGACTCCTTCCAGAAGATCCTCAGTTTTGGCTTCCGACTTGGGGTTCTTTTTAGCTTGGTTTATTTCGTAGGAAAACTCGTCTTTGAAAAAGTCTGAATAGTTATCCTGGCTGACGGCTTTTGAATCCTTTTTTGCAATTGCTTGTTGTATATTTCCACTTCCGGCGCGGGTATTTTCTTTACCGCCCGCTTGTAAGCCCTTTTCCAATTCCATAAAAGTGCTATTACCAAAATTAAATGACTGCGAAAACGCCATATTACTTCCTTAAAATAAATAATTAAATACAAATTTCAAAAAAAAACTAAATAAAATAAATGAACTAAAAGAAAAACAAAACGTCGCGGGTCAGTGTGCCCGTCCAACATCCTAATTTATTATTGGGACAACATTGTCCAATTTTAGAACTTTTTATTTGTTTGGGACAACTGTTGAAGAAGTGTCTGTTTTTGTATCTTTTTTTGGCGGCTATTATCTGGTCCCACTACGCCGAAAAATCAGCTGCGGACTTTGTGAAAATTTGTTTACTCCTCGGAAAATTAACATATTTCGCCTGATTGCCACCATGAACGAATTCAAAGTGCCCGCTCCACTGCCTAAACCCAAGGTGATCATCACAGAAAGGCCGCGCTCCGAAGTTCCGGCCGAACCGCCGCCTCCACCACCACCGAAAACTCCTAAGGTACCCAAATCCTCGCCAGCGGCTGTCTGTCCATACAAGGTGCCCAAATGGTCAGCTCCACCATCCGCTGGTCAAAACTACAGCTTCGAGGTGCTAAAATCTGGCCAGATCATTGACACGGTGCGCCAGTTGCAGCAACAGGCAGTGTGGACCTTCGGACGTCTGCCGGAGAACGATGTGCCCGCCGCTCATCCCACCATCTCTCGCTTCCACGTGGTGCTGCAGTACAAGCCAAAGTCACCGCCACAGCCAGACTTCGATGACACGGTAGAGAAAAAGGATGCCGAAGACCAGGAGGATCTGCCGAAGAATGAACAGCCGGAGGGTTGGTACATCTACGACATGGGGAGCACACATGGCACCTTCTTAAACAAACAGCGCGTGCCGCCAAAGGTCTACATTCGGATGCGAGTGGGCCATATGCTGAAACTGGGCGGCAGCACCCGCGTTTACATTCTGCAGGGACCCGGCGAGGATGAGGAACCCGAATCGGAGCTGTCAGTCACCGAGCTGCGCAAGAAACGAGATAAGGAGCTGGCCGACGCTGCCCTGGAGAGGGAGCTTAAGCTTATAGAGGCCGAGGAGCGGGAACGCAACGAGGGCGTCAGTTGGGGCATGGGCGACGACGCCGACGAGGAGACCGATCTCAGCCACAATCCCTATGCAAGCACCAACAACGAGGAGCTTTTCTTCGATGATCCAAAAAAAACGTTGCGCGGTTTCTTCGAGCGCGAAGGTCTTAATCTGGAGTACAGGTGCGATGAGCTTTCCAGCGGTTCCTTCGTTTGCCGGGTGGAGCTGCCGCTCGACGACTCCAACGGCAGGCCAATTGTAGTGGAGGTCAACCACAAAGGAAAGAAGAAGGACTGCGTGGTGCAGTGCGCACTGGAGGCTTGTCGGACGTTAGACAGGCATGGTGTGCTGCGACAGGCGAATCAGGAGGCGCAAAAGAGGAAGATTGTTAAGTCAGGAGACTCTGACGATGAGGATGAATTTTGGGATCGCACTGGGGACATCAAGCGCAAGAAACAGCGCAAGGAGAATGCCGGTGCCAATGTCACCCTCACTTACGAAGATTTGGTAGGTCATTTACGTCCCCCTTATGAATATTTACTAACTATTTGCTCAACAGCTAAAGCAAGAAGTTGAACTCATCCAAGAAATGGAAAAGGTGGAGCAGGAAATCGCAGCCTACCAGAAAAAAGAGAAAAAGTTTAAGGCACTGGCCATTAAACAGCAAGCCGCAGGCGATGATCTGGATAATTTCATGGACATGCTTAACGAAGATGTTAAGCAACTAGACAAGACCGAGATCAAAAAGCTAAGGGTATGTTTTTATCCCAAAAAATGTTTTAAAATCTATTTCATAAACACATTTGCATCTTTTAAATAGTTGGAGCAACAGCGTCTCAAGGGCGAGCAGCAAAGGATCGAACGCCTCTTGATAATTGCCAAGCCAACGGCTCTACCCTTTTCCACAATCAGTGCCACTGCTGCGAAACAGGCGACTGGCCAGGAAAGCGGTGCAGCAAGACGGCAACTTCCCATGATTGGCAAGAGAAACCAGTTCAGCAAATTCAAGGTGGTTAAAGCCCTGCCGAGCACACAGACTAAGCCCCAATCAAATGCATTTGCCTCGGACGAAGAAGAAGTGGAAGAAGAAGAACCCAGGGAAACATTAGAGGAAAATAAGGAGGAAAGGGGGAAAAAGGAAGCTGTGGAAAAGCAATTGAGTCCGGACAACGAGAACTTCCAAGAAATCAAACCGCCTGCCCAAACGGAAGTAAGCGAACCAACAAACGCTGAAACGGAAGTCTTAAAACCCGACGACGTGATGTCAACAAAAGTTTCAACGGAAACTCCAACAGCTCCCAGCGACACTGTTGCTTCAACTTTGCCTGCAGAGCCCATGGAAGAGACCGGCGCTCCAGCGGACGAGACTCCGGAACCGGAGGCAGAGGAAGCGAAAAAAAGCCACGTCCACGCCAGCGACAGCGCAACAAACAGCGCCAGGATGTGGACATGGACCTGGACGAGCTGGCCGAGCACGAGGACAGCGAGAAGTACGCCAAGTGGGTGCCACCATCCAACCAGAGCGGCGATGGCATCACCCATTTGAACGAGAAGTTTGGCTACTAGCCCAGCGGTAGCGTTAAACACTTGATTAATTCAAGTTAGAAATACTTTTAAACTAGTCTAGACGTGTAATTGATGTATTCTCTAAGACCCTCTCAATGTAACTTTGTAAATGTTAAACCCTTTCGTATTTGCATTTATTTTTTAATGGGTCTTGAGGGGCATTAACTTCAGGTAGAGTGTGAGAGCTTTTCACCACGATTCCAGTGCTGGCAACTCCCCTTCGCTGGCAATCACCCCTAATTTGAGTCGAGTGGCGGCTTCCACGAAACGATTCATCCGCCGATTCGGTTAAAAATTCCTGCGCACATACACAAAATGAACGCCCACTCGGCTCTACCATTTTGCGTCGAAGAGGCCATCGGGTCGCCGATGGGACTCCAGTACTTGAACTTCCAATTCAGTTATAATTTCGTCGCTCTAACCGCCAACACGGTCCGACGGCTGAACGTGGAGACGTGTTCTAAGTTTACCCATAGCCCGTAGTCGACTGCTCATTTGTTCATGGAGACCGATTGGATTTTGTTTAATTGCTAAATTAATTTCCAAATATCGATTTGGTTGGATCCACCTTGAAGTTCAAATCGAATTAACAGTCTAAATCGGTTTTGTTAAAAAAAAAGAAGAAAACTGAATGCTCCCAACCACTTGATTGGATTATTTATGTAATCTGGAACATTTTCGACCACTTCTCGGACGCGGAGCCATTGGCATTGGTTTAATGCGGCCGACACGCGTTTCCCCAACAGCCGGAGCACATGTGCGGGTTACATTTTAGGACGCGTAACAGTCCTTCTCAGAAGACGTCCCTCCGCTGGGGCGACTGCTGCCTGGTCTAGTCGATTGTTCCGACCGTGATTCGAGTTCCTAGCCGGAGTCCTTCGCCATCGTTTCCATTCCTTTACGAGGGATCTGTGTGATCAAACTACCGAGTGGAATCCCCAAAAGCACTTTGGTGCAGGAAATGTTGCATAAGCCAAGGCGCATTTGATTGGCGCGCGTTTATTTGATTGCCGTCGCTACGCTCCGGATTCGAAATTTGGCGTCTGCTTGAACTTGGCGCACAAATCCCAAAGCAAAGGTGAGTCGCTACCCGTTCGATTGCCCGTAAATGCGATGGGACATGCGCAGGCTGCACGCGGGGATTACCATTGCCCCTTTCCGCCCCTTCCGTTTGTCCCTGCGATGCGCTCCGTGCTTTGCTCAATTTTTGTGAATGAAGCCCCCCTTCTTGGGGTGCATGGTATTGGTGCCGAGGTGTTCTTGGAGGTGGCCGCTTGTTTTCCGCGGCTATGACGTACTTGTCTCCCCACACGAGGGGCTCTGAATTGTTTATGTATTTTACATAAGTCGGAGTGCGGACTGGCCCGCTCCGAAATGAGCCTGTTATATAAGCCCGAAATGTGCGTGCGCCTGCAATCAGAATTAATTTCCGGACATGTTTATGTTCTTAAGTTTTGCCAAAATTATATCGGAACTAAAAGCACCATAAATTATTAAAATTATATGGTTACATACTACTACCAAATTTATCTTACTTATATTATCTTATAAATATATTATTGAAATATATTTTGTTTTGGAATTACTACCAATTTAAATTAAATTATTATTCCACAATATTTCGTTCAATAAATATAAATAACAATAATAATTTTTCAAACTTTGTTTTTTAACAATAACAAACTAATAAAAATAACATGTTTATATGGCTTAAACTTACAAGTTCATATTGCAATTAAAATTAATATGCATTTCTTTGAATGCGTTGCCATTGAAAGTAATGATAATCAAAGTAATAACATTGTACTAATATAATATTTATCATTGAAAAATTTGTTTCCATTAACGTATTAAAAGATTTCAGTAATTATAGAAATTCTCTAACCTTAATGGCGATTATTATTAGGAGAGTAGCTAAAAGTATAGTCGCTGTAGAGGTCAAACTCAATGCAATCGCTAGTTAATTACGCGCCATTAGCAAGGACGCATTTTGTCAGAAGAGGGCGGGGTTATGGCGGGTGGAGTGGGGGCCAACTCCAATTATATCCTTGCGGACAAAGGTCAGGCGCACCAACGTCCACGGTCGATGCATTGGCTTAATGTTTAATGCCTCGTGCCGTTGCTAGTTAATTGAAAAATGAGCTTTTGCAGGCGTGCAGCGATATTAACCATTATGCTCAAGGTTGTAACTCATTCTGCCCTCCATCCTCTTTTCTTGTATTCCATTACAGCTAAAGGTCAGCCCCATTTCGAGAGTGTTTTTTTACACAGAAGTGCGCTAAGAGCCGTGATATTTGAAGCCAAGGACACTTCATAACCGCAAGGATGATCAATATCGCTGGCGTCGTGAGCATCGTGCTCTTCTACCTCCTCATCCTGGTGGTGGGCATCTGGGCCGGCCGCAAGAAGCAGTCCGGCAATGACTCCGAGGAGGAGGTCATGCTGGCTGGCCGCTCCATCGGCCTCTTCGTGGGCATCTTCACCATGACGGCCACCTGGGTGGGTGGAGGCTACATCAACGGCACCGCGGAGGCCATCTACACATCGGGTCTGGTGTGGTGCCAGGCTCCATTCGGCTACGCACTGAGTTTGGTGTTTGGTAAGTAATCAGGATAGAATGTAAATAAATATTGCGTATCTCAAAGCTCTTTAAATATTTCACAAAACGAATTTTCGTTACTATCTGGATAAAACTAAACATCTTAAATTTTTAAATCTCCTTTTAATTTAAAACGATTTTTGAATATCCTTGTTCGATTTCACATTTCCAACACATTTTTTAATATTATGCTCTTTAATATTTAACGTTTTAATCAGTACCAAAGAGATCCAAAATAACTTGAATTGTTTTATACTTAATCTTGTTTTCTATCTTGTAACTTCAGGTGGCATCTTCTTCGCCAATCCCATGCGCAAGCAGGGATACATCACCATGTTGGACCCTCTGCAGGATTCTTTCGGTGAGCGAATGGGCGGCCTGCTCTTCCTGCCAGCTCTTTGCGGCGAGGTCTTCTGGGCCGCTGGCATCCTGGCCGCCCTTGGAGCCACATTGTCGGTGATCATCGACATGGACCACCGCACCTCGGTGATCTTGTCCTCGTGCATCGCCATTTTCTACACTCTTTTTGGCGGTCTGTACTCCGTGGCTTATACGGACGTGATCCAGTTGTTCTGCATCTTCATCGGGCTGTGGATGTGCATTCCCTTCGCCTGGAGCAACGAGCACGTGGGCAGCCTGAGTGACCTTGAGGTGGACTGGATTGGGCACGTGGAACCTAAAAAGCACTGGCTTTATATAGACTACGGGTTGCTGCTAGTCTTTGGAGGAATCCCCTGGCAGGTCTACTTCCAGCGGGTTCTCTCCAGTAAAACTGCTGGACGGGCTCAACTTTTGTCCTACGTGGCTGCTGCCGGATGCATCTTGATGGCCATTCCCCCCGTGCTCATCGGAGCCATTGCCAAGGCCACACGTGAGTCCTAGACACTGAAAAGTAAAACAAATGCCCATTGATTAAACATTTCGCCAATTATATATGGCATTTGAGCAGAGACTGCAATTACATGTTATAATTATTTTCAATTATTTACTTTTTGTATATTTTGAATGCAAATAATAGTTATCCATTATATATATTTTGAATGCAAATAATAGTTATCCATTGAGTTGTAAGTAGCGTTTAAAAATTTTAATTACAATTTCGAAAATCAAAAATAATCACAACATTGTGATATATATTATTTAAGTAATGTATGTATATTATAACAGCGGCCCCTGATTTAGAATAGCTTTAATAATACTTAATATTTATATCGTTTGGCTTTAATATACCTTCAGATAAGGTTACCTTTGATTAATGAGCATTCTTTTTTTGACAGCCTGGAATGAGACGGACTACAAGGGGCCCTATCCCCTCACCGTGGACGAGACGAGCATGATTCTGCCGATGGTGCTGCAGTATCTCACACCCGACTTCGTGTCCTTTTTTGGCCTTGGCGCTGTTTCCGCCGCCGTGATGTCCTCCGCCGATTCCTCGGTCCTCTCCGCCGCCTCCATGTTCGCCCGGAACGTGTACAAATTGATTTTCCGTCAGAAGGCGTCCGAAATGGAAATCATCTGGGTGATGCGCGTCGCTATCATTGTGGTGGGGATCCTGGCCACAATTATGGCCCTCACCATTCCCTCCATCTACGGATTGTGGTGCGTGTCGCGATGCATTATTTACCTGACTGGCAGCTCATTTGCTTAAGTGACTGGGTTTGTTATCTATTCTCTTCTGGGCAGGTCCATGTGCTCGGATCTGGTGTACGTCATCTTGTTCCCGCAACTGCTGATGGTGGTGCACTTCAAGAAGCACTGCAACACGTACGGCAGCTTGTCGGCGTACATCGTGGCCTTGGCCATCCGGCTGTCTGGCGGTGAAGCCATCCTGGGACTGGCTCCGTTGATCAAGTATCCTGGGTATGACGAGGAAACCAAAGAGCAGATGTTCCCCTTCCGCACAATGGCCATGTTGATCAGTCTGATCACTTTGGTGTCGGTCTCCTGGTGGACTAAGTGAGTGAAAACTTATTCAAAATTAGGAGTAACAGAACTAACTTAGCATACACGAGTTTTATATTTAAATATAATCATTTCAATTTTGCGTTTTACAACCTTCTTATTTTAATGAGAAAAGACCAGATTCCTAGACTTCATATAATTCATATACGGTATCCTAATTCAAACCTTTTTGTTCAATATTCAAACATATGAAGTCATAATTTTAAGTTTTATTGAAAATGAATAGCTATAAGAAATCATTTTTTTTCTAATGTATTTTGTTGGATGTTTTCTAAAGTTACTATTTTTTATGAAATTTTATTATATATGTTGAATGGTTACCTTCCAATTAACCCTTTCTTTTCCCAATTACAGAATGATGTTCGAATCTGGAAAGCTACCGCCCAGCTACGACTACTTCCGCTGCGTGGTTAACATTCCGGAGGATGTGCAGCGGGTGGGCGATCCCTCGGAGTCGGGAGAGCAGCTATCCGTGATGGCAGGACCTCTGGCCCGTTCCTACGGAGCCGCCACAATGGCGGGCAAGGATGAGCGCAACGGACGCATTAATCCCGCCCTGGAATCGGACGACGACCTGCCCGTGGCAGAGGCAAGGCGAATCAACCAGGAGACGGCGCAGGCGCAGGTCAAGAAGATGCTGGACACGGCCACCGGGGTGAAGCCAGCCGGAGGAGGAGGTGGCCAGATGAGCCAGAGCGGGATGGCCATGCCCACGCCGGAGCAGGACAACACGGCCTTCTGAGCGGAGTAGGAGAACCCAGGGGATCTTAGCAGATGAGCCCGAAAGTAGGCTGCAGTGGAGTCCAGTGAATTATCCGATTTTAAGTTGCGCTTGTTAGGGGGATTCAAATGTGGGGGAGAGTTGGGTTCTTGGAGGAGGTGGAACGGAGTACAGAAAGTATTAGGAAACGTACGTTAAACACACAAGTGCTCAGGTAAAAAGTGCAGAAAGCTGATCGTAAGGTTTACATTTTTATTTAGCCAACTTACTGTGTATAGTTTCTACAAGCTTAAAGCGTTCTATCGGTATTCATTTTGGTGTTAGAGAATCTATGTGTAAATGTTCAAACGGTATCAGAAGTGCAGAAACCTAATTATCGAATACATATCAACTGCATTTTTCCTGGCCCGAGAATTGCATAAATCACGTAGAATATAGAAAGATTTAGACCGACGAAGAGGCTAAAATATACATATGTACGTATATAACCACTGAGATGAGCATTTGAGTGCCACAGAGATGTTTGCACCACGTAAGCAATACGAATCGGCATTCCTGGCATTAGCATATCGATCATATACTATATAGATGCATATAATGTGAATCATGTGTCCTTCCAGAACGAACAAAGCTAAGCAAAACAAAACAAAACAACTAAAACATATATCCACAAACTAACGCAAACGAAACATATCAAAACAAGGCGAAAGTATATCAATATACATATCACTCGTGTAACTGTTGTTTTTAAGCTATATAGGAGAATCGAGATACTATATACATACATCTACTAAGCCCAATATGTAAAATGTGCAAAGAGGTAATTGTGTAAGTTAGCGAAAACGAAAACAAAAACGAGGCATATCGAGTTATATAGGAATGAATTTTAGCTGCTCTCAAAGAGCAAACAAAGTATAATGGCAGATTCTGGTACACAGGAAGATACAGATACAAAGGGAGAAACAATTATATATAACATGTTGCGTCGTAGTACCTAAATATATACCTATACAAAATCATATACACAAGCAAATATATATACATATCTAGAAGCCAGCCACTGAATTTAGAGAGTTATACCCAAGAAAACACCCACGACATTGACCCAAAAACCTGCATTGAAAGCATTGGCTTGGGAGATTCTATTCGATATAAACACACGCTGCCTGAACCCCAAACCTCAACTGGAATCTGAACGAAAAGCCCTGAATAGTTAAACCCAAAATTAACCCAATTGAATATTTTATCAAGAGACGTTCCTTTTTGTAATTCTCTCGGCTCGTTTGTTACTCTTTCGTCCCGTTGGAAAGAACTTAACTAAATCTAACTAAAGTCAACTCAAACTAATATGCGTAACTAACTCGATAAGGTTTTTAACCCAATTTAATACCATGACTACATACAACTCACTTAAGTGTAATAAATGTTGACTGCTTTTTGATTGAGCCTCGTATGTTTGTTGTATTGGGGTAAAGTTTTTTAACGTTTACATAAGTGAAGCTAAGAAGTGTTTGAGTCCATCTAGGATAACTTACCATATGATACACGCATATCTGTTCGTTGTTATTGTTATTATCTCTTGCATCAGATCTGAGTGTGTAAATTTTGGATAGTGTTCGCATCCGTTTAACTAAAGAGTTTGACTTTGAATTTCCAGAGATCCTACATAAGTAATTAAGTGTGTTTGAATTTCATTCGGGAGTTTCTTTGTGCAGTTAACCAGATTTGTAAATAAGCAAGTTACTCGAATCGTTTGTAAAGTTACTATCAACTAAACCAAAACCACCAAATAATTTATGCATTCAACTGCGATGACTTCGCTTGGTTAAAATAGTCGAAACAATTATGTTTTGCAATTAGTTAAATATATATTCCGTTGTTGTTAACCAAACTTGGTCTATCCATTCCGAGTTCCCTTAGTGGCATTATGTTAACCAAAAAGAAAAAAGATAAGAAGAGTAGGAAGATGGGTTACGATATACATGATGTATTAAGATCAAATTAAACCGAATACATATCAATGTTTTAAGCATAGCGAAATGGAATAAAACCCAAGCAAAAAGAAACGAAAAAAGTATTTAATAAATAAAAGGTATATATATCTACATTAAAATGGTTTCCTCTGTTGCTGCAAACCCAAAAGCTGTCTACTCATTTATTCTATTTCTCAGTACATACTATATATTTAGCTAACTAACCTGGCTGAAAGGCTGGCTTGTGAAATAAATGCAAACATTACCGCCCAACAAAAACCAAAAACCGCCAAGTGACAAGAGTCGCAGACAAAAGAATTGTATTATCGCAGGTGGAAATTTCTCAGGCCAACTTAAAGAGCAAAGAGCTCTTTTCGGTGTCGCATCTCATCGGTTTGGAAAGACAATGCATTTGTGGGATCACATGTGGCAACTATGCGACAGTTACTTATTTTATTTAGTCGAAAGTCAGGCGGTTAAATTGCCAAAGTCGGAGAACCACTCGCTGCCAATCTGCCGACATCTCAACCGGTCTCAATTAACCCGCTAATGATGCAGTTGATGTTGCAGTTGCTGTTGCTGCTGTTGCTGTTGTTGCTATTGTTGCTGTTGCTGTTGTTGCCACTGTGGCAATTAAGTTGTAATCTCAATTAGATCGGAATCGCCAAATGAGCGCCCTCCATCATAAGCTCATAACTTGTGTCGCCCAAGAATTGCCCCCTAATTGTGGCCCGAGTGGCTGTCGTGTTTCTCGGTGGAAGTGGCAGCCATCTGTCCGTTGTATCCGGTATTTTCGAAAAATTTGCATTGTTAACCGATCCGAACCTTCAACTGTCATTGGCGTCTTCTGCTTGTCTTCTGCTGCCAATTAGCGGAGTGGAAGAATTCAGCGAATGTCGCGGACTTTGCGGATGTGAAGGGAACCGATCGCCCAGAACTGATGGCTTCTACGCTCCTCTTACGATCTTCATCAAGTTTAAGTTGTTTATTTAACGAACGCTTTCGTGTTTTACATCTAATGGTACAATGAATTACGGCTAGATTTCCATGGGAGGGAAGAAAAGAGGAATGGGCGAATTGGTTGTCATTTGGGGGAATAATTTACAGTTGCGAGTAGTGAATGGCGACGGGTGATGACATGATGTGGTGGTTGTAATGGTGGAGATTGAGTATTCGAAGGCACGTGGCGCATGCGCGTTGCAGTGGCTCATTCACTCCCTACTTTTTGCGGTAGGTGTAGCCACCGTCGGCACTGTAGCTCTGCTGGATGGTCTCGGGCACCTGGCTGGGTCCGTTGTACTCGTAGCCGGAGTCCTGCGACGGAGCACTGGGGTACGGGCCGGAGCTGGAGGATCCGCCGGCGGGGGGAGCACTGTAGCTGGAGGAGGGGCCGCTGGGGAAGTTCAGGGAGGAGCCAGCCGAAGGAGCTCCATAGGAGCTGGAAGGAGCCGAGGGGTATGAGCCACTTGAAGAAGATGAGCTGAAGGAGGAGGACGACGAGTGGCTGGACGAGAACGAGCTGGATCCAGATCCGGTGGAGGGTGCTCCGTAGGAGGAGGAGGGAGCACTGAATGAGGCGGAGGGTCCTGAGGCAGGTGCTCCGTACGATGAAGAGGGAGGAGCAGCGGGTGCCGAGTAGGAGTTAGATGGTGCTGCCGGGTAGGATCCTCCACTGTTGGCACTTGGGCTGGGTGCAGAGTACGAGGAAGAGGGAGCCGAGGGGTAGGGTCCTCCGCTGTTCGAGCTGGAACTTGGTGCCGAGTACGAAGATGAAGGAGCAGCTGGATATGGTCCACCGGAGCTAGAACTGGAGCTAGGTGCGGAGTACGAGGAAGAGGGAGCTGCCGGGTACGGTCCTCCACTGTTGGAACTCGAACTGGGTGCGGAGTACGAAGAGGAGGGAGCCGAGGGATAGGGTCCTCCACTGCTCGATCCCGAGCTGGGTGCGGAGTACGAGGATGAGGGAGCTGCGGGGTAAGGTCCTCCACTGCTGGATCCCGAGCTGGGTGCCGAGTAGGAGGAGGAAGGAGCCGATGCGTAGGATCCTCCGCTGTTGGAATCCGCACTGGGAGCGGAGTACGAAGAGGATGGAGCAGCTGGGTAGGGTCCTCCACTGTTGGATCCCGAGCTAGGTGCCGAGTAGGACGACGAAGGAGCAGCGGGGTAAGGTCCTCCACTCGATGAGCTCAAGCTGGGAGCAGAATAGGAGGATGAAGGAGCCGAGGGATACGATCCGCCGCTGTTGGCACTTGGGCTTGGAGCAGAGTAGGAGCTGGACGGAGCCGAGTGGAAGGATCCGCCGCTGGAACCCTTGCTGGGGGCACTGTACGAAAACGAAGGAGCTGCCGAGAAGCTTCCACTGCTCGATCCCGATCCGGTGCTGGGAGCTCCATAGCTGGACGAGGGAGGAGCGATCGGCTGGAACGAGGAGGAGGGAGCTCCATAGGAAGACGATGGCGGTGCCACGGGGGCATCATATGACGAAGAAGGTCCGGATGAGTAGCCACTGCTTCCCAGGCTCTGGGTCTTCGATGGAGCTCCGTAGTTGGTCGAGGGAGCAGAGGCCAACGGCACAAAGCTGCTCACACTGGGGGCTCCGTAGTTGGGCGAAGGCTTCGCTGGGCGAGAGGAGGGTGGCAAGTAGGAGTTGGTGGGCGCCTGAGGAGGAGCTCCGTAGCTGGAAGACGGTGGTGGTGGTGGTGGAGGGGCAGACTTCGGAGGTCCGTAGGAGGAAGAGGGGGCTGCAGGTGCTCCATAAGAGGAAGATGGCGGAGCGGGAGCTCCGTAGGATTTCGATGGTGCAGCTGGGGCTCCGTAGGATGAGGAAGGAGCGGAAGGAGCTCCGAACGACGAAGAGGGTGCTCCATAGGATTTTGAGGGCGCGGCAGGTGCTCCATACGAAGAAGATGGAGGTGCAGGAGCTCCGTATGACTTGGATGGTGGTGCAGGTGCTCCATAAGAGGAGGATGGAGGAGCAGGTGCTCCATATGAGGAGGATGGGGGAGCAGGAGCGTTGTAAGACGGCGATGGTGGGGCAGGAGCTCCGTACGAAGATGATGGTGCGGCAGGTGCTCCATAAGAAGAGGATGGTGGTGCGGGCGCTCCATACGAGGAGGAAGGAGGAGCTGGCCTAGGAGCTCCGTAGCTGGAAGAAGGCGCCGACTTGGGAGGTCCGTACTTGCTGGAGGGAGGAGCTGGAGCTCCGTAGCTCTGGGATGGAGGCGACGACTTCGGGGGTCCGTAGCTGGAGGAGGGCGGGGCACCGTAGCTCTGCGAGGGAGGCGCTGGTCTGGGAGCTCCGTAGCTGGAGGACGGACGGCGATGGTGGGGCTTCTTGGCCTGCGGCGGTGGTCCGTATGACTGGCTCGGGCGGCTGGGAGGAGGTCCGTAGCTGGACGAGGGCCGCGAGGCAGGCGGTCCGTAGGAGCTGGAGGGGCGGGGAGCGGGCGCCGGATACGGACCACCCGAGGAGGCGCTCAGCGAGGGAGCCGCGTAGCTGCTCGACGGACCGGAGTTGAACGATGGCGCCGGTCCGGAGGCGGGTGGCAGGTAGGAGCTGGCGGGCGGGGCGCCGTACTTGGAGGCGGGTCGCTGCGGCGAACTGGGGGGCAGGTAGGCGTTGTTCAGCGGCGCCTCGCGCTTGGCCGCTCCAACATCGCGGACCAGCGAAACGGCCACGATGGCCACGGCGATGACACCGAATAGCTGCTGCAAAAACGAGGAAATTAGCAAATTAGCTTTTTTATGACGCATCGATCGGTGATCCACTTCATGGGATATCAACAGCTATGCACTTGAGAAAACTTAAGAAATTTTTTAAATGTAACGTTAAGACAAATGCAATCCAACTCAGTTTAACTATGTACAAAAGTTATTGCAGTTTTAATATTTTAGTTTTGAACATAAGTTGTTCCAGTCCTAGTATTCAAAATATTTTAATATTATTCTTTGAGTTACGGTTAAACTTTGAAAAGATTCAAATTAAAAAAAATTGGAAAAGTAACTTTTACTCTGTATTATAAAATCTTTTAAATGCTATTAGACGAATATTTACAAAGCTTGATAAATGGAACCGGATATTTAAATTCTTTTAAATTTATTATATCTTTATTAAAAACACCAGTGAAATAGTAGACCAGAAACTATAGAATTAAAACAAAGGTTTGTGAAATCTCAGAACTTATTATATAAAAAACACCTTTTTAAAACCTTTGATATTTTATTTCAATGTACTCACCACTCGCATGGCTGCTGCTGCTTCTCCTGGAGATTTGCTCGATGCGCTTCGAATGCAAATTAATCGAACTGCAAAGCGGGAGAAAGGGGGGGCATTAGAGAAAATCAGTTGAAAGTGGATTACTGGCGAAAAAGAAATAGTTATAGAAAGATTACGTTAATGTTGCGTAAGTTTTTACGGCCAGCGAGACGACGGCCGAGAGTCGGCCCACAAAGCGGGCCTAATCGCTCGTCAATCTTGGCCCGGTCCGTCGACCAATGCCAAGAACTGCTGGCCAAGCAGACGGAGCGTGTCGCCCGGCATTGGAGCCATGGTACTTGCACTTAATTTGCTTTTTATTATTGGGAAAATCTCGGAGGCAGACAAAAGCCTCGGCAATCGCTGGCGAATCCCATCCGGACTCCGGAACAGAGCTCACTGAAACTCTCGAATTTCTTTTTTGGGGGGGAAATTGAATAAAAGGGCCCAAGCTGTGTGGGCGTGATCGGCGGTGGCACAAAGCTGGCGTTTATGACATTGCAAAATCAGCCACGACAGTTGGCAATTTCTCAGCGCCAAGGAGCCATTACACCCCCACTGGCTTGCATGTGCTGTAAGTTGTGAGTGACACATATTTTTTCCTCGCAGCTACTGCTGCCAATTACTGTCTCGCCTTTTGGCCACACTCGGAGTCGTCTCGACTGGTCCCGTTGCGTCTTGTTGGCTTTTCGACACTTTACTTTAATGTTTGCCTCGAGCCGCTTGTTTAGTGGTTGCGACAAATTTTAATTATTTTCCAAAGTCCGCCTAAGTGACTGGATGACCTGCTGAATGTGAGGCAACTCCTAATTTGTCATGCTAATTATGTAAAAATGTTATGGGTTGCGCTAAAAACAGAATTCTTCGACTCAAAAATAATTACTACTTTCTGCATTATTATTACATTTTGGTGAAACATTATTTTACAACTTTTTAAAAATATATTTGTACAAGTAAGAGGACGCTTAAAGTTGTTCACAGTTTCTGAATTATAAAAACCATTATCTGTTATTTTTAAAGTTTTGATTTTTGCCAATGGTTTTATTTTGTATTTATATTTTTTAATCAATGATATTTTAACTATCCTGCTAAGCTTTTGATTATTGATATTATTGATATGATAAGTTTTGCTTAAAGCCTGCCTAAATACATCATTTTAAAACTTGTTCCGATTTGGAATGATAAATAACCATTTGAACTTAAAACTTGTTCACATTTTTCAAATCCAATATTTTTGATATACGACTTTGATGGATCCTGTGCAAACAGTTTGTCACTTCTCGTTATTTATGACGATTTATAATGTATTATATTAGCAAGTTAGTTATCCTTTATGCAGCACTAACCGTTTTCGTAGGCACCAGCTGCTTCTTAGATATTTTTGGGAGGGCACTTTGCAGACGATGCTCTGCCGATGGACGAATGCGAACTACACTGCTGCCTGATGCGCAGCATGCACTTTTATACAAAATCATAACCAGGCAAAGCCGCAAAAAATAAAGGCACAAACGAAAAAAAAAAAACACAGAGAAAAAAACAATAACAATGCGGACAGACGAAAATCAAAAGCTCCGAGCCAAAAACACAATGAGAAGAAGACGCTGGCAGCGCGGCATGTCTTCGAGTTTGGTACTTTATGTAACACTTCAAATGCACTCACTCTTCGCGAGCCACCGGCCGCCGAACCACAGAAACCACCAGCCACCTCAGCGGCAACCAGCGAGCAGCAACCAGCAACCAGCGAGCAGCAACCACGGCGCATGCGCGACTTCGCCGCCAAAGCTGCGCATCTGCCACAGTGGAATATGCTTGTACAACAACAAAACGTAACAAAGCCAGTGGCAACAACAAAGCCACAGCGATCGCGAAGCTTTCGGCATTTGCTTTGTTTTTGCACCGATAAATTCACATCGATCGGTTGCCAAGTTCAGTGGCAACATCTGTCATCCGTTTTGTCTTTTGCATAAGTAAGACTTGGCAACCAGCTAAATTGGTCTATTAAAATGGCACTTAAATTGCAAGTCATTTGTGACACGAACTACCGCCAGCCACCTTTTTAAGAATACAAAATATGCTTCACAATTTGTATAAACAATTCATAAATTTACACAAAAAATTGGTAAACAATTTATCAACACTGCCTATAAGTGATTCATTTAAAGAACTAATGAGATGGTAATCAAGCAATTAAGTAATATATAATTATTGTTTCGTTTGTTTTGCGTTTACTAAAGAAGCAGCATTAAATTCCATTTAGAGACAACCGAAGTAACAATGAGTATAAATTATATTTTTCCTAAACAATAGATGGAACCAGTTACATAGCCTTTCAGCACTATAAAAGAAGACTAGCTTTAATTACTTTATATAACTTTTTGATTCAAAAGTCCAACCTAAAGTAAGCCAGCAATTCGAAATAACCTCAATAACAGTTTCCTTTGTATGAAGTAGCCCCTCAAAAAAGTTGTACCAACTCGGGAGCTCTTCAACTCCTTTTATTCTCCAGTTTTTCCCCTTGTCCAATCAATCGATAATCAAATCATATTGCAGGACTCAACGTCTTAGGGTTGGATCGTTTATTTTAGGCGACAGTTGGAGGCATCTCGGGCTTCTTCCAGATGTAGCTGGCCCACGGGATGCACTCCTTGAGCAGGTGCATGTAGGCCAGTCCAGTGGGGCAGTCGACCTCTTTAGCGGGAGTTCCGAGGGTCTCGCACAGCCAGTATTTGGCGGCATCGAAGTGGTGCGTGAAGGTCTGGCCAATTTCCGACTCATCCTTGCAGGCGGAGCGACCCGCATCGGAATTCACGCCCGAGACCAGAAAAACGGCCAAGAAGATGGCACACAGGGCAACGACTGGCGGGGAAAGTGATGAAACAATAAGTAATCGATATGAAAACAACATTAAAATTCAACCTCGCACCCACCAGACTTCATTTTCAGCTGTGAAAGTTTCTCGGCAGAAGGAACCAACTGAGACCTTCACGTTTCGGGGTTGGAACTTTTATACTTTCGAGGGGGACCACCGCCGAAAAACGAAGTGAAAACAAGAATAATAAAAGTATTGACATTGTGACACACGCGCACATCCGTTGATTATTATCAAGGGAGCAGAGCGAAAAAAAGCAGAGCATCTTTATCATGATGGGGGAAATTCTGCCAAATAATTTGGTCCCAGGGGTGGGGAGGCAAAAGATAGCGAATAAATTGAAACATCATCTACTGCAACATCGCAAACCAGATAGGAACCCAGTGCATTTTTAATGGACTCTTATTGTATCACCTGCAAAATAAATTGGCACATGACAAGCCCCTTCTTTATCTTCATGAACTTCCTTTCAGTCGCTATATTTAAATATTTTTTTTTTTTTTTATTTATATTTATTCAAGAAAGAATTATAATGCCATACGATATATGTGATATTTGCTCTAAATCCATTTAGTTGTATTATCTAAATATAAATAGATTTAATTCTTTATTGCTTTTAAGCCAATACTTCTTTTGACCAACAGATAATACAAACAAATATAAATTCATACAGTCAATAGTCATTCAACATAATAACCATGACTGTTTATTGACACTTTGCCAAGTGTAACCCCATCTGGCATGCCAAATCCATAATCGGATATTTCCATAATTCATAAAACAAATGCTGAAATCTGAATCCGTTTAAATTGTGCAACATTAAGGTCTATCGGCCCATTCATTAATTAATTGCTGACTATCTTTTCGATGGTCATAGTTTTTTGTTCGTTTTTTGTTCGTTTTTTGTTTTGTCATTTTGCGCAGACATTTTGCATTAATATTAACTGTTTGTTTCTTTGTTTAGCTTCGGTATCGAAGCTTTGGTCGCCTTAAGCGATTGAGGCGCCAGGCCACTTGACCAATATAAATAGCAAAAGGCAGCAAAAATAAAACGCGGCAAAAAACCACACGAAATGTGCCGGCTGAAGCTCCAAAAAACCAAAAACCGTTTAGCAGCAAGAGTGGGTCGAAACCGAAAACCCTGAAAATCGCTTACAAAATGCTTTAAAGTGTAATTACAGTTTCCGCATTGAGGTAGCTCCAACTTGGAGTGCGGAGAAGGAGTAGGAGAAGGAGGAGGAGGAGGTAACCACCAAGCGGCGGACGCAACTCCCCAGCGGGTGACGATTTTTTATTTGGTCAGGAGACAAGATGACGCTGCCGTATCGCATCGCTTGTGTTAAGCCGTCTGATTATTTCAGGTTGGCCAAGTCAAGATGATGGTGGCAACGCAGTGCAGCGGCTAATTATCGATTAAGCCGACACGCTCGGGCACTGGGCCAAATCCAATTAATGCGACCAAGTGAAATGCGGCTCGTTATGATTGCCATTGCCCAAACGGGCGACATCCGCAGGCGGGGAACTAAAAATAAGTTCAACTCATTTGGACTGAGTGATTTTCCATGTGCAGCAAGTGTTGGGGCAACAAGTGAAGATAAGATGGATGCTATAAATATGCCAATTGGCGGCCTTCGATTGCATCACTTTCATCATGTACAAGAGTGAGGCACATCATTATGATCCTACCAGAAAAATCTAGCATTTCATTATTACACTTCTTTTCCTTTAGGCACCCTCCTCTGCTGCCTGCTTTTGGGCGTTATCCTGGCTCTGAGCCACGCCTACAACGGCCAGGACATCTACGCCGAGCCCAACTGCGCCATCGTTGAGGATCACGCCCGCAAGTTCCGCGACATCTCCGATCCCACCCACTACTGGGTGTGTCCCGAGGGTCAGGAGAAGGCCGACTACATCCAGTGCCCCGACAACTACGCCTTCATGGAGAAGGAGCAGGAGTGCGTCGTCTGGGAGCAATGGAAGTGGGTCGAGCCCTACACCAAGTAAGCAGCCAACTCGACTAAGCCGCCAACTTTTGATTGGATTCGATTGGATTTACGACAGGGTGGTTGGGTCAGTGGTGGTACAAATAAATTAATATTGTGTCCCAACTTTGGGCAGAACAGTCAAACGCCTTTCAATGTAACTGCAAAGAAGCTGAATGAGAAAACTTTTTGTTGGTAAGTATGTGACGGACACTTAAGTCCGAAGCTTAATTCATTATTTTCTTAATAGTAATTCAAGAAATTCAGGCTTGAAACTATATAATCAAACAATCAATCTATCAGTGTTTGATGCAAAATATGTACTCATTTGTTTACATTTTCTAAATCAAGGTATTCCGTAAGAAAATAGATGTTAATTTCTTCAATTTTCCTCAAGTATTTTGAGGAGTTACTCAAGTATTTTTATTAGAGTTGTACAGCAATAATAGGAAACCCGTAATCACACCTCAAAATGCTGTAAACAATCAGTACCTTGGGTACTGTGTTCCATAACAATCTTCACAAATTTCCTAAAACATTTTCCATAACAACCTACAAGATCTAAAAGTACAAGTCACCGTAGCTTAAGTCCATTGTATAACCCGGTAATTGGTGGTTGCGGTTTGCTGGTCTTCACTGTAAGATGCTGCCTTGGACCTGAACTTGAGCCTCCACCTGAGTATATGAGCTCCAGAGCCCGGGGCCCAATAGCCAGAAAGCCAGAAAGGCAGAAAGCCCAATGAGGCAGAACTTTTAATTAACCAAGGCAGAGATACACACACGTCCGCTGACGGTTCCCAGGGGCCCTGGGCCATTTGGGCCCACATGAACCAAACTGAACTGAGCGGGCCGGAATATGAGATACGTCTGATAAACGATAATTAGGCAGTGCGTGTCTGTTGCGCTTGTAATGTTATCTAACACCTTCGATTGGCAATCAAAGCTGTTGCCGCTGTGTGCTGCTACCACAATCAATCAACTGGCATTGTGAACGCTGCGAGACTACGATCGACAATCATTCAAAATACCCGAAGAGGAAAAAATATAGCCAGACGAGCCAAAGTCGCACTCCAGTGCTCCAATTTTGAGCTTAACATAATATAAAAATTGGAGCTTACACGTACCTATACTTTTTTCTATTGGTTGCCTGGTAAAAGTCATAAATATCAAAGCGTGGCGAAGAGAAACACAAGAGCTCGCATTAAAAGTGAAAAGTACTTCAATAAATTTAGTTAGAAATCATTGCCGCAATGCAAACAAGCAGTTTTTTTTCTATTTTTTTGGACCCGATGGCCTCAAGTGCTCGGTTCGTGGGCTCATTGTGGATGCCCCACGGCAGCGGTTGAAGTGCCCATCGATGGCATCACATAATGAATTGTCGGACGACTGGCGGTGGTGCCCCAGCACTCAACTTACTCACGTTACTCACCCGCAGATCTCAGGCCCGCTTTTGAGGAAAGTTTGTGTGGCCTTGAGAAGGCGAGGAAGCTCCATTATCTGCATGCAGATAAGACTCCATTTCCCACTCCCATTCCCTGCAAATTGCCATGACAAAGGCAATGGTAATGGCATTGCCAATGGTAATGGCGATGGCGATGGCGATGCCAGCCAGATACGAGTGCTACTCCTAGTGGGGCACGAAAACAAAGCACTTGCATTAGTTGCTTCATTTGCCAATACAATATGGCAGTATAGCAGGTAATATGGGCACGGTGTGGGCTGTCTTTATCAGATGTCGTCTCATTTCTGGGTTAAGATGAGCTGCAGCCGGCGGTTTTCGCGCTCCAATCTCGAGTGCTGTGTCGCACTTGGCCAGCAATTACATCGATAAACGACATCCATAATTATTCCCATTATGTGTTTACGAGTATCTTCATGCATCTATGCAGAGTTGTGCTAATAAGGCGAGTACTCATCATGAAATCTACGACATTGAACCAGTTTTCACGTTTCTGTTTCCAGCTAATAAATAAATACACATTAATGACTGAATTATTCGTTGACAGAACAGATGGATCGATAAATGTTGGGTCGATTGCAATTTAAAAGTGGATAGCCACAATATTTATTCAATGAAAACTTCTATAATTTTTTGTTTGCCCCTAACATTTAATTATGTTTGCAAATCCAATAATATTTCATAACAAAGTTTTCTGTGTGCTAAATTTTATGCTAATATCTAAGTTTGCGTTAAGGATTAACTCATTTGACCTTGACTAATTTGCCCCACAAAACTTTTTGGTTCCCTCGTCATTCGACCACTTCCCCGCTGACAGTTTTTAGTAATTATCTATCGCAATCTATCTCAATCCAGCTCCCTGGCCAAAAACCGCAGACAGCGCTGCTTTGATTGATGGCTCCACTGATTTGACTGATAAGAAAACATATGTACCCTCTATGTGCACACAGAATTAACGTATATATCTAAACATGGGCTGTCAGGCCAGGTGAGTGACAAATTGACGTGTCGCAAAAATGATGAATCTACCAGCGGAGGCCGGATCGAAGGAAATCCACAATGGACAGACAGACAGATATATGTTTATGTCTTACTGACTGAAGAAGTAGAATTCAAATGACCTTTCATCAAGCTGACAGATAAATTCAAACTGACACATGACTGCGAAAACCGCCCTCAAGCGATCTAAAAAATAGTATTTGAGTGCTCTGGGCTCAAATTTAGCATAGGTCAAAGTTCGCAACTGAAGCGGGATTTTGGTTCAAGTCCATTGCTGACGTCATCGAGCCGGAGCATCCAAAATGTGCCACGAACCCACATCAGGAACAATAAGCCGGAGCTCAGAGCGAAACGGAAACCGAATTTGAAGCTGGGAATGTGAGGAATATCAACACCATCTCACTCGCATCTCACCTGTCATCCCCCACCTGCTTTTTATCTTCGCTGGGAGGCAATTCAGGCAATCCCCTCGGTCGTGATATTTCCATTAAATTTTCACAGTCTTTCCCTCTTTTAGGCATACGCAATTTATATGCATTAAAACTTTATTCCACTTTCAAACGGCGACCGGTGAAATGTCTCTGCTCATCTGAAATGATTGCAAGGGATCTGAGTGATTGAGGTATTTCATCTGCAGACTGTTAATTGAATTGAGGGCTTAAACAACCAGACAAGGCCAGAACAAGTTTCATTTTTCAGCAGTGAGAGTGGGCTGTCCTTTGTTAGCCTCAAAAATAATTAGAACATTGTTTGCCATTCCATTTTCATTTTTACTGCACTTTAAAAAGTGCTTATGGGAAATTTGAATTTTTTTCCTAATGTTTTGTATTAAAGAATTATTATTTAAAGTATTTACTTTTCAAAATTTCTTCAAAGTTGTTTGTCTAAAAAACGCTATCAATACATATGTAACAACTTAATCTTGTACGTATTTCATGTTTAATAATTACTTACAAAAAATATTATTAAGCTGTATCTGGAAAAATCAACTTAACACCAGAACTAGGATAAGTTGTTTAAAACAATTTTTGTAACAAACATTAAAATAAAAAAAAAACATACATTTATTATTTTCAGTGTTATCAATAAGCTGACCATTCTTTTGGCAGTAAGTAATGCCATATCATCGACAAATTGTTAGAACTTTTTATAGTTTCAAAAAGTGAGGATGGGCGAACGGGTGCAGGGGATACTGCACTTTTACCAGCTTAAAGCTTTCACCACAGTGGCTTCCCCTTAATTCCAGCCGAGCTGAACAGCTGATGAACAGCTGGAAGCCACATGTGTCTTGGTGGGAGCACTGGAAGTAACCGTTGGAAGGCAGAGCGCGTTCATTCTGACAGGAAGCGAAGGAATCTCCACAGATAACGGCTCCGCCTACCACATCCAGTCGACTCCTAGCGCGTGTGGATGTGTGTGAGCGTGGGAGAGGAATCGACACATGTATTGGTGGCAAGGCCACACCCACGCGGCCATGTTTGAATGAAATAACAGTAAAAGCAAAAGCAAACGCTTTGCAAAATGGCAAAGTCAATTGAGAAATGGCGTGGGAGCAAATACAGCTTAACGGAACGAAATGACAGGTGAAACACCCGACACAAAATGGAAACTGAAACGCTGGGCAGTAATATGAATTTAGGTTACAGGCCAGAGGGAAAAAGACAGACAGAATGAGAAAGAGAGGGCGAAGGGAAGTATAAATTAACTGCAAGTGTTGTTTTCGTTGTTGTTGCGCGCTTAGTAAGTTAGTTAAGGTCATCGAAATGTCAAAAGTTGCATTCTCCGCTTTGCAAGGGGAGCGGATGGATAGCATAACACGCACACCAAACGTTTGTCCCATTGACATTGCTGTTGACAAAAATAATCACGCGACATTTGCAATTAATTTTGGCGGACTCGCCCTCCAAAAACAACACGAATATTTTTGGACATTCCCTTGGGCGTTTGGTTTAGCCTTTAGTTTTATTTTTGGCCATCTCCTAATGCTCCCCCTCTTTTTCTCTTTTTCTCTCTCTCTCTTTCACCCATTCAAAAGTAACTTTGATGTCGGCCATTGTTAGTTCTTCTTCTTCTTCGGCTCACTTACACACTTCAACACTTTCGGCAGCCATTTTGATGGCCGCTGTTCCTTTGAAATTCCACCACTCGTGACACTCACACACACAAACACACACACATGCAGAGAAGGAAATTCCTTAGCACTCTTTTGTGGTTCCACTTTGAGCCTCTTCCTCTTCTTTGATTTTCGGCACGTACCCTCTCTCTCACTCTCTTTGACACTTTCTCCATCTCCCTCGCACTGCGCAAAGCTTCGTCTTAATTTTAATTTTATTGATATTATTCAGTTTGCGCAAATTCCATTAGATTTTATTGCCCACCACAATCCCTTCAATTTTCTCTTAATCTTTTTGGCAATTTCAACATTAGTTTACCGCTTATGACCTGCAGAATAACTTGCACAAATGAAAACCTATTTAATTATGCAGGACTGTTAAATTTTAATCTATAGAAAAATAAATACATATTTTATAAAGAATATGATACTTTTCACAAAATCCAATATACATTTAAAATTGTATCTGACATTTCTGTTGGAATTTTTTCTCAACTAAAAACTGCGCAGAATCTCCAATGCTTTTAATTGCTTCTTTACTAGTTGAGAACTTATATTTCTAGAAAAAT